CCACGAATTGAATATATTCCACCCCACCCTTTATTTGAAATGGCCACTATACGATACGGAAATTTCAAAAGGTTATCATTCGATTGATAGCGCTTTTGGAATGACCCAATGAAAAAAATCGCCGCTCTTGAAAGGGTAGAATTTGTTCACCTGTTTGCTCTTGCGTATGCCCTTTCCTCTAGTAAGCCATTTATCAAAATGCATTGCTGAGGCCACAAAAAAAATGACAAATATGAATCTAAAATTACCCTTTAACATTTGATTAGCTGTCTGGAATTGAACCCGGCGGTTTTTTCAATAAGACAACAAATAAAAGCAATTTGATTTATTAGGATGTTTCTTAATCGAAATTTTCAAATGTCATGTGTTTAAAAATGGTAGAAACCTAATTATTGATCTTAATTTGAGAAATGATTTATGAAGGATTTTTCTTAGAGAGATATATGGTTAAAAAAAAAACTGACAACCGGCAGTAAATTTAATTTCAAATACATATTACTGTATTAAGAATGATTGATATAGATTTGCATTTGTGTTTCCACAGTATCTAAAAAATGGATTCCATTGGAAAAAAAAGAATCGAAAAGTTTGGAACCCCTCGTCAATAATTATATTTCCCAAAGTGCAGCGGACCTTAGGCTTATTCGAAAAATGGTGGTCTGCTTAAACCTTGCAGACTGCCACCGTGAATTTCCGGACGCAGAAAAACGAATGAACCCCATGTTGAATAAAATACTTTGAGTTCTTTTCATTCATGTTCTAACGCTCACAATATTGCTTTTATTACAGTTGGTACTTTCCGGTACCAATTTGATATTCCAATCATATTTGGCATACATTCGTTGAATGTTTGCGCAATTTATCCCCCAGGTTTGAAAACCGATTCTGACCCATCCATCGCCGTCTACTGTTTGCTCGGTGTCGCACTGTTGCGCACCAATGAATTCAGCGTCGCCGTAAGGCTGTTCCAACACGTACCCCTCCGACCAACCATCTTCATATTTATTACGGGCTTTTTTTTACATTTCTTGGGTTATCAACTGCAAATCCCCTATTGTTATCGCCATTCTTCGCGGATGGGCTATTTCTCACAGACAACGACTGCAGAGAGGAGCAAAACGCGAGTTGAAATAAAAAAAAAACAATGTTCGCGGGGCTTCAGCCTTTGTCCACTACTATACGAACAGCTGATGCGTTTTGACGAGCTCAGGAATTTTTTTCCGTTTTGCGGATCTGATACTTTTATCATTCTTGATTCATTACCTTGTTTTCTTTGTCTTACACCTAGGTTTCCATTCTTTGATTCCCCTTCATTCTTTCATATTTCTTCCTTCGTTCTTCCCTTCCTTCCTATTACGACATCTTAATTCATTCATCATGTAGAATAGATTTGATCGTAGATAAGGGGTCAACTCGGAGAGGTTCGCTTAATCATTGCCACAATCAGCAAGGCTGTCTCAACACGAAACCAAATTTGTTGCTTTCCAAATTTTATGCGCATTTTTTGGAGGTCATTTTGGATGTAATACAGTAATAAAAAATTGTTAACGATTCATAAAGGAAATGTGATAAAATCTTGGGGTGTGAGATTAATGGAAATAATGATAGAAAATCGAGACTTTGAATGTAACTGTTTAATTAGAATCATTTAAACTGCTTAGAATTGTCTACAGCTACAGTAACTTAATTCTTCGAAGACCTGTTTTAAGAATCTATGGCTTTTAAACGGTTTCCAAAAATTTTCACTTACTTCTTATTATAAAATTGTACCATGTCTCAATTTCCCTCAATCATCAATGACGCAATGCTGGTGCCACCCCGTCGGCCGCCATCGCCATAATTCTTCGCTGAGACGATATCAAACCCAAACCGCAAACTCCGTCTTAACCTCCAATCATCATGACGGATCTAAACGAGATGCGCCAACAGATGAAAGGTGGCCCAAGTTAATCAACTGGTTAATAAGTTAATGAATAGCGATGCGGAGCGAAGAGGATCCACGTTCTCTCATCATCAAGGATTAAGTCATAGTGGAGACTGACGAGAGCGGCCGAGGCGGCAAGGTTGCCATTTGATTATATCTATTATCCATCAACCCAGCCCACCGTAATCCATTGGTCATTAGTGGTTTGGTGCCACACGTATAATATAAATTTTTTGTAGTTAAAAAACCAGAATTGACGAAGCGTTTCAAAAATGTAATATGTTTGGGAAAAAAACTTCCCACCCATATTTCCGCTTCCCTCCTTTAAAAAAAAGTGCGTCGTTCGGTCAGTTCCACCACCAACGAGAAATGTTAACACCAAACATGTCTAGGCATCTGTTCCTTCGCCGCTATTTAGCATGTTCTTGGTCTCGTTCATTCGAAGAAATGTATGACCGAGTGAAAAAAGGTTGCATCCCATCTTTCGTTCGCCTACGGACATCAAAAAAAATTTTTGTGGGCATCGCGCGCTCATCCCTCTCCTCCTTCCCCCTCGGCGCGATATGATTTGAATTGAAACAAAAACGATTTTTTATACGCGAATATCTCAAAAACGAGAACACTTCACGCCTAGTCGAAGCTTATCAATTCTCACTCCTATTAGAGATTTTTTACCGCATTTCCTTTATCTCATTTTTTCTGCCGATTTGTTCGGCTAGTTTTTTATCAATTCAATATACGCGCGTTTCGATGAATGCTCGTAATAGTTCATATAAGCAGTGAACCGAAAATTTTTTCCTTTCAAAATTTTTTTTAAATTCTTGTTTTTTTGGCACATTACAATTTGACGGTTTCCGTTCTCGTCGAAAACAATTCTGATTGAAATTTGATGTCTATGAAGAAACATTCGTCGGAATCAAGACATGCCATAATTTTCACCTCTCCAATTCTCTTCGCATTCACATTACTCTCATCGAACATCTAACTGATACTAGTTTACACGAAACAACTTTTTTTTTGGCCTCCCTTGCCGTTCGTTTCGTTAGGGGAAGGGGAGGTCCCTTTCTGTTAATATGGGGGCCCCCGGTGGAATCTGTATCGATATCTTGGATAGACCGACTTGCAGTTCATCGGAGGCGGAGATGAGACCTCTACGATTCCTGCAGCTAACGAGACGCAAAAAAGATAATAGGACCTTTTTTTGCAATTCGAATCCAGTGCCTCCTTGTTGTATTCTTGTCCCATCATTATCAACACGTCATTATTAGATAGATAGATTTCACTTTTTAATTGACAAGTCAATCAAATCCCATGGAACATCTCTGTCTTTTGTATTCGATGTCATGTCTTGAACTAATTTTTGCTGTGACGCATGTTTATTTATTTGTGTACTGACTCACTAGTGTCCAGGTGTCCAAGGTGCCAGCCCCGCCATTTTTCCTTTTGAAGAGGCTGTTTCCCAAAGGAATGTTTCGAAAAGTTTTCTGTCAACAATAAGTTTTGTTCGAATGACATTTTTTCGTAATAAAAATCGAAAAATATTGATACGGAATATGAGTCATTCTTAACTCAAGTTCAAGCAGATGTCGAGAATCTGTCAAGTCAGGGAACCCTCCCCCCCCAGATTTGGATTCGTTTTCGATTTCAATTTCTTTTCACAGACTCACACAAAAATGCCCTAAATTTCTCAGCACCTACTGTCCGGTTGTATAAATCAAAACTCTTTTTGATCCTTCTTGTTCCCGCCTTCAAAACTAATAACCTTTCGGCTAAACGCTAGGCTAATAATAATAGTGACGTACAGTCGGCACTTCAGACCACAGAAAAAAACCGAAACCGATGGAACGGACAGAGAAAGACGTTTCATAAACAAACGCATATGAATTAAATGTGCGGAGTATTCAAATTATTGGTTGAGGAATGACTTGACGGGCGCCGCCGCCGTCCGTCTGGACACTTCGGGCCGGCCGGTCGGCTTCAGCAGAAGCAGCAACAACAGCAGCGAGAAGCTTTCATTTTTTTTACTGCCGCTGCTGCTTCCAGCGAAGACGTCGCTCCGCCGCATTCAAAAGATCCCCTCATCCATCCATTCATCATGCCAGAATTCGATTCATTGCGTCGTCGTTCAATCCTTCTCCCCTACCCGCTACTTTTGTAAAATGCCCTCAAGCGTGTAAATTGTTCAAGCAAAAACTGTCTGGCAGATTTCTGCCATTTCCATATACTCACGAATGTTTCTTCATTCCCATATATCCGTTCAGCCGTGTTCTTCCGCCTTTTTATTTTTTGTTTCTTCCGTGCGCTGCTGGTGCCAAAAAAGGGCGTGGCCTTGCTGTGACCACCACGGCTGTCCGAAACAGTGTTTGCTTGTGGGTGTACACAGTGTCACACGCAGTTTTTTTAGTCATTTTCAATTTTGGTTTTGTTGTACCGCAAACGGCGTTTTCATTTTTTTCTTCTCCCCCCCCCATGTATATATTTCAATGGGTGGGAAGTTAGTGTTGCGTGTTGCACAATTTCCCTCTCACTTCTTAAGGACCCTCTCACGATTGCGACATACACTGTTTTCAATTGGAAAATTTGTGATAACAGTCGTCGCAAGTGGTCACTCTGAAAGGCATTGGAGGGAAAGCGAGATTGGAATATTGGAGATGATTACCGCGTTATCGCTAACATTTTGAAAAATAGTGTTGAACGCGAGACGTCTTAATATGAGTTTTGGAAGAGAGTGCGTGTGTCCAGTTTCCAAATTTTGATATGGTCAAGCGTATGCCTCCAAGTGTCCACTCCTAGCTTTTCACTCACTGATAGCGGAGTGGTCAACGCCGGAGGGGGAGAAGAAGGACGGCCCCAACGCTCCGCACCGCTTGCCGAGGCAGTAAAGATGAGAGCGTGTTTTTCATTTTTGCTCACACTTTGTCCATATGATCCTTGCTATCTATACGATTACTCCCGCTAATTGCTCATAACTTGAACGATATTTTTTTGGTTGCTGCCGTCTTATATTCATTGCCTCGGCGGTCCCGATGTAATGTCCAGTTTTCCAGAGCGCATCATTGTTCTCTATGCGAAATCAATGGACGACTATATGAGTTACAACTACTACCAGCAGCCTCCGACGGGAGATATCTATGGACCACCGCCAATCGGAATGGAAGATCCCATGGCTGTGATGCAATCAAAAACGGTTGGTGTACTGTAGAGTGTTATTTGCCTAAATTATATATTTGGCGACGTTGTTTTCCGAATTTGAAAATAAATCGCCGAGAAAGGAAAAACATGATCATGTTGATATTTGTACTGTATGAATTGACCAAAACCGATAACGCTGACATGTTATTGTTTTTTGCTTTCCTAATCTGAAATGCTTAAAAGCAGAAATTATTTATTATTTTTTTCGTCAACTGATAGTCGTTGGAACCCATTGGAATTGGCCAGCGGCTCTCTTTTCTTTCTCCACTTGAAATGCGTCACATGAAGAGATGACCAGCCAACTGACGGATATAGGTCATCAAGTGCACAAAGTTGAAGGTTTTTTTCGCTGGACCCTAGACACGTCACAAAAAGTGTACTTGTGAAGATTGCAAGAGAGAAAGAAGAAAGAGCCGCTGCGAATCGTAGCCAATTTTTTGTGATAAGAATATTAAGACTCAAGATTCAGGTAAAACATGTGATTGACCCTTTACCGTCAATAGTAAACAGTAATGCTAACTTGTCAAGATAAGAACGTTGTCCAGCACAGTTTTAAATGCTTGAAATATTCCTATATACAATTTATGATAAGAACGATGGTGAATTTCTTAATGTAGGCGAAACAGTTCCAGATGGAGCCGCCACCACCTCCGCCAATCATCATCTGTCCAACAGAGGTTGACCATATCAATGTGACTCTTGAGAAGAACCAGCAGTGCAAATGCAAAGTGGGAAATGTGGAGAATTTGCAAAAAACATTTAACTTGTTCTAGGATTGTGGAAAATTATTCAACTCGGTTTGGTATTTGAAGCAGCATGCCGTTAAACATTCCAATGATCGGCCGTTTAAATGCAAATTTTGCCTGAAAACCTATAAATTCCGGTCGAACCTTTATCAGCACAAATGTCCAGAAAGGCAGAAATCTCTTCAGCAGTAAGAATGAAAACATATCAGTTTCTTCAATATTTTTCTAGAAGACGACGTGGTGGTGCTACCGGACCACTTATATCAACAACAAAAAGAGTTGAGGCTACGGAATACAAGCCAAAGGAAATACCTCCCGCTGCAGAACAAATGCCGTTCGAATATAGATAACACGAACTCTTTTTAACTTTTATGTTTTTTTCAGACCACCACCTCCTATCACATTTCCTGAAGTTGAAGATAACGATGCTCCAATTACCTATGGTCTTGTAATCCAAAATATTGACCAGAATCAACTTCAGATGAACAACGTAGGCAAATTTGCAAATTTCGTGAAAATTATTTTGATTTCCAGAACTTTGCACCAGCACCAATGCAAACAGTCGAGCCATTGATGAACAATGACATGGAGAACTCATTCGAAAACCAAGCTGAATACGATAACCGTGTCCGCAGCCAACAGCTTCCATCTCAGCAGATTGAAGACTTTGTACAGAAGAACAAGCAAAAGGTAATCTTAATTGCACTTTGTTTTTTTTTTTTTCATTTAATCAAACGAGCACGCAATTCCCTTCAGACCAGCGAGGGCTGCTTACAAAAAAGAAATCATTTTTTTAATGTCTGTGTGAAAACGCGCTCTCGTACTTGGCGCGGTTCTAGGCCCTAGCCTGGCACCGTACAATAATTTAGGCGTTCGGCGAGTCGGTATGTTGCCGCGTCGCGCGCACGCGCTCCCGCCACACGGACATTGAAAATCGTAATATCGAACGCGGAATAGTTGGCGGCGTGAATACGATGAATCATATTGTCATTGGCGGAAGAGCTTCAATGTGTTATGTGGTGAACAACTTTGAAGAACAGGGGGGAGGGAATGGGGAGACAGGGTTGCTGGACAAGATGATTCATCCGTATGGCTCATGCTGTCGTGCCAGTTACTGTGACAGCGCCAATTTTTCGTTGAGCTTTTGTGTCCGTTTTGGGTCTCGTTTCGAATTCATTGTCGTCGTCTCGACAACATTTTCAATAGAATAAATATAAAACGAAGAAACATTAGTCGTGGGAACAACAATCGAAGAACACCTTCTTCATGATACAATGTCATAATGTTACGACAGCCTTGGAGAAATGAAAGATTCAAGGGATAATAATTGATTTTTAGCTCTTCTCTTGCCGCAAATGCCGCGTGTTCCTTCCCACCGAGGAATCCCTTCTTCGTCATAACGCATCTCATAATGGAGATGACTTGTTCCCTTACAAATGCGCCAATTGTCGTCAGGCTTTTGAAACGGAAAAAGAGCTCCGCAGGCATGCCCAATTGCATTCTTTGGAAGAAGGTCCTTGGAGATGTGATGAATGCTTTGGGCAGTTCAGAAGTTCAGTAGCCCTTCGGCGTCATAAGGATCAATATCGGCCATGTTTCCTACCACCAGTTCAGAATAATATTGTAAATTCATGAAAATAATGAATAGAGATAACGCTTTGTTTAGATGGTGTCAGTTCATTCTCCAATCGACCCATTTTCTTTCATTCCGGACAGCGACAATCTCTTCCTTCCGGTTTGCGAAGATCACGCATTGGCGGGAGCAGATAGCGGCATTGGAAGCGAAGGATCTCCGAACAGTCTCTCACAAGCGTCGCCGGATCGCTTCAGGTGTGATAATTGCATGAACAATTATTGAGTAATGTTTGGTTTTTTTTCAGACACAACATGTCAGTCGAAGAGGCAATAAATATAATCGACGACAAGAAACAGGAAAAAGAGGACGACGAGGACTCGGGATTCCGTTCACGTCTCGGCTCCGTCAACCAGTCATGCTCACCGGATTCGTTCTCATCGCAGGCCGACTCGCCGCCACGCAAACTCTCTGGCGGCATGGACAGCACCAAACCGCACGAGTTTCTCAATGCGTTCGGCAGTGGCCCAACTTACGGACGCAAACTTTTTTTTGAGCAGCCTGTCGGAGGTGGTGGCGGCGATAACTTCACCTTGATGGATGATGTAAGCATATTATGGCGGCACTTTCGGTTTTATTTAGAAGCCAAACAGCGGTGAAATAGAGGGATATAGAACATTTCGGAATACTTCCCCACAACACTTAAAATTGTGATTTTTTTTTTTAGATTATCACCAATTCCGACATAGTAATGCTTCCCAAAGCTCACCCATCCGCCGGTGTTGAGCTTGAAATTTCTCCTCGAATCAACTTCAAACTTCCGTATAACATCAAAAGAGGTAGAAATGCAGTCTTTTAAGCAAAAAAAAATCAAGGAAATTCTTGTAGAAATTTCCATTGAATTTGTCACTTCTCATTTCCAAATGCTTGAACTAGATAACAGCGAAGGCAATGGTGAATGGACGAATGATGGTTATGATCATCCGTCTGAATGGAATTGTGAAGATGTTGAGGAAAAAATGATAATCTTCCTTATTGGTCTGTACATTGAAATGGTTTTCCGAAAGCGTAAGAAACGGTTTACTTTAATTTAAGTTTTTAATTAGTATTTTTCAGAGGCTCAAATGCTCTGCGACCTCACCCTTCTTGCCATGTTTATCTAATGATCCGCGAACTAGTTTAGTCACAATAACTTTGAATCGTCATTATTGCCAATTATTTAATCAAAATGTACCAAAAACAATCAACCATGTCTTTCATCATCCAAATTTTCGTTTATTGTAGTCCTCCCCAAGTAGCTGTTCATTTCCTAATCATGTGTGGTCTCAAACAACTTCAATTCTTTCATCACCCCCCACATTTGAATGATCCCATATTCCGAACAAGTCTTTCAACCCTACCCCCAACAAAGTGATTACAACAGAATATTTATAACGCCTTCATCATCATCCTGTAGCAAAATAATCTCGAGCAATCTTCAAAGTCTTTCATTAATTTATATTTATCATAGTTACATTTACGTTCACATTGAACAGTCATATTTTGTCATGTCTTGTCGGTGACCCAATATTAACAAATACCATCTAACCAATCAGCAATATATAATTTAATTTTTCAATTGAAAAATTGTAGAGCTAGCCAAGAAAAATTCACCAATCCCACCTGAAATCCGCCAACATTTGATCTCAAGAGGCGGCAAAATAACATTGTCTGTAGTTTATAGTTGTACCCAAATCTTGCTGTAATTCAAACCGAAGCTTTCAATTTCTCAAAATCAAGTTGATCTAATCGAGATTTCTATATTGAGTTTTATTTATATTTGATACAGATATTTATGCAGAATCTTTTCTCCAAATTTACCAAAGAATTCTAATACTTGATCGTGTCTACCCCAATACTCGGCGTCTTTCAATATCGTGTACTCCCCCAACCATTCAATTGTATTTTATTGAGACAAAGTCCGTTCCAAAGTCTTTCACAACCATTATATCTAATATACTATGACATGTAGTGACGCCGACCGTCGAGAAAAATTCATTATAATCTGTAAATGTATTTCTATTGTTTGGCTCTCAACCGTTGATACAACAGTTTGTGATTTTTCTGCGCGACCCCACCATCAATGTTTTTCTGCAAACTGTCTATCCCGGACTACTCAATTTTTTTTTTGTAATGACCCAACCATGCTATTTAATGAAACCATGGCAAGTGAGAAAGCTCGATCTAGAGATTTTTCGCAACGTTTCTTTTCAAATGTGCCATTGCATGTTTCTGAACATATTCGAAATTTCTATATATATATATACATACATATATATATATATATATTGAATGTTATCACAGAATAAATATAATACTTGGGAAATTGTAATAAATTTTTAGGGTATTACCGTACAATAGTTTGAAATTTTTTTTGGACATTGCGATTGCAAAAAAACGAGCTCCCTCGTTACTGTAATTATTAAATCGATTATTGAAAGAAATTATGAAAATAGTTTATACAATACACAAACTACTCGTTTTTGCGATGGTAAGAATTGTGAAGGTTTTTTCTATAACTTTTAGGATTTAGTGAAATCGTAGAAGTTATAAGAGTGACAGGTCAGTTTGACTTTGGTTTTTTTATTTTTATTTTTCCGAACTCTATATTCCTTTTTTGCGAACTTTGCTTTATTTTAATCAGTGTGTTTTCATTTTTCCAAAAAAAAAACATACCTGAGTCATTGATAATCTTTAATAAAAATCGAATTTTATATATACGACAATTTCTTGTTAGAACGAAAATTTGTTAAGAAAATTTTATATTTCTTTTTGTACAGAATATTTTCAAATGCTTTTTTTCGCAGTGAATAAATTTAATATTTTGAAAGTTAATCGGACTTTCACAAATTGGCTGATAATTATTTAATTTGACTTTTTGATTTGTCATTGACCTTTAGTATTACAAAAATTAATTTTAAACAGAAAAAAAACTACCAACAAATAAGTTCAGGGCTCAAATTTACAGCATTCGGTACAATTCTTAGAATGCTTGTTGATTCACATTTTTTAGGTAAATTGACACCAAGACAGATGATTTTTCATGTTTTAGCACTTATTGTCAGAATCAGAACACCACCGTATATCAACAAAAGAAAGGATCAGACATCAATAAAATGTCGGACAGAAATAGGAAGATTCATTGAAATATTTTTGTTGGTGTGTTTATGGTGCACAAACATTCGAATGATTGCGCGAACGGGTGTCGACAATAAATTGCGCGAGCGTTTAATGTGCGCACCGTGAAAAAACCACGTTGACCAGTTTATGAATATACATTATGAAAAGAGACGGGCATAAGGAATCGTACAAACCTTTTCCTTTTTTCCAAGACAGAGGAAGTCGAGAGAATTGAGTCCCTTTAGACGAGAAAAAAAACGGGTAAATGTTTTGGAAAATGGGAAAGTTTTGTTTTCATGAACTGCTTTTAGCCAACTTTTGTTTTTGATTAAAACTCTTTTTTGTTCAGATTTCCAAAAACAGAATTGCAAGTGAAATATTCTATTACGAAATATTCCTTTTAGGGAATGTATACTGTTTGCTGTTTCAAAATTTTGACCACAGACGTTTCTTTTTGCTGACGCATATGCCAATATTGAAAAATACAGGGCCTTTCGAACCAAGAAGTAAACATTTCAAATCAAATAAACGAAGAATTTAATAAAGTGTAAATTTTTGTTTGAAAGAGAAATTAAAATCATTGATAGTGAAGAGGTGATTTCAACTTATACCAAAAAATTTATTTATAATGACACCCTCTTTATTTCTTCAAACATTCTGGAACCTTGTATTCAACCCAATTATGAACAAAATTAGCAGAACGTGCCAATTCACGACACGATTTTTCCTCGGGTTCAACAATTGGCTCAATTAACTTTCCAAATGTTTAGCTAATATTATTTAACGAGTTGACATAACATTGGAAAATCAGATCAAAAATGTTTTTAATAAACACAAATTTTTTTGCCGTTTTGGGGATTTACGATAAATTTATTTTTTAAGCATCAATATCAACGATGTGTGTCATGTAAAAAAAGATGTAAAGAATAGACAACAGATAATACATTTTTTTGCTATGAGCAGTTGTTTGAAGCAGATTATAATATTCATTATAATCTCTTAAAACTTGCTTTAAGATTAAGAATCATGATTAAGATTCTGATAAAATAATCGACCTACATGCATTTTTCGAAGAATCTTGCCACCACTTTGAGCTGAGTCACGTGAGCAACTCGAGTTGCCTAATAGACTTTTTAATTGTTTTTTAAATTTTCATTATATTATACATTCCGAAGCAATCATTATTTGATATACATAAATGGGATGAAGCAATTTAGACGTCAAAGTGCTCCAGTCACAAGGTTCAGAGGGCAATTATTGCTGACGGGTATTTAGTCGGAACTGAACTCTAGAAGAAGGAAGCAGCCAGCGATTTTTAGGGACTGGGTCAAACAGGAATGCCATATTTTGTTAATTAGTGAATCATATTAAAGACGGAGTACGGGCATTTTCAGCTGAACATTATTTATTAAATGCTAAATTGCTTACTCTCATAAAAATTCATGCGTCTGGCACTTCCGGTTTTATGACTGAAACGTGCCGTCTATTGTATTAATTACCCACACACAAGGTCAATTTTTTCGGATGTTCTTTGAATGACTACTAGTAAAAAAGAGTTGATAAATAATTCAAGTTTGAAATAATTCGTGGTCGTTTTGTTACATGTTTAATGGAAACCCGAGTCTGCCGTCATATTCATTTTAACAATATGCAATAGCACTTTGGCGACAATCACATTTTGCTTTTTCGACCCTAAACAGTTTGATTCTTCATTTGGGAAATCTGCATACAATCAACAGTGGTAAAAACTGGAAAAGCATATAATAGTTAGGAAACGTATAATGGATTCTCTCGATTTAAGTCAATAAATGAATGTTGAAAATTTTGAAAAGATATTGGAAACGATTGTTACAAATGTCCCAGGATTACTCATTGAAGAAGCGCGACGTGTCAAGCTGCCCTCCTCTCTTGAAGAACCTGAAATTTTGTTACGGTTTTTCCTGGCAAATGTATTTGATTTTGAAATACCGTATGCTGGGCTCCCGTCGAGACCATTTCTTCTCCAAACCAAGTAATGGCATCGAGTATACCGCGTTCTCCTCGTTCTCGCCAGTAACGCGGAGAGCGACAGCTCCTAAAACCACCAAATTGCCTCAGTACTGTTTAGGGTGTCTTAGCTTACCAGCAACGAAGAAAAGCGCAAGAACTGTGATAATCCAGTGATTCATTTTAGTGATTTACCTGAAATGCTAGAATAGTTTAGAATAAAGAAAATTAATGTAGACGGCTAGGATTATGAAAATGCTAGACAAAAATTATTTGACTTAATGAAGAAACAACACCACGGGGTTCAATTCGAATGTATGCACAAGAGCCTTCAAGATATCTTGAACAATAGAGGCGTGGCCTCTTTTTTTCGACGAAGACAACGTAAAGCTGACGTATTAGAGGAGAGTGAGTGGCGAAAAGGGGAGGCGAATTCTTATGCTCGTCTGTGCGCAGGTGAAGAATATATAGCATGCTTGGTATGGATCCACCCCTTAGGAACTACCGTAACCACACTATTAATTTGTTTTCTTAATGAGGACATTAAACGTGGACTAAAAACAATTAAAAATAATGATCTATATAAGGAAACATTTTTTTTTTCATTACAACTAACATGAGCCGGATTTTGTCATGGTGAATTGAGACAAATATGATGAACATCGGATATTATACATCAAATTGAAAAGAGAATAAAAAATGTATACTAGGCTCAATATAATTCAGAAAGAAGCATACTTCAAAATAAGAACTGGACTAACTGATTTCGGTTTGAAAAGAATCTTCTTCGTTTTTTTTTGTGAACAATTATTTTTGTTTACCGGTAATGACATTAGTAAGCTAAAAACTTATTTTCTATTTTTTTTTGTTCGTTAAAAGCTCAAAGAAGCATGAATATCTCTTCACGTTCGAAATTAAAACGTTTTATAATAAAACCCCGAAAGATCCACAATTTCTGAATTGATATAGTCAACGATTTCTTGACATTTTTTATAAATTTCTTCGACTTTTAAGGATTATGTTAATCTTTTCTTTGACATTTTAGGTAAAACGTTTCAATAAAATTTCTTGGAAATTGATTGCACTCATTCATAACTACACCGTCACAGGTTCTGCAAAATGATAATTGAATTCAAAACATTATATGTTACGGATAATATTGAAACAAATAAACCATATTTCAATTATGAATCATTTAAGAAATATTTTTAATCTGCTGTTCAAGTGGCTCAGAGAATCAATTACTATGATTTTATTTTCTTTTTATCGATCTTGAGTCACTATAAATTTCATACATTTCTTTGGTTCTTCGAAATTGATTTAAGTATTCGGACCTCTTAAACAAAAGTGCATTTCCCGCAACTCATCTCATCTTTTACATCATGACCTAGGTCAGATTCTGAAGTCAATACGTGACATATCTCATTACTAGTATGACGCAGAAAAAAACTGAAGCGTTTACAAAGAAAACTGACATTTTGTCATTGTCGACATTTGAACTTGTTGCATTTTTGTCTACTATATTTGCAACTGGCAGCTGAATTACGATTTTGACGTGGGCAATTGCGTCGGAATAATTAGAAACTATTTATAATTAAAAATAGAAATGAGAAGCCAATTTCACAATTGCCATTTTTAATTAAGTCGTTTTTCTGCGGCGGTTTGAAGGTCAATTTTGAAACCAAAAATGCAATAAAGTTGGAAGGAATTGGCACAAATCTGGCCATAATTAAATTTCATCAATTCCTAAAAAAAGACCTGAAGCTAGAGTCGAGGTGAAGCACGCATGAAGAATCAACAGAACACTGTTCTTTTAAATGCAATGAATTTGCGTTGGCTCATTCTGATGTCCTATCTTATGCATCAGTAAACTTTCAAAACAAAAATTACTGAAAACCATGACGTGAAAGGTTAATACACGCAAAGAGCAAAAATTACTTTTAAAAAAATACTGAAATAACAAGCATAATACATCTTTATGTCTTATATTTTTATAAAGGATATAATATTTATATATTTATAAAATATACATGATTCAATGAAATTCTTATATTCCAACCCACTAATATCTGGGAGGCTGATCCTTTTTTTGATGAACCCGCTTCAGTCAAATTATTGAACTGCTACTGAACAGGTTCACGACGAAAATGTTCTTACATTTTGATCATTAGCAATTCTCGGAAAACCGCAGACCTGATTAGGTTCACGAAAGAACCACTTTCAATTTTCAATTCCTTATATTGAAGAGCACATCGAAATTAATGATCATCTAGCTAGAGAGCACTTTTAAAAAGAAACTGCAACTATGAAAACGGATTGTTTACAGTAGTAACTCTGGAATACGTCATAATAATATTCGAATCAAGATAGAAAACCTTATATGTATACATAAAAGTATATTTAAGTCAGCTGGTTTATAAAATTTAGCCTAAAGCATAAAGACGGAAAAGTCATATTTTGTGGATGATTCAAATATCATTGAGTCCCTGTTTTTCGTCACATTTCATTACCATCAATGTATTCCGCGTTCCATAACTATATGTTTTATATATTATTATATAAAAATTAGAATTTTTTAGTATTTTCTGCTTCTCGCCTACTTTATTGTTATAAGTCTGGTTTTCCAGAAACAGGTGAAAATAACTCAGACTTCAAGAAATCGCCGTAAAAGTCATGCAAGAAAAAATTACCGCTGAAATTCGATTATATTCATCGGTGTTTTGTAAATATTTGCAGGGATATTAATGCGAAAGAGGCGAAAGGTTTCAGTGACACAAAGTTTTCTGGAATTGCAACGCGAACTATCTCGCACCTGAAACATTGATACAGCTGTTCGATTAAAGGAACACATCTGAAACTCTATTTTATATCTCTAGCGAATTTAAGGGATTTTAATATATTATAAGCAGTATTAAACTTGTCAAAAACTTTTATTTTGTTTTGACGTTTCTCAAAAAAAATGAGAATTCAGTTGACGAGTTGGAATTTAAAAATATAGATGTCAATATCTTGTTTTTCAGGTCTCACCAAAGTTCGCTGTTTTTCACAAAAATCTTACTGATAATTAGTATCTCTTGTGTGATTTTTGAAAACAACCTAAATAAGGCAAGTTGGTGGCTCCATCGAATTAAATAAAATTGGCATTATTATCATAATTCGTGTATGTTTAAACAAGAAACTAAACACTTGAAACAATATGACATCATTTCTATTTGTGAGATTCATAACTTTGAAATCAGAACGAAAATATACTCAAGAGGGGAATTTTCTAGGTAACAATATAATCAAATTTGATTTGACGCAAAATATGATTTTTGCAAAACCGAATGACCTAAGGAATGCCGGATCGAACACCATCGTTTGTTATAATTGGGTCAAGGTTTAATCTTCCATTGAAATTTCTGGAAAGCAACATGATAAAAAAGTTTTGAATGTTAACAGAATGAGCCCGCAGATTCGAAATAAAATTAATTACATCAAGATTTAAAGCATATGTAATTTTTGTTTAACTAATTACAATCCATAAAAAAACGATTATTGATATACTCCGAAGTTGAAAAAACCTGCATTATGTAATTAACTTTTTTTTTTACTTTTATTCCGAAAATTAAAGAAATAATTGACATATGCACGAAAGATGATCATCTTTACCTCATTTTCATTGCGACTCATGATCCCAATATCATGCATAGGAGGTTTAGTTCACACATAAAATTGTCATCATGAAAATTATTATCATCGCCTGATAATCTTGTATAATGAAAAACCTTAACCCAATTGTTCACAAATCTTTAAAAGGATACACAGTAGCCTACAACATACATGCCCTACTGAACTATTTTGATTTTCAATGAAATGATAAGAATTCTTGCCGTTATTACATTCCATGGATCAGCATCTATGAAAAAGTTCAATTTGGAAATATAAAAGTTAAGAAAGTGTATTGAAATCTAAAATAATAACGTTTCTAAAGAATTTTTATACGGAGTTCATGAGATTCTCTCAATTCAAGTAACAAAAAATCTGTTTCGTATTTCAATGATTTTTTAAAAATGATTACATTCACAATCCGCCGATTTTTTGTGGAAAATCAAGCAAATTTCATTTTTGTCACTGCTGCTTCTCTGATATTTTCTGCCAAATACTTCGCGTTTGAGTCGGAAATGTTTGTTGCCGCACTTAATAGTAAAATAATACGAAGATGTTGACGAAATCCCCGGAGAGGTGCTCCCACTCTGATGCTTTGTGTTTTTATCTCATATGTTGCTCCTGCCAATTTTTTTGGTCTTGACGCTCTTTTTTTCCGCTGTTATGTCATGAAATTTATCGCGGCTTTTCCACAGGACAAAAAGCTGCGAAAAAATAGAAAAAATAGTAGAATTTTGCCGCCAAGAACAAAAGGAAACAAATTTATACCGTAAATGCAAAGAAAAAATGCATATCCTTCGAGATTCACCCGATTTATATGGGAAAGGAGCAACTCGATTCAATAATTCATCGCATTTTGTGAAATGCATTTATTGTTGTTCATTGACCGCTCAGGTTAAAATGTTTTTGGTAGTTGCCTTCAAAATGTGTCCAGTTTTTGGAAAATGTAATTTGACATGATATATTAATACTTAATAGAATGAAAATTGAAGGCAGCGGGTCGACGGTCTCAATATATTTTTTTTGATTAGATTTGTAATGGTTAAATTTCTTCACCGCCCAGAACAAGTTTAAACACATTTTATGTAAATTTTTTATTCAGATATAAGCTACATTACGAATTCATGAAATCTTTGGAAATTCCGTTTTTTCTTTTTTAAGCTCCCTGGAAACCCTTTTAATTGACTCGGATATCCGAATCAAAATCTTTTGATTCGCATGCAAACTTGAATTTTTGTCATTTATCACCCCATATGGCATGTCACAAAGGTCGGGCTAGAGACAAAGCTGATGTGTGACTTTTTTCGTCTCAGTGGATCTTGCACAACTGGAACAGAGACGAAAAAGAAGTGAAATTAGAAGAAAAAAGGAGGTCTCAATGTCCGGATGGACCGAGATTTATGAGTGGTGTCGCTTTTTGTCGCCCTTCCTCTTAACTTCGACAAATACAACGACAAACTAGCCTTTTTTGTCATTGCGGGCTCAACAATTTCTTGTGTCGAGCAATCATATCAAGTCTTTTAAGAGCGAGAAAAAAATCGTCGACAATTCTACAAATGTTCTATCAAATGTGTTTAGCAACGCAGCTTTCCTGCTATTCTTTTTTCTCACAAATTTAATTCTATCTCTTTATTTTATACGGAATAACATACATTTTTGTTGGAAAAAAATGCTATTTTATTTAGATTCTCCGAGTTCATATGGTCCGATGTAGTCCGGGTATACTGTATATAGCTGTTTTTATAAGTAAGTCAAATATTTTTAATGTTTTGATTGTTATAAAAATGCGAAAGGAAGAAAATACAGAGCCGGTGTACAATGGAAAATCTTCAAATGCATTTGACAGAATTTAATTATTAAACACCACTTCTTACTCATCACGAGAATACAACTATTTATTCTCAGACGATAAAGAAGAATCCTCACAACAAATTTGATCTCACAGAGAATTACGTTATCAAACTTTACCAACTACAAATATAGATCTGAAAATAAGAATAAATTAAAAATCTTTAAATAAAATCTAAAATCTTTAAATATATTTAAAATCGTTTATGATAAATAATAGGTAATATTTTGTTAGAAATTCTGTTTTCAAGAAGTTTTCAAGAAGTTACAAAAATTTCTGAAAACATTATTTCAATTTCCCTACTTGAAAAATTAAAAAATTTTTACCGGAACTTCTGTCTTAATAATATTGAGCAAATTATTGGAACTTTTGGAACTTCTCGTAAAAAGGATATTCCCAGAATTTTCGATTTCTATTTCGACCAAAACTTATTTTATGTGAATCCCCAGCAATCGGCAAAAGAAATCCTGAAACGTTGACCCACTGCAAATTTTCTCATCAGAATAGAATTTGAATAATGTTCTCGTTTCGGAGGGAAAGTCAAGCTTTACTCAAGCGCCGCCCACTAAATCTGGACGAATCGGAAGAAGTTCGTCGTGAATAGTTATTCCAAGCAATTTTCATTCAATTTCATTGGGGCTAGAATTTTAATTTAGTAAATATATTTGTAGGATACCCACAATATTTCTAGGATACCCATTTAATTATCGATTGTCCCCCTAATTTTTGTGTATATGTGTGTTATGCAGTGCTATATTTATTCCTTTAGAAATTTAGTTATCAGATTTTTGCTCAATACGTCTCTTGATGAGTATAATAATACATATAAGACCGGATGAGAAAAAAATGTTCATGAACCGACATGTCTCATTTGGTTGCGCCTCAAAATAGGAGATCGTTTTCTTCGGCCAAATAATATAAAGAGGCGGTTGTGCTCGTGCACTAATTCATTTAGCCCACATCCAGCATATATTATGAATATATATGAATTCCCATTGCCTCTCAATCTCGTTAACTACAGTATTCGAGTTGGCGCTCGTGTTGTTGTTGCGACAAGAAGCAGCCGCATTGTAGTTGAAAACAAGTATGGGCTCAACGGCCGCTTCCGCCACCTATCATGCGTACGGCGACTTGATCCGAACGCCATCATTGCATCCCCTGATAAGGTTGGTTGATTTTTGACTTAATTTTCGGGTTTTCAAATAATCATACAGTTCTAGAAGTTGTTCAATTAAACAGAACAATTTGTGCAATAAACGAAGTCGACCAATTTCTGATAAAGATTTCGAGGATGACAAGTCAGGTACGTAGATTTTCGCCAAAATGTATGTATAGAGGAAGAAAAAATTGTGAGAGCCCAATTTCCCAGCACTGGATTAAAACTTGAAGTTGACACCCGGTCTACGCCGTAGGTTATAAATTGTGCGCAGACATACATAAATCGTCATGCAAACTTTGCATTGTTGCAAGACGCAAAATCAAACAACAACTTGTAGGGATATCATTATCGATTTTTCTCTAAACGCAAAAAATAAACTATAAATATAAACTTAGGGACAAGTTCTTTGTAAAAACATAAGTATCCGGTCATTATCCCTGAAAATGTCCTCATATGCATTCTAATGTCTCAAAGATCATTTTCGTACCCTACTCTCTTATTCCATTCTATTTAATTTCTTTATTCAACTATAGAATGTGCATTTCTGATTGATTTGGAACCGTCATAATGGGTCCCGGAAAAATAATTCGAATTCAATTCTCGTTAAGGTAATTGTTCGCGCTTGAAATTGAGGGTGGTTGATGGCCATTGTCAATCATCCATTTAATGTACACCTTTAAATCGTTCGTTGTGTTTTTCCAAAAAAGAAAAACCACCAGCAAAAAAATGCTCACGCTTGTTGTGGCAAAACGGTACTCATCTTGTAAGACGAAACCAATTAACGCAACGGCGAAAAATAATTCAATTTTTATTGTTGCTGTTTTTGTTTTGTGTCTGAAAAGAATCGCAACAATGAAATCTGTCGCCGCCTTGACAAGAAGACGAAACAGAAGATGGAAGGAAGGAACAAAAAACAACAAGTAAACCATTGGCGGAAATATGAAGTGAGGCCAAGAGAAGCAGCTAGTGACTTTTGGGTGCAGCACCGCCATTGCGTGTCAACCGCAGTTAACAATGCTCTTCATTTTGCCGAAGTGATCATCAATTCCGTCGAAATTTTTTGTCCACTTTATATATAAGCTTATATATTGCGCGCCGTGCATGACCGATTATTACTACTACAACAACAAAAACTTCAAAGTTTCGGGTTCATGTGGGTTGCAACCAAGGAGAGCAGCCGCAAAACGGACATGTGCGATTTACGAGGTGCAGATGCGGTTGTGAGCTCGTCGAAATTGTATATCGACGCTTCGCCGTGCTCGTCGTACCATCGGGACATCAACAACGTGTCGACATCCCGAGCGTCGACCCGTTGCCGACATCATTTTGCCGCCAATCATCATTACACGCTGTCGGCGTCGTCAAGACTGTCGCAAGAATCGTTCCGCTCGTCGGCGTATTCCAACGGCAATTATTCAAATCCACTAAGGACCTACCATTCATCAAATAGGCTTATGATAAGAGGAGGTAGGTTGCATAAATTAATTCAAATCTATGTGAAATGGTTTTTTTATCATGTGAAATGGTTTTTTTGAAAAGCATAGACAATGTTCAAATCCCTTTCCATTTCCTATTCTTATTAAAAATTATTAGGCATAACCATGTTAGGCTCCTTAATGCAAAAAACAATGAACGCTTCCCAACTATACAGAATGTGAAAATGCATATGTATATAGAATAATTTTGGGATCGCCTAATTCTTGCAATATCAATTATTCATTTCAATAATTTTTGAGCAGCACAAAACTTCGTTTTTTATTTGGCATTAAACAAATTGTTGTTTACCATTTTTTCCCATTTTAATTAAAATATTCAAAGCCCAATTTTCTGCGATTCATATACGTTTTTACTATCATTTGAAATGCTGGCACCAATTCGAAGCAAATCACAAGCCTCATTTTCGATTCTGCGCAGTGATCGACAGAGTAAGTTCCTTCTTTGTGAACACCAGAAGAAGCAGCAAAAACAAAATCCGACAAGAAATACGTTGAAATCCAATTATTTTTTCGATCCGCAGAAATAGAAAAAACGAACCATATTAAGACACCAAAATAGTATAGTGTAGGCGGCAGGCAAAGTAAATTATAGACTAGTTTCAGCGATTTCCTGCCAGTTTCAAATCTTCTGACATTCTTCTTATTCCTTCTCGAGAACAAACCATATATGCAACGTTATACATATTCCTAGTAACACTCGCTGACCTTTTTATTATACTGTATTCCATGGTGACTTTTTACAAGCGACTTCCATGAGTATTCCTTTCACCAGTGAATTCTTTATAACTAGTAAGTTTTCTAACTTGTGTGGTCGCGGGCGGGCTCCATATCAGAAGAACATCTCGGTAGTTTAATTGTCTGATTGAATGTGTCTCTTTAAATTCTCATTGAATGTGTCATTTAATGTTGAATGGAGCTAGTTGATGTGATTTAAATGAGCTAAACAGCCAGACAATTCGGTACAATGAGGATGTAAATTGAAAGAAAAGAGAAGGGGGTGGTCTGAGAAATTCCCAGAAGATGAAAAATATTGAATAGGATTTAAAAGGGAATAGCAGCGATACTAGTATGAGGAAGTGTTATATGAGGCTTGAAATAGTAAAAATAGAAATGAAAGAATTACTTATTTCTGAATTCTTGTGAGATTTTGAAATTATTCAGGTTTCAAATCCCTAATACCTCCTCAGTTCTATATGGGTTTTATTTCACATTTCACAACATTATTGGACATCTTTAGAATTCATGGATGAATCAAATAATGGTTAATGTGCTCACCAGACTACACACACATATATAAATATATGTATATATGTGTATATGTATAACCACTTCTCGGAATGTTTTTTGGAAGAATGAATGCTCGGACACAAAGTGCAAAATGTGAGCGAGAAACACATAAATTATTTAAAAAGTTTAAGTTGAAGAATCAACTTGTTCGAGTTATTGAATTAAATTGATCTAAATTCTGTTTTTCACACATTTGAGATTGTATGGAGGGGGGGGGGTTGAAAATTATACATTATTCAGAAGCAGAACCAAGTATTTTCATCTTATATCAGCAGTTTTCCGTTTTCCTTCAATGTTTTCTTCCCTTCATTATATCCGTTTTCTTCCAAAAAAGTAATGCTGAAGGTTAATGTGACCTGGAAATGCATGATAGTTTCTGCCTTTTTTCCTTACTTTAAAAACAACTTTTTTGGTACAAGATGAGCGCTGAGATATTCAAAAAAGGTATACGTTTAGAAGAAATCCGTTTTGTAATCTCCTAATTTTTTTCAATCGGTGGCGTTTTCAATTTTTTAGGTGTGATCAAGAAACTTTTACGATTAGAAAAAATGCAAGATTTTTATAAGATTTCAATGGTTCCACCGGCAAGCTTTTCAGGCAAGCAAGACACCAAATGTATTTGTCATTTTTAATTCAGTTAAAGGGTCATGCACAATTTGACATCGCCAGCATTGTTCTAGAAATAGATTATAATGCTTCATCAATTACGCAAAATCTAATATTAGAGAATTCAATCTTAATTAAATTTTGCCCCCCCCCCTCTTCGTCATTATTGAGCGACGAAGCATTTAGAGAAATATTTCTTTTAATTCTCAATAGGATATTTGAGAATGGCTACATAATTAAGAAATGCGACTAAAGCAAATCCGAGCCTATAACAATTATAAGCATCATCGCGATGCTCGCAACTGGATTGTTTACGGATGATAGAGTTTTACTAGAAGTGACAGCGCGAGCTTGTCATCGTCGTCTTCATTCATCTATTTGTTTCGTTTCATCCTGAAAAAAAGTGCGGCCCATTTTTTGTCCGCCATCCGCCTGCCTTTTTTGTTCCAAAGGTGTATATATTAGGCTTTTTTTAGAAATACTGATGAAAATTCAAATTATTTTTTATTTCAAAAAGCTTTAGTTTCTACACAAATTATTAGCTTAGAGGTGTAACTCTCACAAAAAGAAATCTTTCAATTTAATGCAAATAATCAAAAGCGCATAAAATATCCTGGATAAGCTCGTTTCTGTTTCAGATTTGTAATTATTCGGATTAATTTAGCCTGAAACAATCCGATTTTAAATGCGCGAGAGCCCTTAATATTGTATTCTAATGTGACAATGAAAATTTCCTCCCATCTTAATGCAATGTATAAAATCCACAAAGAATTGCCTGTCTTTCTGCACATTTCAATTTTTTAATAGTCGCTTCACAACACCACCGAAATAAAAGAGAGTTGGTCTGAAAGGAGGCCATTCATTGTTTGCACCTGAGAAATTCTTTTCGTAAGCATGAAATAGTTGAAAGCTACTATTCTCACAATCATTTTCGAGTTATTTTCTCAAAAAAATGGTTACAAACTGAGCAAAAAAACGCTCAATTGGCTCCTGACACTTTTGATATTAATCTTTGGGCACATATTATGAAGAGGCGCGAAGCGATGCCGAATAGAGTCCACTAGGGCTCAATTTCTTCACTAGTTTCCAATTCGGCTTCCCACGAGACTTGTTATTCATCGTTCCACGCGCTGAAAACGCCGATTGCGACGCGTGTCACCCATTTTTTTTGAAAAGTTGCATGAACCAAAGAAAAAACGCTATACAGGACATCCCAGCAGACAGAAAAAAACTACAACGAGACAAAATACGCGCAACTGAATTAGTGCATTTGCTTCTTTTTATGATCCATTATTTCTCTTTTGCCGGTTTTACTTTCTTAATTTCCCAAAACGTCTTCCTTAGAACGAAGTAGATCAAATCATGTTCGCTGAATGGGCTCGTATGGCGCATACAGAAATGTACACCAACAATCCGACGGCGGTCGCGTTGATGCCATTTTTTGCAGCTTCTGCAATACGCTACCGTAAGACATTTTTTTGTTTAAAATTTTTTCACTTGAAAAATTTTATAGAAATGCACATCTTGTTGATATTTGTTTTCTATTCACCATCATATTGAGAGTTTTAGCTTTTGTTTTTAATAATTTTTTAGAACCTGCGAACATTTTTTCGAGAATCATACAATAAGATAAAATATATATTAGAGTTATATAGAGTAAAATATTTGGCTAAATTCCATTTTCTGAATTTTGCCGTAGTCCTTATACTTCTTGTTTCGTCCTCAATATTGAATAATTAATTGGGCATGGTTCAAATTTTATTCAATCCAACAAATTCTATTGTTTTTTCTTCACATAAATAATGAACTTTACAAAAGTGCGGAAGTGAAGTGGGTGGAAGGAAGTTGTAAAATTTTGGTGAAGAATTTCTCGCAATAGAGTTCCACGGCAAGAGCCTCAATCTCATTGAGCTGCTGCCGCCATCGTTGACGCCGCCAATTCGAAACTGCATTTTCAACGAATTGATGGGCAATTTCAGAAAGCTGTCGAAATGATTGATTTCATATTGTTCATCATTCGTCAACAAGACAAGACTCGTCAGTTTTGCGAGCAAAATTTTTTTCGCCGAGCTGATATGATGAACAGGAGACATACATAAAGTTCAATTTCTCAATAGTGCGGATTCAGAAATAAAATGACTCAACAACCTAATACGGATGAAAAATTCTAAATATCACTTCTCTTGTGTACTACGTTGGATTCATATATGTACATACCAAATTAGAAAAAAAACAATGTTGCATTCCAGAATGGTCTCCATTACCGTAATCTTTTATTACCATAAAAAAATATAATTGTATAGATAGCTTAATTAGCATCATATGGTGGTTTCAAGGTGCTAAAATTTGATTGTTTGTTCTCGAGACACTCTTCACAAATATACACAGCTGTAGCAAAAAAGTGATGCGTACGCGAGTGACGGTGGGAGGAGGATGTCGGAAACTAGGTGCGAAAGAGAGGAGTGTTACGCGTGTGCTGGATCCCGCACGCCCGATTCATGCTCTTAACATCTTCTGATTCAATATTATGGGTTCCACTGGGCCATTTTCATTTCGAAGGCTCACGCTTGCCCATATTCATGACTCCCAGCCCTATAACAGCGGTCGTCGGAAATCCAGCTCCGGCGGCGCTGGTAGGCAATCCATTTCTTCCACTGTCAATGTGATCCACACTGAGCCTGCTGTGCCGTACTACCATTACCGTAAGCCACCTAGCCGACCTCCGAGCAGGCCTCCGAGCAAGCCACCGAGTAATCGGAACTCCGCGGCACTCAGTCGCCATAACACTGTCAGATCGCATCAGATCTTTTTTGATGGTTAGTTTTTACGATTATTTTTTTATCGGTTTCTTTTATTTGAAAAATTATGAAATTTCAAGCTCTTATCTTGATCATCATAAATCATTATTATAATTAGTGCGAAGCTCTCGGCTTGAATTCAGTATTCGCTATGTCAACTCTTCCCGAACACCCGAGCACCTTTTGGCTAATGCTCGCCAAATGCATTCCAGATGGTTTGTGCAGTGGGTTTTTCTCCGAAAATTTCATTTGATAGTCCCGAAAATTGCTCAGCCAAACGGCATTCCAAATTATCGTAGAAACGAGGTGGCATCACGAGAAAGAGACAAAAAAAAACAACTGCAAATTGTTGTCTTCTAAGCCCAACACTCCCACACAATAATGCCAGAAATATTGTGAATAACAAGGGTTTTCGTGGCCGGCGGCAATTTGCAACAATTATTTTTATTGAATCCACTGAGGGAGGCTGGCGGTAGCACACTACGATGAACAGACGCGTTTTGAAGAGCAATTTATCTTTTTATCAGATCATTTGAGAGTCGGAGCTGTTCGTAGTGATAAATATCTGTTGAATGAAAAAGTAAAAAAAGATTGTTGCAATTTATTTCTGCGGTGCTTACCCGTTTATCTCTCCCGGCGTTGGTTGAGGTTTGAACCCAGAAATCCACGCCAGTCAGCCGTCAGGAGAACGAAAAAACCGAAACTTTGTTCTAAATTCTTGAGCATCGTCAGTCAGACAGCAAGTTGAAATTTTTTTGGCTGTTCCCAACTTCTTTTCCAACAAATCCCGGTATCATTTTACATTAGTAACTTGATATGACTGTTATTGTTCCATTTTTTTTCGAAAATAATCTCATGCTAATCGTATAATAGTCAACAATATTTAATTCGACAAGAAAGGGTTACTACTTTAATAAGAAAACAAAAGGAAAAATTAGTATGGGTGGAGTCTTATATTTGTTCACTTTCACCTATGGACCACACGCATCTATTAACAATTGAATGAGACCACATCGAAGTCTCCCCCCCCCCCTCCCTACTTTCACAAAAACGTCTTGTTTTCTTTCCTTCTTCATTGAATGAAAGGAAGGAGCTGTTGGGGTGGTGAAAAGATGGAAAAGAAAGTAAAATGAAGAAAAGAAAAACTAGTAGTAAAACGCATTGGTTTTGGCGGATCGGTGTCGTGTCGCAACCTCTTCTCGCGTTTCGTATTTCCATTCTTGAGCAGTGCTCTTCTTCACCGGATATCGCTTATTGCGTCGTCCGCTGGGCCGCCAGTCTTATTTCCATTTCCGCCGTGGCAGTTCCTCTCAAAATTTGTTTGAATCAAGTTCAACGCTAATTACTCCTTCGTGATTCTGGAATGCGGCGAGTGTAATTGACCGTGACACTTCGTAGGATATAAGTGTGCTCGTTCACGAATGGGCTCGCTAGGAGTCGGCCGCATATTCCAAGTCGTCCAAAAACCGCAACTAAGACTCCCATTATCCGATCTTGCATTTGTTTCATCACTACCCGAGCAATATCTACCACCATCATTTCAAGGTAAGACACTCCGTCGGAAGAGGGGGGAGGGGGAGGTGAGGACTGATTGGACTTTTTGTTTTGTATGGAAGCGTCGGCGGCGGTAAATCAATGTCGCACAGCACTGATAAAGGTCAATGTTGCTTTGATATGATTTCATCATTTAAATGGTCATCACGTCTACTTGAAGTGAACTAAATTTGAATTGGAAACATAAACACTTCCTAATTGGATTAATATAATCAAAACAGTGAAATGAAACATGTAAATCAAATAGCCATTTTTTTCCAGAAAATATTGGTCGTGTCAAATGGGAAGAATATAACAAAAGGGAAGGCATCGAAGAAGCCCCTGAGCAGCCAATCGTTATAAAGGTGCCATTATGGAGGCGAATTTTGAAGGTACCATTGAAATCGACAATCAATCTTTTTAATCGTTTGGATTTTGCAGCTACTAAAAATCCTTCTCCCTCACGTTGGCTTAAATGTCCTACTATTATCCTATATTGCTTTGGGAGCAACAATCTTCATCTGGCTTGAAGCAGATAATGAGTTGGAGGGGAGAAAAGTACACCATTTCTTTTGAAAGCCCATAATATCAATCAAATTTTAGGCCAAGGTGAAAAACGTTTACAACATTTATTCTCAAATCATCAATGAAACAATCTCGCTATCATCAAATCGGAGTGATCCATCATGGGTGAGAATATCAAATATTGACTTAATTTTTTCTTATTATTCTCGGCAATGAACATGGAGAATTGATATGTAGAAATAAGTCTTTCCGTTATCTTTTATCGTCAATTTCGCGAGAAAACTGCCCAAAAATGAGAGAAATTTCGTGTTAGTAGGCATAACGAATGATAACCAAGCCCAACCGGAAATACTTACACGGAATTTTTTTTACACAATTCAATTTAACTATAGATCAATAATCATTTTATTCCATTTACTTTGTCACTTTAAAATTGCCCAATTCCAGATTGAAACCCGAATTCGACCCTTATTAGTCTCACTATCAAAGGCTCATGAATATGATGATCGGTTTACGGATGCCAAACAACTTTGGACTGGAGAAGAGGAAGGAATGGAGACAAGGTTCGAATTACTTTTCGAAACCCAATTTTTATTACTTTTAGATGGACATTCGCCGCTGCTGTTCTTTACGCTCTTACCGTAATCACGTCGACCGGATACGATCACGTGACACCATCAACAGATCCTGGTCGAATTTTCACCGTTTTCTTTGGCTTGATCGGCATCCCGTTGATGTTCATAACTGCGGCCGACATCGGAAAATTCTTGTCGGAAATCGTTATCAGGTGAGACATGTCGGTGTTTTGTAATCGCAATCGCACATTCACGCCCGATCTGTCGAATATAATTTTTTTTCACATTTGAGAACATACGCCAAGCTTCTAGCCATGTGGAAAATGATCGCGAATCTTGTGGAATTGGTCAGAACACATTTGTTTGATACAGACGTCGATTCGATTGATTCAATGTAATTGGGGGGAAATGATTAATTGAATACAATTTGAATTGATATATGTAGGGAATTGAAAAAGAACAAGAAAAAAAGTACAAGCAGCATTGATGAAGATGAGTGCGAAGATGAGGAGGATCGACTTCAACTCCCTATAGCAAGTTACTTCACCTTAATCATCGGATATTGTTGTGTAGGAAGTCTTCTATTCAACACCTTTGAGAAAGGTCCAGTATGGTAATCTCACTATACCAAAAAACTGTAAGATTATATTTATCTCAGGTCTTTTATTCATGGCGTGTTTTTTTCGTTTAACACAATAACCACCATCGGACTTGGTAATATTCGGGTTCAGCAACATTTTTATCTAGCGGTTTGCCAAATGGAAATCTGAACTTTTTCAAAATTTTTATTACAGCTAGCCGTTTCTTATGTAATTATTGGGCTTGCTGTGATCACTGCATCGTTGGATTTATGCTCATCGACTCTTAAACGAACGTTCACTAAACTTCACTACTTTGGACGAAAAATACGTGGAGCTCGACGAGGATTTGCTAATATGAGTGATGATATACGAGAAGCGATGCGAATTATTGCCGCCTTAAAAAAGACAAGGTTTTACTTTTTTCAAGTCTGTAAATTCGCAAATTGGATAAACCGCGTTATCAGATTTCATGTGATTTGTATAATTTCTTCGCAATAGTATTTTGTTTTCAGACCCAGCAAAGACCGAATAACACTGGAAGATCTAAAACGATTCCTCGAGGTTCAAGAACATCTCCTTCGTCAACCTTACGTCCCTTATAATGTTCATTTAATGCGCTGGATTGAAGATAACGTGGGACCGCAAATGGTAAGAAACGACCTTTTCAAAATCCATACATAAGCGAACATAATAATGATGATACAAAGAACAGGTTCTTTTTCCCGAAGTTCGGAACTATTGTAATAACCTCAAAGTATACTTTTAAATACCGGCGTAAACAGTTGGTATACCGGCGTAAAGAGTTTAGAATTATCGAGAAATGATATTGTTGGTTAAAAAGTGATTGTATTTTTTACAGTATGCTCAATATATGGATGACATGTCTGGTGGCAAAACCCCGATGTCGCCGTCAAGATTATCACACAAAATGTCATCCAGTGATCCAATGCTTTTCTTTTAGAATATTTATTGCCATTCATACAATTCCTATTGGGTATCACTTATATATCAGGTTTTTTCTGAAATGACCATTATTGAATTTCATTCATTCACAATCTATGTCTTTAATTTTTTTCCAATTGTCTAATTTCTCAAGTCAAATTGTTCCCTTCTTTTTTGTAATCTATCAATTGTGATCTTGTAGGGTTTTTAATGTTCTATCATTTCTAATTTTTCACACATTTTTTTCTATCGGATTTGTATTATGTATTACATTTATTGTAAATTTGCAATATCAACATTTTTTCGCGATAAACAATTGTTCTTGGAATGTTTAAGATGCAAGGGTCTCGATGAACTTGACAAGTGTCTCGGTAGCTTTGTGGAGCTCGCATTTTGGCATGAACTCGTCCTTTGAATGCGCGTTGCGAATTGAGCCGCCTCCAAACAGGTACTTCCCTGGAAATTCATTTTGTTTATTCACACCATCAATTTCGACTGCACTTTCACACTTACAACCAAGTGTGTTTTACACTCGGAAACACAATCATTATGTTTTCTGATACTTTCGTACAGATTTTACGCGAAAAAATGGGTGTGGTTGTATTGGAATGGCCGGTTTTATTGTCAACTTGACCGACAAAACATATGCTTCGTGTTAACAAAAAGACCTCCCTAATAACAAATTGTGTACATTGTAAGCAAATCACATGTGGGTACCTTTAAGCTTGTCACGAGCGTTAAAGTATGGCAAATCGGTGTTGAAAGCCACTTGATCAAGCGGCGCCTCAAATGGTGGCGGATCGAGGACCACTGGGTCGTTGAAACTCAACGGCTCGACAACGGCACGCTCTGAAGGAAATCTACTAGGAGTTCCCTACAACATTTATCTACCTTTGACAATGCTCTTTAGAATCTTGTGAATATCATCACAAGTCGTAGTTACTCTAAAGAAAATATCGGCTTGAGCATGCTCCGCCCAAGCATTAAGAGCTTGTCCTCCCTCGATCTTTCCGACGTTGAAAGTAGTTGCTCCTGAATAATAAAATCAAGTTGGGTTCTAGAACGTTTATTGGTACCATAACGTTTGTCATTTGGCCAATCATAATGAATAACATCATGAAGGACGTCAACCAAAGCATGGATGGCACTTTTTCCAGAATCCAAGTACCCCGAGTGTCCAGCGACTCCCTTCACAGTAAGGCGAACCTAAAAATAATGGGCTAGCCTGTAAATGAGTACGACGATCACTGAAACCTTGAATGCTCCCTTTTGAATCGTTCCGAATTTAAGCTCAGTTGGTTCCCCGACAATCAAGTATTCAGGAATGATTCCGAGTTTGTTGGCTTCCTGAACGTAACAATTTGATTCACTAAGAATGAACTATCTTTTTGCAGCAGTCAGTTTTATAGCAAATTAAATTTTTTCAAGGTCTGTTCAAATTTTTGTAAGGGCCAGGAGATAGCCATTCAGAATTTTACATCTTTTCAGCTGAATTTTAATGTCCCTTCACCCTCCATTTATGTTTTTAAAACCCAGTAAAAAAAAACACCAACAATCATGCCGACGTGATCGTATTCCTCACCGACGACAAAGAGCAGTCCGACGCGTTTTGCAAGAGACTGATTTTTCTTCGAGATAATTGCTGCCGCAGTAACCATTGCGGCAAGTTGTCCTGAAAAAAACACACACATTGAGAACTAATAGAACTTCGTCAATTTTTTCTTTTCCTTAAGTGACAAGTTTAGTATGCATTGAGTTGCCTGGTTAAAGGGCCTAGTCAGTCTCCATAAAGTGAACTTTGAACGATGTCTCCCCTCTCTTCCCAAATATGTATCTCATAATGTGAACGCACCCGACAGAGGCAGTTTACAACTCAATTAAACACTTGAAATCGCAACTTTTAATAGCTGACCAAGGCGACGAGCGGAAGAAGAAGGAAGAAAAAAATCAAAGTTGGATTGCTTTGTCGAAATGACCAATGCCGATCATTTCGGTGGACGCATTTACCTTTTGCATCGTTAGTTCCTCGACCATAAATGTTGTCGGCGTCCTGAGTTGGTGCGATGTATGGCGGTACGGTATCAAGATGGGTATTCAAGAGGACCTTGATGTCTGTAATATCAGATTCTTAAATTTTCGCCACCAGAATTCAGGATTTAAAATGTTAGCTTTTTGATTTATTCCGTAAACTTTTTTAGAATTATCTTGAATAAAAATCTAAGCTAATTTAATAGAATAATAGGAATCACAACAGTAATTGCGTATAATTTATTACCACTGTTTGCAAAGAAGCTAGAAATGAGGTCAAAATCTGTGAATTTTCGTCCCCACTTTGAAGACTTCACGGTTTTTAAAACTCAAACCCGACATAGACCTACTTGAAGTCATTTTTGTCAAGAAACATTATCATCAAAAGTGCGCTACTTCAAACCATTTTGACGAACAAATTTCATGGCATTGAACTATATTGAGAGTCGCAATTATCAATTATAAATGGTCAACGACCTGCGTACCTTTCGATTCCTGAAACGTTGCAAGAACGTTGAAACGAGTCGAATTTGGGAGGAGTTGTTTCTCCACGGTCCATCCAATGCTCTCCAAATCTTGAATAACTTTTTCACCAAATTTCTCTGTAAATTAATTATTAATAATCAATAACAGTTTCTAATTGAAAATTTCGATTTCTGGTTATTATTGGGGATTATTAAAATGACTTACCTTCTACTCCAGTTGTTGAATCAATGTTCATGTACTCAATAAGGCGTTTTTCGACTTCATCCTTTAAATCGGCCATTCTCGACGCTGAAAAATTCGCTGTATGGTTTACTAATGAATGAGAACATACGAACGATAGTACATATAAGGAGAAGAAGGAGAGGAAACATTGAATCGCACCCGGAAGAAAACAATTGGAACGAACGATGACATTAAGACCGCGTAATCGTCGAGATTTTCCTCTCTGCGTATCCATTACAAAATGCCTACTGGGAGCAAACTCTCAGTCTGTGAACAACCAATATCACTTTGCAGCCTCGAAAAACACTCGCCATTCGTGTGGTCAAAACCAAACTCAAGGTCAATTTTGCCTGGACCACGCGAGGTTTCGCGTTGTTTACAAGTTTAGCAAGGAACCGAAAAAAAGGCGCCAAAACGTCGGCAAAATAAAAATAACTAACAGACAAGTGGCGCCATGAGTTTCTTTCGGAGATATGGAACTGTGATAATGATGATACAGAATACGTGCTGTCGCGTAAAATTTCCAAGAAACGCTAAACAACCTAAAATGCAACAAAAAAAAGTTATATGCTGACCAACGAAACAATTGTTCTTCCTTTATTTGCACGTTTTTTTGCTTTTAGAATTACCATTTTACAGAATCAAAATTGAAATTTGGTTTTAAGTTCAATTTTTTAAAATGTGTTATTTACATTGAGACATTGCTTGATATTTTGAATAGTTTTATTTTTTAATTTTCAATCCCTGAGACATTTTCGATTTCTGTTATGACAAATGTTGATCATGAACTTGTTGTAACGCACTCTTAAATATTCTTATTTATTAATACATACTGACAAACAAATAGAAATCATTCGATGCATAATAATTGAAACAACACATAACCATAATATATTGAGATTGGTTAAGGACAATTCAAGTTCGATTGTTTCAGATTTTCATATCTACAAACTTCTAAATGTTACTTGAGAGTTGTTAATAAAGTTGTTAGACATTATGTTTGAGAAAACAAGGATTTTATTAGTAGCAACCCGTAGTGAGGAAAAGACCAGTTCTGGTCAAACAAGTAAATGCCGGAAAAATACCTAGTTTTTGCAACTTTCTAAAACTTTTTTTTTGCAAAATCGGGGAAATGAAGGGGACATTATTTGAATAATAATTAAGAATGCTATATTTACATGATGAGTATGTAGGGCTGAATTGAAAATATCAATAAATACAACATGTCGAGGAGAGTAGGTAAATATGACCAAAACGTGGAAGATGGCAGCCTGATATTCATTTGTCAAAACTTTCGCCGAAATTCGCATCCCCTCAGGTTACAGTATTGTTTTTCATATTGCTGTCCATCGCATTGACCGCTACCGTAACATTTTCGGACACGTTTGCGTACACCATCGCCACAGGTTTCGCTACATGATGACCAGTATCCCCAACCTGAAAGAAGGAATCTCGAATTATTTCACACTTCAAAAGCCAAAGCCGTCACAAAGGTTTTCACAACGGGGATACTAGTGATTTTTGAGACCTTATATCAACCTCTTATCAATCGACAATATAACTTATGAAAAAAAAAACGAAAGGTGGGATTGATTTGAGGAAACGACACAACGGAGGAGGAACTTACAGCAAAAAAATTTAAATGGCATTGTCCTCTGAATAGTAGTAATACATTTTTACACTTGCTATTCGCAATTGGGAACCGAATGCATAAATAAATATGCAAACGAGAAAAAAACTAACCTCCCCATGCAGCATTCTTGTTCTCGCAGTCACGATCATTACAAATTGCGGATTCCTTATAGTTGCCTGGACAATTTCCGGATCTGCATAATCGGGTTCGCCTTTTGACACCGGCGCCGCAGGTTACTGAACATTGCGACCACGTTGACCACGTTCCCCATTCGGATGGTACGGCTGCGCATGGCTGCTCGTTACAGTACTGTTGGTCACTGGTTGGGCCCGAGCAGCCACTTCCGAAACATGATCTGCTACGGCTTCGTAGACCTCTTCCGCAAACTCTACTGCAGTCAGACCATTCATTCCATAGAGACCATATTCCGTCATTTTGGCAGTTTTGTACGTTACAAGATCTTCTTTCGTGCGCCGACCCGTCGCAAGGTTCCTGAAAATGCGGAAATAAAATTGAAATAAGACCCAGAAATTTTGCTTACTCTATTACAAGATCTCTGCCGAACCATGGTACCAGGACCGCAGGAAGTGGAGCACGTGCTCCAGGTTCCCCAAGATCCCCAGACACCAATTGCATTACAAGGTCCATTATCGCAAGATCGAACTTCGATGTTCTTATCTAAATGCAAACACAAATCAAAACTTTTGTTGTAATCATAACGTTAGAGTGCATGTGAATCAGAATTAGTAAACTTCGAAAAACAAAAAATTTGATAAGTTAATATTAGGGACATGCATGAAAACTAAAGAGTTAGTAAAGCACAAGCAACCTTTGTGAAATGTTATGCGAAGCTGTTCGGTGACTTTGTTCGTACCAGGGCAATCGAATGCCAATGTTCTGTACGGGCTGAGACATTTTCTGTATCTTGCTTGCGATCCTCTGCCGCAAGAAACAGAGCATCGATTCCATTCAGTCCATGTGCTCCATTCATTCCCAACAGCCGTTGATGTTGGACATGCTTCAATTCCGCAGGTTTCAGTTTCCGTCTCTTCTCCGTCACATTGTCCGCTGGTAGAGCAGGTTCGCGATCTGTGGCAAGAATTGCTTATTGCACGTTTTTTATGGTTCGTTACCTTTTACGGTATCCACCACCACAAGTAACCGTGCAACTTGTCCACAAACTCCAAGTTGACCACTGCCCTGAAAATGAGGATGACGATTGATCGGATATAGGGCAGGTGTCCGTTGGGCATGAAGCGTCTCGGCTGATGAGTGCCATGTTGTTACAGGACAATGACTATAAAAATCAAATTTGAAACAATTTCCGATTTGAAATATCTTACCAAGCACTCTCCATCAAGACAATATCTATCGTAACCGCAACTCGTGCCATCCGGAAGATTATCACCGAAGAAGCGATAGTTACGCTGCCCTCCATATCTTTGCTGAACGTCGCAAAACACTTTGCATGCACGCTGAGGGAATCGGTTTAGCTGGCTTCCACGACCAGTCAGTTCCTTATCGTTCTTCAATCTCTTCTGCTCCATACATTTTTCACTGATGTACTGAAAATGGGCAATGGTGTAAAATTGAATAATCTGAAATTTACATCATCCACGGATTTAGTAGCTCTTCCACATTGTCGACTGCAAAGTACTGCTCGGCTTGTTGAACCAATGCAATCACTTCCGCCGTTAGCTGGATGAGGGTTCGAGCAGCTTCTAAAAATAGTATTCATAAAGCTAGTACTAGAAGCATTTTTCAAAAAACCTTCTCGAAATGGAGAGCCCGATGGATCCATAGATGGAATTGCAGGTGCACTGGTTGCATGAGAATTGAGACCAGCTTGACCATCCTCCGTCGATTCTTGTTGGGAGGGTTGTAGCAACTGGAGGAGCAGCAACTACTGGTGGTACAACCTCATTGGTTCCTGTCCATGGAACACATCTACCCAACTGGCACCATTTATTTGGCCCGCAGAAGGTTCCTTCCAACGCTGGATGAGAGGTGATAATTCTTCCGAAGGAAGATTGCCCGCACCACATCATGTAACAAATGCCATCATAGGAATCCTGGCGCGGTGTCACCTGCAAAATTTCAAATTCTCACCCGAAATTACGAGAAACCCATTTTTTGTTCTTTTCTATATTGCCTAAAGATTCCCGATTTCCTCAATGTATCATTTTCCCATTCATCTTGCAAACCAACCCCAAAGTTGCGAGAGAAGATAGCAAGATACAAACCATACGATGAAACGATTTGGACGTTGGAAGATGGAGAAGAAGAAGAAAAGGGAGAGGATGAACAACAGAGGAAAGACGAAGAAAAATGTTTAGGTTGAGGAGAAGGTTGACAAAAAATTGAGAGAAATTGGCGGGGCCTCGTCGTGGTATACGGTGTCAATATCATCTTGCGCCGGAAATGGCGGGCGCCTACCAAGCAAGCGGCATTTCTTCTTCGAACATACACATAAATGACCACAATGTTCTTAAGAGAAAACCAACCTATTCTCCAACAATCAGACGACACGCGAAATAAGATCAATCGGTGAATTATCGCCTCCGCTCTCATTTATTGAGGCTTCGATTAGGTTGAGAGGGGTCACAAGTTAGAAACTAGTACAACTACAACAAAAATTAGATGATAAAATAAAAATCAATGTGATAAGAAAGAAAGATCAACTAAGGACCCGGAATTCGTTACCAAAACAATTTAACAAGTTATTAACTAGTAATGAGATCAAAGTTCGGTTAATTTTTAAAAAGTCAAGTCCCAGTCAACGTTTTTCGAAGAATTCCAGCAAAATGTGTTATTGTTGTGTTGCAATTCGTAATCTAATAACATTACATGACATTCAATTTTTAACGTCATTGTCGAATTTCTTGTTTTGACACCCGGAATCAACGAACAATCAGCCATAATTTGAAGGGCATGCTGCATGTATCTCACCTGCTGATATCCATTTCCATGCATCAGTTCGCATTGGAGATTCGCGTCATAGATTTGTCCGGGTTTCACGTTCGACGAGATTTGAAGCTTCGTTGGCATGTTCGACACACGTAGGCAATTCTTACCGCGCGCGCTGGAAAACAGAATGTTTAGCAATCAAAAGTTTGGCAGGTTTACTCAAGTCTCTGTAGGAATTGGTGATAGTCTCTCAACGAACACGTCGACCAGGTGACTTTTCCAGGTCCCAACGAAGATGACATGATGTGTTTTGATGGACAGTATGGCTCGTCATGTCTCATTCCGACGCTGAAATAAAAGAAATTAATTATCCACTTCCGGAAAGTGGTATTGTTTCATTTTTTTTTCGGAAAGCACTAGAAACCGGTGTTGACGCAGTTACTTGTAAGATCAAGTGACCGGACGCGCGACTTCCACATTTTGGTTGCTTTCCGTTGTATACAGATTCCGATAGCAAAAAAAACACTGACCTATGACCAAGTTCGTGGGTTCCAATAAATGCTGAAGTGAAATCCAGACCCTCAGCAAGTGTACACGTATTCCATGGATCACACATTCCATCAAGTCTGGCAATTCCTGAGATTGATCTAGAGCCTGCGCCGCGATGAATGTCATATCTGCAAATTGATATTATTCCATCAATCAACGCCACTATTTGCAATTTATTCAACACTGAAATCCGAATCAGAATTGGTTGTACCCTGTTAGCATGATTGCGTGATCCCAATCTCTAACCGCCAAGTTCCTCTGATAGCGACAGAACCGGTCAAGATACATTTGGGCATTTCCATGGTTGTGGAGATATCCAGCAAGAGCTGCCTAATCAAATGTGAACATGGGTTATTCAATTTTTAGCCATATATAACTAACTGGCTGCCTGGTGAGAACTTCATATCGAATCACTCGGAAGGTGAGCGGAGGACTAGCGGTTGGCTGGTAGTACATGATTTGGATATTGTTGAGAAGTGTCAACGTGTAATCTTGAAGTTTCTTCTCAGCCATTCCGCCGTATTTGCTGCTGAAGTGACGCCAAAGGTTCTCATCGACGAACACAGCCAATTCTACCTAAACCAATACGCATACTTGACTTTAATTTAGTTAATCGCTGGTTACAATAAGATCTGATTGTTGAGTGAGACGTTCACCGGTTACAAAAACATCCTCGAATATCGCACTTTCATCTTCAAGTAGCGATTCTTCGGTCACAACGTTGTCAAGGCCGCAGAAGTCGTTGGGCACTTCGCCATTCAACGTATCACGTTTATAGACGATGTGGACACCATGTTCTAAAAATTCGTCAATTTTTGCGCTCCTCAAACTGGTCGCGCCCCAAATTATCTGGGTCAAAATTGCAATCGAATCTATCAAATTGTGATTGAGAACAAATTTCCAACTACAATTATAGGGAATGGCTTCTGAAAAAATAGAAGCGGGGAACAATGTAAAGGAAACGACACCTGTATTTCGTTTTGATCGATGCGCATGTCGGTCGGGATATGGATGGATTACAATTATCTCCCCATTGTCGATGACAGTTCCTTTCTATAAATTGAGACATTCAATTGTCGGTTTTTTGTCAAGAATAGGCAGCGGGTTTGAAGAAAAAAGCCTATGCGACCAACAAAACACTCGCAACAACTTCCTCTCTTTTTCATAGACTGGCCATTGCGTTCTCTGTACTATTATGTTTCGGTTTGAGACTCGCTAATTGTCTAGTTGATTGATCGGCAAACGTAACATTCATATATCAATATCTAATCGCTTTTGAATTGATTATTTCAACTAACAAGCTTCATGCTTTCTTTTTTTCTAATTTCTCGTTGTAAATGGCACTCACAATTCGTCCGTCGCAATCACTGATAGCTGCGTGTATTCTTTTCGAATGGTGATGATAATGACAACTTTGAATGTCGCTCCCAAACCCCAAACGCCCTGAAAACCATAATGATGATGTGCTTGGTAATTGCGAACAACGGTTCGCAATCGTTCGATTTCCTCAAGAGGCCTTTTTTGAATGCTTCTCACCTCCTCTTGATTCGTCCTTCTTTACAATTGTAACTCCATCCGCGACAAGCTTTGAGAGTGTTGGTACAAGGGTCAGGTTATAATTTCTACCAAACGCCGAAAAACTAATTGTACTCAAGCTTCCGTTCAAATCATATCTTGGAATCGGATCAACTTCCTCATGCTTTGGAACTAAACCAAACAAATTATCAAAACGCGACGATTTAAACGTGATATTCAACCTTTACTGTGATGATCAACACCAAATGTAAACTTCAAATCTTCTTCTGTGAAAAATGGAAGAAACGCGTTAGCGTTCTGAAAAGTGTATTTTAATAGGATTAAATTCCTCAGCAAGCTTTTTCTTCATTTATATCAATCAAAATACAGAGGGCAAAGTACTTTTTTTTAAATTTTTTTCTTTCAAAACTTGGGGCAAAAATCAAAATTGTTCACTTTTAAAAGTAACTTAAGTATACATACTTCAACATTAAATTTGAAGGTCTAACCCGAAAACGTTTAAATTTTTTGTAGTCGCCTACTTCTTTTTGAACAATGTTCCATAAATGTCATTACAATGGCAATGGTTGTGGAAAAAGCGGTAAATAGAAAAAAAACTATAGATATGAATCAGTTAGCGTTCAGATGTAAATATTGTAAGAAAAAATGGGAAAGATGCAAAAAATCGCATAGTTTATCTTTCGAAATCTAGAGAGTTTCACACGTCTTTTCTAAATATTCAGGCAATCAAAAGATTCGGTGGCTTACCCGAAAGAGTAAAACGCTGACTAGCAGCAAGTATAGGTGCATTTTGAATTGGCAGATGGCCAAGATTGAGAATAATTGAAGACCAGTGGTTGCTGAAAGAGCAGCCTCGTGGTGGTGTGAACTGAAAAAATAAATTCATCATTAATCATTAGCACATCATTAAGAGAAAATAACACAATATAGCAAATGGACGAAGTGGGGAGGGACGAGAAAAAAGTTTAGCGGAAACTGTAGACCACGCTCCGAACCCCGAGACACCTTCATAATTCTAAACGTCTTCGTCTTGCCGGGAGGGCGTGGCTACTGTAGAAGAATACAAAAAAGACTCTGAAGAAAAATGAGAAGAAGACATCCCCCTTCTCTCCAACCACGAAACATACACACACACATAAACGCTCACGCTTACACTCACCGTACACTCACAACACTGTCGATCGTTAGTCGTTCTTTTCGCCGAGGCATCCCACGCTCACACTTACGAGAGAAAATGTTTCTCGCTCACACATCTACCGCCACCATCACCCATCACCAAACAGAATCGGAAATGAAAATACGAAACCAGACATGGAGATCACCGGCGGCCGACTGAAACTGCTGCTGCTGCTGACCGAACCGCCCACTAATTTATCCCGCCTTTTACTGGCCGTTCTCATACCAGCGGCGCGCCACTGGGACAATCTGAGCTCCACCCTTTGTCCCATTAATTGTATTTTTTGATAATATTGGTTAAAGGAGAACGAATATGAATTAATAAGTTTGGGGTGTGGTGTTCCGGGTTAGGGCGGACGTGAATTAATTAAAAATAAAAGATAGGTGTGGTGCAAACGAGAAATTTTTGTAGTTTGAAATCAATTTGAAAGATTTGTGAGAAAGTTTTTTTTATATCAGCAAAAATCCGAAGAGACCTTGGATTCGTATTCTTAAACATTCAATGACCATGACTTAAAATTTGTTTTACGACTTTTTTGTTTCGTTAATGTTAACGATCTTAAAATGAATTTAAAAATTAGACAATTCTAGAAGATGAAGAAAACTGACAAATGGAATTTCATGAAAACAGTACGTTTCACATTTGAGCCCCGAAATCAACTTTTTCCGTAAGGAACTCAACGAATTCGGCTGATCTAATCTAACTTTTCTATTAAGCAAAAGTTTTTAACAAAAAAAATGATTTTGTCGGGAATCTTAAATGAAATATTAGAGATGGTAAATAAGAAAGTGCCGAAATCTGATTTGCAGATTTTTATAAGAAGCTTGCAATGTGGCGTTAAAATTACCCATACCAAAAAAAGAATTTGTGCAAAAGCAACCACCTCCGCTTGTCCATGTACGAAGCATGGTCATTCATTGCAAACCGAGATCGATATCTTTTTTATTTTCTTACTCCTAGGTTGTTTTATGTATTTTCGGTGTCGGAATAAGATCAGAATAGAACAAAGATGCAATGTGGGGGTAAAAATTGCGTGAAAACTTATCAGTTGTAACCGGTAGCGTTTCTGGAGAAGAATCAATCAGTGAATGAATGGGATTGAAATCGAAGAGAAGAGGGTGGGTATTTTGCTTGTAAATTGCATTTTTTTTGCAAGAGGCAAAAAATCCAAATTGGAGGAATCATCTAACCAATCATCATTACCGACAATTTGTTTCGCATGCCTCTTCGAGTTAATGAACCATGACTGAACTTTATTTTGAGGTCGATTTACCGGACAACATCATATTTGTCGGGGTTCTTAGAAAAAAATATGAAAGAGGGTTCGGTCACCACTATTGCTTAAATTATGATAAAAATTATAAGGAATTCGTTTGCGTGATAGTGATTGATAATTATTTCTTAATTGCGCTGTGAAGTTGTTACATTAAAAGGTTTTTCAACTAGTTATCGTCATGTTTTGATAAATTACTCTAAATTAGTTCATTGTTTCTCGGAAGAGGAAGGCTTGAGGACGATGACAATATGATAATGATGAAGATGACGATAATAATTGTGAAAACGAAGATAATGACGAGATTCGAAAACTTATCGGTTTTCTGCATAGTATGTGGCGTCCTTTTGCCAGCAGTTCAGTTCCTTCTGTTGAACGCTTTTATGACTTCCAAACGGTACACGGAACTAGCAATGGCAGAAAAACAATGCAGGTAATGAACACAATTGGCGTCATGAGATACAGAATATCAGTTAGCGTATTTGGGAACGTAGGGAAATCATCAAGTAATTGAAATCAAGCATCGGGCTTAGCTATTTTCCGGAAGACACTTATATTTTCTATTATTACATCATTGCTTGCATTTCCTGTAAGATCGCCTACGCTTTCAGGATTTGATCTATTTTTACAAACATACCTTTTCAGAACATGCGGAACGAGACCGATGAACGCAAACAATGGAGGGAAACTAGCATTTTTTGATGGATTTGAAATTGAAACTTGAAATAAATGCAATTAATTTCGTCTCTTTTGATTTTTTGTTTAGTTCCTAGATTTTGATGGATGTTCGATCATCAAATCCTAAATTTTGACCGCAATGTCGAGCGGCAATTAAAAATTGTCTCGCCGGACCAATTGTGAACAGCAATTTAGGCAAGATTATTGTGTTTAAGCGCTTGTCAAGGTTGCTTCTATTGAAGATCAGACTACACAAATTACGAAAAACTTATGGTAATTTAAATGTTTTTCGAGGATGGGAAAAAAAGACACAAGCCGTATGAGAAATGAGGGGATTCTGATTTTTGCTCTGACTTTTATACGCGTGAAAATCTTTTACCGCCACCGACGATTTCTAATGTGATCATGTGGGAGTCGAACGGTATTCAAATCATTTAATGGCTTTTTGCGGAATTACGTGGGTGTTTGAAAGTCGGGGCCAGACGTCTTCATCCACATGCGTGGGTGAAGGGCCATGTGACAAATTTCATAACAAGTATTCCTTGAAAAGTGCATAACAATTGAAACGATTATGCCACCTGAACTTTATGTTAATTTTTGTACCGGGCATCGGTTTTTCACTTGATCTCGTTATTTTTAAATGGCGGAAACATGACAAATTGCGCAAAAGAGGCGCATAACAGGCGGTAGGGTCACAAATCGAATGAATAATGAGTTCGCCTTGGGAATCGATATATTGCGATCCAGAAATTTCCATATTCCTTACTGTCAGCTAACACTTGTAAGCAGCCGTTTTCAAACAGTACGGTTGTTCCCTCTGCAGAGGGATTTGAAATAAACATGTAATTCAAGCAGATCGTTTTGAGAGTCCAATGCGACTTCTCAGGGAACAAAAATAAACGTAAAAAAAAACATTACCGTGTAATCATTATTTTCTGTTTGCAAAAGAAAGAATAAAATATAGAAAACATGTTTTGAATGGCAAGATCTGTGAACTTAGATGAACTTCTCTGCTAAGAAATAAACTTGAGAAAAGTAGTTAGCGAAATTTGAGATAAGATCTACGTCAACCGAATTTTGCGAACCATAAATTCGCAACATTGTTTGAGAAATGGTTTTTTGTCAAACGTGAACATCTGGGGATGACAGCAGTCGATCATGGGAGATTGGTGTTCTTTTTTTAAAGTGAAGCTTATAATTTGTAGGTCAACTGCTATAAAATCCTGGAAATATCGTTGAGAAAATGTCATGAAGGGAAAATGATATAAATGACGTTGCGTTCAAAATGTTCATCAGAAACCTTGAAATTTCGAATTTCGAGGACAAAAAAGTTTTTTTTTTAAAGTTTTTGTAGAATAGCATTTATTGAACTTGTAGTTCTTTAGATTTTTGAAAAAAATACTAGTTTTGGAAAGTTGAACTTTTTAGATTATTAAATTTTGACATTGAAATTCTGCTATCGATGGTTTGTTTGAGCCTAACCTTATGAAACGTTCAAGAGAACTGTATACACAATAATTATCATCAAAAAATGGTCACAAAATACAATTTATAAATTATACATTACGGGAACATCAAAAGACACATTTTGAATATCTTGTAACCTTTAGAAAGCAATTAGAATAAAACGTGTTTTAGTGGTCATTCGGTTTGAAGACGTGGTTTCACACAACCATTAGCAAGGTTAAATTTGATTCAATATTGAATAGTGATTGAGATCAAAGGTGGAAGGATTATGCTATTAAGTTGGAGTTTTTTTTTGAGGAGTATACCGGTTTTCACTTTTACTAAGCTTTTTCCAAAGCAATCATCATGATGTTCAAAATAATAATAATGAATCATATGAACAGTAAATATCACAAAAACTGGTCTGAACAAGAAATTCTGGCAGAAACTCTCACCATGCGTTTCCAAATATAGTTAAAAAAAAACAGCGTTGCATAAGTAGTCAGAAGTTCGCAAATATTATGCAAGTTTTCCTATATTTTTCCTTTTCAATTCATGAGAAATAACATTGATTAAACAAACGAAAAACTCTTCTTTTTGACAATTTATTGACGATTCATTCAATTTTTCCAGATTTCCAAAAATAGTAAAGTTAATGTAAATAATGCGGAGATACAAAATTGGTACAGCAATGAAAATAGAACAGAAACAACATTTGATTTTAATTTTTTAGGTCCACGTGAAAACGTGGCGACCCGCTGCACTTACTAACTAACAATCAAATTGATAACAATTAAGTGATCGCTAAAAATTCACAAGATTTTGAAAATAAACAAGATAATTTATTTAATACACTCAGTGGCGACGCGTCTTTTTAACTTCATTGACGTCGTCGTCATCTTGGAGTTCAAGCTCTTGATTTCCATCACTGTTGTCTTCCGGAGAAGGTGATGGAGAGCGGGACATTGACATGATGCCACGAAGACGACCACCAAATGCCTAAAAAAGAAACATATGAGAAAATTGTCGCTGTTTAGACAAATGGTTGATGATATGGATAAGTTTATTAATATTTTTGCTTAATATTTAAGTATTCACAATGTTTATCTAGAAATATTCTAATTTAATTTTGTAATAACCAAAGCACATTTGCAAACTGCCAAACTTATCTTAAAATGTGCTTTATGTTATAACGTTTGTCAGCTCAAAAATTGATTTAAATCGTTTACGAAATGTTATTTGAATGAACGTCATGAAACATTTTAAATAATAAAATTGTTAAATAACAACAACGTCACTTGAAATATTCGAAAAACTTCTTAAAGAAGTTTAGAAAAAATCAAAATCAAGTTGCTTAGCACAACGGAGTATCGCCAGGCTTCAATTTTTCAAAATCAAATAGAGCAACAAAATTTCCCTTGCAATGTAAATTTCATAGCTTACATTCAATCCTCCATCCTTGTGAAAAGTGTCGATGAAATCCCTGATCAAATCATCAGATTTGCTCTTCCAAGTGTTTAGCAACTCAATTCCTTTTTCTTTCAATGAATCAACCTTATTCTGGATTTGGTACTTACTAGCCTGAATCAACAATTTTAGTAAAAAAAAATAATTCGAATATCTATTACCGCCAAAAAGCCAACATTCAATTCTTTTGCGGAATATCCACGTTGTAAATTTCTTCGAACATATTTGTCGTAATCACGAATAATTCTGCAAACAACGTCACTCGTGGAAACTCCTTCAGTTCGTTCAGTCTCCACAAACATTCCTAAATAATTTTCTTACTCAAATATTTTAAACTTCACACCTTCTCGACGAAACTTTTCATACAAATCTTCCTCTCCAATTCCAACATACGGGATAGCGTCATGAGCAATGAAGTCAACTTTCAAATTTTTCAAGAATTCCACCGTGCAGAACCATGGTGCATGACGATACACCTCATCGACATATCGGCAATGTCGGACTCCGTCAAATCGTTCCTCTTCCGAAGTTACAGTGCGCCCCTTGTATTTGTGAGTATCTTTATCTCCGCAAACTGCAAAAAAAGTAGGTCATCATGTGTGTTTTTTGTGAAAGAATATATTTGCCAAACATGGTCGGATGTTTCTAGAAACTTCCTGTTTACAAGAAAACTAACCTCCTACGATAAGATAGACATTTGGGAACATTTTCTTTGCTTGTCTCAGCTGATTGGCATGTCCGTGATGGAACAAATCATAAATTCCGTCGGCGTAGATGCGAACTGGACGTCCAGCTGAGGAAATAAATAAAAATTGATGTGTTTTTTCAATGTACAATGTAAAAAAGTACCAGTTCCCGCTTTTGCCATCTCCAAAGTGATTTTCTTCGAGTAATCCACATGCTCACGCTCCATTATAGCCTGAGGTTCATCACTAAATGGTGCAGGCTCGTCAAGAGCAAGTCTTCTGGGAACATAATCCTCATGTTTCTCAACTACCTGAATTTTTTTTGTTGTCTGGGACGCAATATTGTAGAATCATTTTCAATAAATAAATATATATATAAATATATATCATATAAAAATATTCATATAAAAATATATATAAATAAAAAAATATATATATACAAATTTAGTTTTTTTCTTTTCTGTTAAAGTTTACAAAATATTTTGAAGAAACGTATGAAGCATTTATTTTAATTTAGCAGCATTTTTTAATCCAGCTGGTCAAAAAATTGAGCACTTCGTTCCATTAAAATCAAGCTTTTTTTTCAATTTTCAATTATCCAAACCTCGGTTCCTCTTTTCTTCACATCAATTTGCTCAGCTTCTCCATTCTTGTCCAATGTTCTTTTGCGTTGTGGCATGGTGTTCCCTAAATAAATAAAGAATAGAACGATCGAGCAAACTATAAGTAAGGGCAATTTTATCAATAAGCTTCGTTCAAGTTCAAATAACCAATGATTGACTGCCACATGGCAGATTCAACAAAAAATGTTTTATCTTTCAATTCAAAGAAAAATCGCACCATTTTGATAGTTAGTGATTACACGGGGCACATTGAACGAAGAGAAAATTTCGCAATTCGTTCGACTATCAAGTTCCAACTCAAAAACGCGGTGCGTCACTTTTTTCTTCGCTGACATGGCATAACATTACATATATAGAGCTAAAGCAGAAAAAAGGCCCAGTTTGAATGAGAGATAGCAACAACGCTTGGTTGAAAAAAAATAGAACGAAGAGAGGGAGAAGGAAAAACGAACGCGTCATCGTAAACAAACTGAGCACGAACTATGGGAAAGGAATGAAGTAGTGGGTCCATTACAAAGTACAATAACTGTAGTATAGCAAGATCCAAAAATATCAATGAGACGCTGAGCATGAGAGATATTGATATGTGTCAGTACACAGGCCGCCGCTGTGACCTCATGTCATCTCTCATGAATCACGCACATATTTTACAATCGTTGGTGGATTAACGTTTCATTCATTTTGAAATAGTTTCTCCTAAATTTTAAGCGCTTGAGCTTATCAATGTGCACTTCGGCCATTATCGTACGTGACTACAGCAAGGTCTCTTTGAAAAAAAAAACGCAAACTCTAGCGAAGGCTGCCTGGGGAGAGCGTGGTAAACTCATTTTCATATACGAAGAATGAATTAATAGAGGGATGTGAGAGTGGCGCAGAGGAATTGAAAGAAAGGACATGATGGTATAGTTTGACGAACGCCACTTGTTATTACTATTTTTCTTACATATTGTATAAATATCCGCTAAGCGATAGAGCGCGTATGGTGGAGTTGCATAATAAAATTCGGCGTTGGCAGAAGTGGACGCACATTGCGCGTTGGTTTGGTGTCGACTCGCGATATTTTATTCGCTAAAATAATGACTCAGAATTTTTTATGCCGAGCAAGACGAGTGGAAACGGAAATTGAAGGAGAATGATGACGCTCAAACAACACAGATTTTCAAGACACTAATCTTTGCTTCAAAAAAATGGAGGACCGCATTAATTCGCGTGAAGGGCACCGCGCAATTTTCCCATCAACATCTTCAATACATTTTCTCAATGAGATTGACAAAGCGCTGAGGATACCATTTCACCGGAAGATTGTTTATTGGGAAATATGTGGCAAAGTTCCATCAAATATTTGCGCAAACGTTCACATTTGTTCTTTCCCATATAAATTACGTATGGGAAACAAATAAAACATGGCCTTCTAGAAGAATCTTAATAATGTTTGATTGAAAAAATATTCTCATCTTATCATGGGGGAAGACATGTGAAAACAGGTCGTTTATAAATGTTACACTCTTCATTGGATGTTTTGATGTTTGAAAAAAAAAGCGTGTAGGCACATATTTGAAACGAAATGTGCATTGAAGAGTAGTCGCGCTTATTCATATATTTCTTTTGAAACAGAATATGATGAGAAGAAAGAAGGGAAAATATCTAAAAATGTCGAACTTTAATTAGTTCTCAGAAGCCGACAGCTAAACATTAAGTTTCAATGGCCAGAGTGTTGGAAAAGAAGAATGAAAAACAATTTTAAATTGACATTTTATAGATACCAATCAACTGTGAAGCTTTGTTCAATCTTTTTTTCAATTCATTACTGAATAATAATACAAATGTATTCACCAAAAAAATTATAAGTGTTTCTAAACTTAATATTTAAGTTACTTAATTACTTAGTAAGTAAAAAAACTTGAATATTAATTTTACAAACACATAATCTCAATGTTGTTATATGGTATATATAATATACTCAATATTAATATGTCATTGTTAAAACCATATTTTCTTAAAATGACCGATAATTGTTCTGCTGAAAATGGTTAACTTTAGATTATCGTAATCAGTATATTGGTATATCGATAAATAAATTATTTTTTTCCACTTTATAACGAATGTTAGGTTCAATTTTTTTTCCAACTTTTGAAACATGAGATATCATTTTACTACAGCATGACACATTTTTTCAATTCTTCTTATTTCCCACAACATTATGACGAAATTCGGCTTGTATAATGTGTACTCGGATCCAAACTGAACCACTGCCGCGAGTGCATGTGTCAGCTTCGCTTGGCTCAGATGAAATTCTAGACATTTTTCAAAGGCAGCAGACGATCAGGCGATCGGTGCTTATCGTGGGAGACAAAGTTTTGAGCACGGGCTCTCCTCCCGGGCGCAAGACAGAGAATGAATGGAGGATAAAGAAGAAGAAGAAGCTCGACAAGAAATTGCAATAGTTATGTTGTTGGGATGGAACGAGAAACACAGAGGGAATAACCGATATTACACTGTGCAGCCATCTTTTCTCGCATTTCTCCCCTCTGTCAACCGGCTTTTACTTCGTCCACCACATACTCGTTGTTGGCTATCCAAACCGACTTACAAATGGCGGATGTTTTCAGTGAGGTAATCATTACAGATATTCTTATTAGGAAAATTATATACGAGTTATTACCAATTACTATTACAAACGCGTTGTTTCTGAGAAATTAAAATGGAAATTTTGATATAACAAAGGAAAATGTGATTTTTCTCTTTTCTCTTACCTTTACATCTTAATTAACTCGACTATTGATAGTTGAAAATATTAACTCAGTGCCAAAAAATTGGTAAGCTTAAAATTCGCAACATGAAAAATAATTGAGTTAATTTAATATATATAAACCCACTAACCTCCAATTTTATGATATCTGTAAAATAATGGATTTTTCAATTATCCCATTATTTCATATTTGCGACAAAATGAATTTTCGCCGTTATAAGACTCCTAAAAGTTTTCGGTAAAAAATCTTTATTTTCTTTCGAGTTCCAACTACCTCTAAGTCGAGTTCTATGTGCACCTTTGATTGTCTTTTAAATTTTTTTCCACACGGCTATTGAGCTTTTAACTCTTTAGTCCACAAAAATAAATATTTGTATACCAAGCCTTTTCTCAGTAAAAATATTGCTGTCAAAAGTTTAAAAACATATTTACTAAACCTACTAAAAAATCTACGAGAGGAAGAACCGGTTAGAAATAATCACAATAATTTTGAAACTAATTAAACTTTCGTATTACTGAATAATTAATAATTCTATTAATTACAGGCTAGAAAAGAGCGCGATGACTTTGATGAGTTGATGAAAGCTTGTGATTTAGCTAAGCTTGCAGTAAAAAATGATGAGGTAAATGAGATCGCTGAAAACGGACCACTCTAAAATAAATTTATAATCAGATGGTACATGGAATGCCAAGCGTTTCTCAAGATGAACAAAAAGACCCTATAACTATCAAGCGTGTAGTTGCACCAGCTTCAGTTGAAGCTTATGTATACTAAATGAGCTATTTATAAGCATAAGATAATATAATTCAGGTGGCTAGTTCTTCAAATGATGGACCCAGACCAAAGCGTTCTGAAGCGGAGCAAGTGAGTATTATGGTGTTTTATGTCTATTAACTGCATGTTTATTAACTTTCCCCCTGAATGCTCAAATCATTTTATGAAAATTCAGCCGATAGCCGAAATTTCAATGTCGGTTTCGTTTGTTGGAAAGAATCAATCCGCTGGCTGTTGAATTTCTCGATTCTTCGTGTTTTTACAGTGCAATTTCTATTTCTTTCTTCATTGTGTTTTCGTTTTGCTAATTTGTTTCTTTATTTTTTGGGTTTTTGCTTAACTTGTAGTGAGAAAACATGGTATGAATAAATGTTTGAATATTTGTATCTAGGATGCTGGTGAAGCACAAGCAACTAAAGATGACAATGGTTTTGTATATTATAAATGCCGGTTCTGTGGTCTCACTTTCAATTTTATGAATACACTTCGTGCTCATGAAAGGATACATGATGTCTCACAAGTAAGATAAATTAAGAAACTTGGGAAATGTTAATTTTTTTCTTGATTTTCAGCCATTTGTTTGTGCTAAATGTGGAGAATCTTTTGAGTTTGCGTGCCAGCTGGAATATCATGCTGCGCAACATTCCGGTAAGTTCTAGAAATTTTTATAGGTATTTTAGAATCATCTGAAATGTAAAGAACTAACAACGTTAAAATTTAGGCTCCATTACAATATAAGATTTGTTTTCAGAAGTTTCCGGATTTAAATGTGAATGTGGTCGTTCTTTCTATTCATACACCGAAATGCTTTATCACAAACACGACGGTGACCCGGCTGATTTAATTGGCGCCCCTGAGGTCATAAAAACATACTGCAACGCGAGAAGCAAGCAACCAAAAATTTCAGACCACAACAGTTGTCGTTAATAAAGCTTCTGTCGGGCCAACCGTTTACGACTTACCTCAGCCAGCATACGCTACTGATGGGTTCGAACCTAAGCACCCATTAAGAGTATGGAATTCTATTTTGCCGAAATTGTTATTAAATTATGAATTTCCAGGTGTATAGCGATGTTCGATCAAAGCCCTATATTTGCGAATACTGCTCGAAAAGCTACGCTGATAGTCGGGGATTAGCCTATCACATGTACAGCCACAGAGGTATGTTTTTGTATTATTCCAATAGTACACAATAATAAACTATGTATGAGTGCAATGATGTAGTGAGAGTATCAATTTCTGTATTGAATCACAAAAGATTAATGATGCAAAGCAATGCAAGCACAACAGGCTACAAAATGATCACAAATCAGAAAATATGAAGGGAATTTTTATAAAAATGTTTTATTTTACAATTTTCATTTCCCAAAATACTATGATAGTTTCGTTTTCTTTTTTATTATCTAGAAATGATATTTTTTCTCAACAGTTCCGTTATCATTCGTTCAATGGGGTAGTTCCAAACAAATACTAAAATTTTCACAACAAACATCAACAAATTATTCCGATAGGTCAAATCAGAACAAAGTCCAAAGGTCAATATGGAACGTCATGAGGCTAAGTTAATAAAAGACATTGGTTTTTTTTTTGCAAAAATTAAAGATTAATGAAAAAATATCAATATATTTTCCCATCAATAACTGACCTTATAATTTGCAGGAGAAAAACAGTTTAATCCAAGGTCTTCTCGATACATGATGGGTCGTCAAGGTATCGGCTACACTGATGCCAAGAGCTATTACCTATTCCCAAGAACCAGTGGATATGTCTCGCCACGATTTTAAATTATGCAATTTTTTTAAAAGATTTTTTCTTCTAGACTTCATTTATTATTGTACATTTTAATAATTGAATGCAATTTTTTTTCTGCCCAATAAATTTGATAATCTCTCTTCCATTGAACACATGCGCCATATTTGCATCATGTTCTTATCGCTCCGATTCTTTTATCTTCTATTTGCGACGTTTCGCAATACCTAACTCTACTTTCACCATCTGAGTCTCTTAATAGTAGAGTAACTCTGCGCACAGTGGTGACGCTACAAAATACACAATTTTCGATGGTCACAAAAAATGGCATTCGGTACATCGAAGAAATCATTTTTATCGTCCATCTATTTTTTCGGTGTTCTGCGACTTCTCTCCGATAACGTGATTGTCTCACGTCCATAAAAGGACACACACTAAATCATTGTTTCTTCATTTATCACGATGAATCGCTTACAGAGAATGCCGCAGCCCCATACCGAGGACAGATTGACATTTCAAACTATGTTTGTGGTTGGAATTTCAGCGGCAATTGCTTTTTATGCTGGTCTATATTTCAATCATGGAATTAATCGGCAGCCACTTGATGTTAGCTCGCATTAATTTCACGAATTTTTCCAATTTTTCGCATTTTCAGGCAGTGAATAACACCAAACTTACCATCCATCATCAGCTTAATACCGGTCATGATGAATATGACATCGTTCTTGTTACCGATCTAGACCATGACAGCAAAGATGGAAAAAAGTGGAAAAGTATTGTGACTCGTGGAAGAATTACGGTAATATAAAAGCAAGATTTTCTTTTAATCTCAATGTTTTAGCTCTCTCCAGATCATACACATGGATCAGTACAATTTAGCAGAAATTCTGAATACTTTGTGAATACGTGGGGTGAATAACATATCAAGTATATTCGGCAAAATTTTCAGACAGATCGCAGCTGGAGGGCGTGCCATGGAGCTTTCCGATCTTGCGGTTTTTGACGGAAAACTGCTCTCGATTGACGATAGAACAGGAATGATCTATCAACTTGATGGGCAAAAGGTTTGACTTAAACAAATTATGTCAGTGAAAACAATTGCAAACATTTCTAGGCAATTCCATGGGTTTTTGTGAACGACGGTGATGGCAAAGTAGAGAAGGGTTTAAAGGGAGAATGGATGACTGTTAAAGGATCTGAGCTAATTGTCGGCGGTCTTGGAAAAGAATGGACTACTACTGAGGGAGAGTATGTCAATGATCATCCGATGTGGATCAAAAGAATCTCTCCTTCTGGAGCAGTAAGAAAAAAATAATTCAATTTTTTTTCATGAAAACGTTGATTCAAGGTTCGTCACGAAAATTGGAAGGATGTATTTATTAAGATCAGAAGAGCCGCCGGAATTGAATACCCTGGATACATGATTCACGAAGCTGTTCAATGGTCTGACATTCATAAGAAATGGTTCTTCTTACCGCGAAGAATGTCCAACGAAAAATATACCGAGGCTGATGACGAGAATAGGTATGTTTCCCTACAATGATAAACAAAATCTTTTCGTTTATCATTAAACCGTACATTTCAGAGGAACTAATGTGATGATCATTGCTAACGAAAATTTTACCGACTTCAATGTGGTTCGAGTAGGTGCCGGTGAGTATACGTCGCGGGGATTTTCGGCATTCCAATTCATACCAAACACCGACGACCAAGTCATTATTGGCATCAAGTCGGAAGAAAAGGTAATTTTTCATTCATAAAGAATTTTGACGTTGATAAAGTTTTGACAATGGATTTTGGTTTCTTATCAAATTACCTTTCAGGACGGCAAACCAGTTGCGAGCTATGCCTCAATCTTCACCATCAACGGTCGAATTATTGTCGACGATGTCAAACTAAACGGGCCGCATAAATATGAGGGTGTTGCTTTTGCCTAATTGTGATTTCTAGTATATTTATTGACGTGTACAATTGAATAGTTTATTTACGAGGCAATAAATAACCAAAATAAATATACCCGCGAAATTATTTAATATACAGGTTTGAATTTCTTGATTTCAAGCATTATTTGATGCACATTGATTAGCTCGTTAGCAGCAGAGTTTCCAGCAAAAGCTTCATGTGCAAGAATCTTGGTGAACCGCTGTATGTACTGAATGAACTTGGAGAATGTTGACTAAATCCTTGTTGAAATATTGTAAACGATAAAACCATAATTCTACCTGTAGAATGGAAGTACCCAGGCTGAAATTAGTGAATAGTTGAACAATTTCCGCATTAATGGCGTCAATAGCAGATTTCCATCGTAAATTGATTGTTGACACAGCATTTGAAATCTTATCTGCAAGAAGATAACTTAAATTATTTTTTTTAATTCAAGCAAAAATGAAACCATTATGTCGTACTAGCAACTGAGTATGCCCTTGATTGATCAAGGATTCACATTCCGTTACAAACTTGATTAGAAAGCCAATATGTGGATCAAGAACGCTCTGAAATGTTCATTGTTTCAAAATGAAACGCTTTTTTTTGCTCTAGCCTCTACAAAATCATCAATGCTTTTCTGCTCCAGCTCATGAATAATGGCGTATACTCTACTATGCTTTGCCTCATTATCATCAATAATTCCCAGTATCAAATCATAATTATTGATGAGAAAAACGTGTTTATTTTTATGCGTTGTTTGCATGCATGACATCCTTGTCAGAAGTTGCTCAATTGTATCTTCGCTTGATTCTAAAAGCGCTTCCATTTTTGGGCAAATCTAAAAAACATAATATGTGTTGACCTTAACAAACATTTCGTCATACTGACCTCACGGCCATTACATCTGGCAATTGATAAATGAGCACTAGTCAGCTCGGCGTATCTTCGAACAACCTAAACAATATCTCATAATATGTATCATCAATTGATAAGGGAACTTTTGTGAAAAGTTTTATGATAACATTGAAACACGAGGAAAACAACAAATTTGTAATGCAAAAAATACGATTTCTAATTTTTTTAGTGGAATAAAACTTTTTAAATTCTTGGTTACTTATAATTTTTCATTGAGTCACTAAAATTGCAAGTATCCGAAGGAAGCCGGAAATTCAAAAAGCGAGCTCTCAAAAGCTTTTCGTAATTTTTATTTGTTAGTAAGTTGTTAGTTTTACGATTTTCACTTTGTTATCATTTTTTCTGAACAAATCTTACATAGTGAGGTCTTGCATCTAACGCTCCGTTACTCTGAAGTTTTTTCAGGTCCAAGCTTTTAACACTCTCATTATGCGCCGACATCACCTGAAATAATTTATTTTGCAATACAATTATTTAATCACTTACAAGATCTAACCGAACCCACAAAATATTCGACAATGTTTCCCAATACCTGCAAGCAAATAAATATATTTTTCAAAGAGTAAAATGAGTAAAAACCCAGAAACAGGCGGTACTTCTCGCTCAATCAGTAGTTTTCTAAACTTTTCGCATAATGCAAGACAGAGATGAAGGCTGATAGCGTCCCAATTTAGCACAATTTGCTCTTCACAGCATTTTAAAAGTACGGATACAGCTCGAGACATGGCCTAAATATATTGAAATTGATAGATAAATTCAAGTTTTTCAGTATTACCCTTGAGTGCAGTTCAATTGTGTCGTGCTCTGTGCTCATGAAAAAATCGTTAATGAACAGATATTCGTGGCTGTAGTGATCGACGAAAGCCAGTTGAATAGATCGGAATAAAGCTTCGAATTGATACTGAAAGAATGTTTACCAATAGTTTATTACTCAGGTTTTTTGCTTATTCGATTGCAATTTGTCTTTGAAATTACCACTTACTGACTGACTATGCTGCGAAGCCGCATGAGGAACAATCAAAGCCGAAAGAAAATCGATTTCAAGAATTGAATGACGATGACCAAGCGAAAATACTGTTGCTTTGTTGCGAACCTAATGAAATCATGTATTAAATTTTTGTTGCAAAATCATACTTGAGGTTTGGCTGAAAAGAAACCAGCAAGTGAGCTACTTTTCACCGAATCCACCGCTCCAAGAAGATCATCCTTTGTAGCTTCATCTTTCATCTAAACACTTTTTAATTATTCAACTGGAAATACTTTATAGCAAAAAATAATAATTTATGTTTTAATTATTGTGTGCACTTACCGTTAGTTTGAACAATCTTGAAGAATATGCTTTAAAGTACGTGAAGAACATTTTGCTGATAGTATCAATGTACTCTTCCTGAATTTCTTTCGCAATGATTGGATCATGACTATGAACAAATTCGTAGAAGAATCTGCATTTAAGCAATTGATGTTGGAACACTTGATAGTTGGTGAGCGGTTTGCGGAATTGATAAATTTTGGTTAAAAGCCATTCGCGCACTTTTTCAATTGCCTGAATTGCAATTTTAAGGCAATTCCTAAAAATAAAGTTAATTACCTTGATTTTGAGGCTTTCTAGCACTGGGATAGTATCATGAACAGCAATCGCTTCTCCAGTTTGTCGTGAGGCGATAAGTGAAATCTTGTGATGAAGTTCGTGCAAAGCTTCAATAAATCCTCGATGATTTGGCTCTGTATCCATTATTGTTCTTTCAAAAAAAAAATCATATAGTTAAAATTAATGAAAATACCTGATCATATGCTGTGGAACCACAATATCATCAACAAATTGGCTAAGTTCAGCACGAACTTTCATTCGATTTTCAAGTTCCTGATGAATATCAAACGACTGAACCTGCAGCAACTTCATATCCTCTCCAATTGTTCCTAGGTTGTCTTGAAAACTGTAGAGTACATTTTGCAATCTCTATGAACAATAACTAATGAGTTGTGAGTTAATCAAGTCATAATTACCTCAAAAACCTTGTCGCATGCATTAATTTGCTTATGAAGCTCTGCAAGTTTTTCCGAGTTTTCCAAGCAGTCGTTGACAGCACTTCGGTGAGCTTCAGACAGCTTTTGACCAACATCATCTGTAAAATAAAACGTAAACTGTTTTTTCATGATTTTTTTCACTTGTAGATTCGTTTAAGCCATCTCCGGATTCGATTGCCTTGCGCACTACGGATTCATCGGCTCGTTTTAATTGGGAGAGGCAATTCTCAAGCGATGCTATCGTAAAATTCCTCTCCATTTACGTAATATTCGATAAAGAACCAATAATATTGACCGTGTAAATAATACAGCTAGAAAATCCCTGGAGTGTCCAATGGGGCGCGATTGCTATTAGCACGAGACGACCAGACACGAGATGTCGTGCCGTTTGCGGCATGTGTGCCCTGCGGTTCTCATTTTCGTAGCGAGACCCGCGTTTTTTGCGAATAATGAACGTTAGAAGCGTTGCCGAAAAATATTGTTATGCGCGTCTCCATTTCGTTTTCCTCTGTTTTCTCTCTAGCACTTCTGCCGTTCACAACGATCAATATGATTGCGTGTGCCATATCTAACGAGGGACACTCAGTTATCAAACAAAACTTTAGGCCTCTAACCTTGAATCGTGTTTTTTCTTGATTGTTTATCTATCATTTGAATGATCTTATTTTACAGGTTAGGCAAAAATGAGTCGCAAACGCGACAAGACCAAGCGAATTGAAGTGAAGAAAAGTGGTACGCCACCCAAAAAGCACAATCGCAAGCAGGCAAAAGCTTTTTCTGGAAAAGCAACCCTCGACAAGCTTCCCGACATCGTGCTCCAGAAGGTGTTCACCTTACTGCCATATGAAGCCAGGTAACAATATATGTTAAATAGAAAAAAGGGGTTTAACTATTCAGGTTTTCACTGTCCCGCTGTTCGAAGAGGTTAAACTCAATCGAGTCAGGCATGAGATGCCCATTAACCCATCTCAGACTCACGGATTATGAATATGAAAATAGAAGACCGACAAAGGTAATTGATGCAAAGACTTGTTGCCAGTGAATGGACTGTGTTCAATTCAATTTTAGCGTCTTATGAAAGTAATGGTGCAGTACCCGGGACCATCAACTGAGGATCATTGTTCTCGCCGTGTCTACTTCGCCAAACAAACGGAGCGATCGTGCCTCTATCGGTACGCTAAAATATAGTTGCACGCAGTGTTCAGCAAAACAATTCAGATCGTGGGAAGGAGAGGAGTTGTCTGAAATTAGCAGCACAAGGCAGCCTTTTGCTACTGTTGGAATGAACTATTATAAACATGTTCTCAAGCAATCTCGTGGATACATAAATGAATGTTTTTACGATGTGGTAGGAAGAGCAATTTAAAGGGTATTAGAGAATATAATTTTTGCAGTGGGAGTTGAATCCAGAAAAGCTTAAACTCATGGACCTAAGGAAAATTTACCGCATTATTTTCCATGTTGGTAATATCGATGTTGATGTTTTGAAGGCCGCGATCAACTTGCTTCGCGAAGTTGAGGAAATTGAGATTAAAGACATGACAATGGGAATGGATCGAGTGCTGTTCCCGGCGGATTTCCTTAATCTTGAAAGAGTTTGAATTCACGGCATTTCACTTTAGATTATCCTAGCCTAGGTCAAAAATGCTAGCTCTATAATCATTGACGCATCATGCCATTTGACGCCAGAAGCTGTCGCTGGGTTGAACACCGTTCATATGAAGTTTCGCACCACATTCCCAATGTCTGAAGTGGTTAACAAATATGCAAAGGTACTGAGTCTAACCCATCAATATTTTAGTTAATAAATCAATATTAAGAAATGGAGATATTGCCCGGAGTTCTTTGATAAAATGGTTATCTTCACTGTGCAGATGTACAATCACAAGGTTCTTCTTGATGGCTTCCACTACAAGCGCAAAAAGTCCAAGTATCTCTGGAAGAGGTCTGAAACGAATACAATACACTGTAATTGTCTAGTATTTCAGACAGATTCAGATCTTAGAGGAGCATGGGCTCGTATTGAATGTGTTCAAGCTCCGAAAGGCCAGAGGCACCAGAAAGGCTGTCATTGTCATATGCACTCGATGCGTTATGTTCTGCGAACTTCGCCCGATTACCGTCGAGGAAGAGCAGAGTTACTATTGTGGAATTGAGGAACTTCGCGAGTTGATCAGTCTTCGTGCCATCGAGGCACCATAATTATTTAATCCTAAAATAACCCCATATTTTGCCAACATCACTAGCCATTCAATGAACTCATTGTATCACTGTATTTCTATAACCCCTGTTGTATTTAATCATGCATCCGAATCCCTGTTTAACCCAACCGATCTGTTATATCTATTTAACTGTCAGTCGTTAATTATAACCTCATTTATTCAATAAATATACATTTTTTTGTTTTATTTATTGTTTATTCAAGTATTGTTTCATAACAATCAAAATATCTTATTGCGTTTCTATTTCACATAATTTGTTTTCAAATTTCATATGTTCTGGCAGGATTAATCTAAAATGAAATTGAGTAACCGCTCAATCGATATTTTTTTGAATTTTCATTTTCGGAGCCTGCTCTTTAACGATTTTTTGTTTCCTTGGTAACGTGGTGTCATATTCTGATAAATGGCATACAAAAGGACTTACACTCATTTCGCAATCTTTTTCTTTCTCTTATTGTAATTTACCAAAATGATTCAATTAATTGATTGCAGGGTTACACACGGAATGTTGCCGACAAAAAGAAAGCTACCGCCCGAGTGCGAAATAATGGAGAAAATTTTTGCTGGCTCTATGAACCGCGTGCAATATTTTCCGTGCGGAAAAATCTGGTTTCCAAGATTCGGCGAGCTTCCTGAAGCTGTTGTGGAAAATGTCATGCGCAAATGCGATCTGGTTACCAGGTGTGCATACTAACAGAAATAAGCTTATTTTATTTTACGATATTTAGAACTCACTTGTCGTGGTGCAACAAAGCTTTGAATTCCCTTGAATCAAAGATTCCATGCGATATTCTCCGAGTTGAAATCCTTGATTTATGCTTCAACAATGAAATCTACGTACGTCGAAGACAAATCCAGTATTTATTATCATAATTTTTCAGAAAGCAATTGGTGTCAAGTTTGTCTTAGAACATACTACTCAATTCTTCATGTTCAGACAATTCTCTAGTGATACTTTGGTGTCAAACTTTACTTTTAATGACAAACTGTAAAAGATCATGAAAAAAACGAATATCATTTCAATTTTCAGCGGTGAATATATTCCATCAAAAGTTATGCGCAATACCAATTATCACACTGCCGCGTGGGATTTTATAAAGAAAATTACAAAACGCTCAAATCGTATTCTCGAGAATCTCGGATACACTTTGGTTAGATTTTTAAGCTAAATACATTGACCACTTTAATTGGCAGATCAAGATGACTCTTCCAAAAACTGAGGGAGAGGGATCTGCTGAAGACGAAGCTAAAAAAGAAGAAAAAACCGAGCAGCAGTACAATACGCATATGAACGATTTCAACGAGTTGCAACAGGAAATCGACGCTAGACAATATGAGATCATTGCCGCCACTGGATTCTGCGATTTGTCTGTTTATGAAGTAGTTCGCAGACCAATTGATGTATGCATAATTTTATTAACGATTCAAACATAAAAATAATTATTTATTAAGGATTTTGCGAAGGCATTCTCGATTATTGGTCTGATCAACGAGTTGACTTATGTCCACATATTGCCGGGATATATGACATTCAATAATACCAGTTTCCGCGAGGAAACTTTCTGCTTCCACGTGAAGGTTGAATTGATATAGTTAGTATAAATTCTAATAAAATTTTTTAGAGCTGGGCTGATACTGAGGACGAGCGCATGAGACGCTTGGTGATAAATGGAAAAGAGCCGTGGGATGTTGTCAAGCTCAAAACTTTCCTCAAACCTCATATTAAGGAATTCCAATTGGATGTGAAGTATGTTGACTAGAGGAGAGCTTATTTTCATTTGGATTTCAGGATTTATGAGAAAGACGTCGAAAAAATGAACAAATACTTGTCCAACACCGATTTCTATTTCCATGTTGTTCAGAAGAATGAGAACATTGGTGGTACGGTTTCCGCCAGAGGGCTAAAGCTCACTTTTGAGCGCACTTTAACTAAAATGGACTGCAATTATATCCAATGCTATCGTTTTGACGTTTAATTTGTTCTCTCATATTTCTAAAATTTCTGCTGGAATTAAGTTGTTTTCAATTAAATGAATTAAATGTTTCTTCTCGATTGTTCCATATTATTATTGAAATGCCCGAACTTGCTTCTTTTTTATCTTCAACTAAACAATTAGGTGTTTCAAAACCCCAATTTTTTTGTTCTTTTATGCACCCCATTTTCCTTTTCTATTTTAAGTTGGCCATGGATTTCCTGGATGATAACTTATTTTTTCAGATTTTTTGTTTTTTGGATCATAATTTAGATTGCATAATTATCAACAATTTTGCACTGGACTTATACCATTTTGAATTGATAATCTTTTGTTTCATGTAAACAATAAATGTTTTTTATTAATTTAGAAATTTTTTTTAATATTTGGTTTTCCCGTATTCATGTTTCTTTTCAAACATTCGCGTTGGTGAGCACTAGTTTCTGAATTTCAAAGAATGACACACAAGACTTGTTTTCAAAGTTGGCGTCTATCTCTTTTCTTATCTCCAATATTCTTTTCATGTTTCCGCTCTGTTCCTATCATTATCAATCAATCAGAGCGGTTTTCGGTTTCTTGCTGCGGGTCTTATGAGGCAACATGTAGCGTGATTGCTAGTGCATGAATATTTACCTATCGTTAATGAAAAATTGCTTTAGGGATCAAGAACTATTTCTCCCAATTTTTTATTACAAAAAACTCTTTTAGTAATTAATTGTTATTCAATTTTAAATCACCTTAAATTTTCAGAAAAACGGAAACATCTACATATACGCGATGTATTAACTTTATCAGCACATTAGAGAAAAGGATACCCTCCAAGAATGGTACTTCCTATTCACTATCACTTTTGCAAGCGACTGAATCGAATCATTTCACGACTTTGTTTTTTTTTTCTTTCTACTTCTTTAATGATTTATAATAATTGAGGAATTATCCGAGATATCTATTGCTCATGATATCGGAATTATCCACTTCAATGGTCTCAGAATATGGCGTACACCAATAATCGGATAATGCGCTCCAATTGAATATTAATTGAAATAAAACAGGTGACTCGGCAAAAAAAACGTTTTCACGGCAATAGGAATCGAACCGGCGTCGTGTCTGCACTTCGAAACAGACAACAAGCGCGCATACCACTACACCAGGTCAACCCCCAGGGTTCCGACCCTCTTCCCGTGCTTATTGTCGTGTCGGTGGCTTGCTGCGCGAGCGGTCATCCAAACATTCAATGCCTTTTGTGCACTAATGTGTTGTAGAATCGTTTTTGGACGAAACAAAGAACGCACGAGAAGGAGAGGAAGAGAAACGAACAGTTGGAATTGGGGGAACGAGAGAGAAAAGGAATTAGAAAAATCAGTGATTTTTTATCACAGTTTTTCAAATATTAATCAATGTGCAAGTGTCAAATTTGGGAGAAATCAAGCAACATATTTAAGTAAAATTGTTTAAGAATTAAACTAAGTTTTGTGCTAGCTCTGATATTTTTATATATCATATTTCTCAAAAATATTTGAATTTATAAGGTGCGTTCAAGAAATTGCCGTCTTCTATATTTGGTATCCAAAACAGGGGTTACAGAAACACCCAAACAGGAAAAATTGAAATTCATTCCAAAACTTGTTTTGTTTATGCGAAATAAATACTAGAACTAATTAAATATTTCAATAAAAATAAAGGTATAACATTTATTGATTTTGCACTTCTTTGTATAACCATTCCCCCTCAAAATTGCAGAACAATTTTTCGAACAGTCCCCGAACTGTGGAAAGTCCCTCGAACTTTTTTTGCAGTCAAGGTTGTTTACGATCTTTTGAAATTCAAAAAACCATCCATTATGTTGAAATAGATCGCGACGTTTGATAATGCACGAACCAAGGTGAAATTGTGAAAAACCGACGCGCAACCTTGCTTATCTTGTCATTCATTTCAAACGAGAATACTTCCTTCGCTAAGGGACTTTGCAAGTCTGAATGCGCCCAAGGTGATTGATTCGATGTGGTGAAGAGGAACAGAACATCACGTCAGAACACTTACAAATAACGAAAAGTTTAACGAAACTATCTGCTGTTATCGAATTTTTTTTCATTTTGCGGCAAGGTTATATGTTGAAAGAATAATTGCAAATGACTTCGAACGAATTGTTGGTTATATCACTCCACATAAATTGTCATGAGATTAAATTTGCAATTCAAACTTTTGAACCGTTTGATTGGAATTGTAAGCTTCGATATATCGATTTATATAAAACGAAATATTTTCCATACTTCTGAAATTAATGGAGAAGAACAATCATAGATTTTGTTGAAGAAAATTCGATATGTGATATTGTAATACCACTTACAATCGATAGTCGTTAACACTTATGTATTTTATGGTCGTAAATTGTTTTAAATCATGTTAGGTCGTTTTAACATCATATTACCGAAGATTGACTTTTGAAGTTGCTGGTTCAAGCAAATATGCTGTACATTGGCGTTATAGCTGACGTTGCACTTTTGCAAACAATTAAAGATAATAAAAATTTCTTAAAGGGCTCGTAAAGAAAAAACATTGAAATTGTTGAAGCAAAGCCAACAATTGACAAAAGAATCACACTAATGTTCAAAGCAGCTTAATAATAAAAATAATTTTGGCATATGTACCAATTGAATACCTTGATTATAATAAGTCAGAAGTGACGCGCTAATTAAATAGAAGAATGGACAAGCGCAAACAAGAAATGGTATTAATATCTAGAATAAAGAATAAAAATCAGTTTAGAGAAACTTTGAACTTGAGTAGTAACACATCGGAAAAATTTCAGCTGTAAGTGTCTGGTTTTTTTCGACGTTGAGTTCTTTGAGGAGACGCTGAGCAAATAGTGCACACAGTGGAACACATAGAAAAACGAAGGAATCATAAGAATCCAACCAGTGATTAGCTGTGTAACTCCCACTTTTATTGCGCTGCATTCGACGAAAATATTTTATGACAATACATCAACTGCTGGGCATGGGACTTTCTAAAACATTGTATGTGCTTCAAATCGAAAACGTGAACTGATTTACGAACATGCCTACAATGTTGTCTTATGTGATAAGATCGCAATAAAGATACATGTCCGTAAATCTATTCAAACGGACTGAAGAGTGTTAAAAAGAAGAATACCTCAAACATCTTTGCTTTAGCTTCAGCATGATTGCAATTGGGGTCAAGCAGGGTAAGTGGCAAAAGAAATACATATATATAATTAATAACATAAAACGAGACTCGAAGTGGTTTAGCGACCATTTTGAACCTTGATACTGGTATAAGCTTACGCTGCCTATCTTCGAAAACCATTATAACTGAACTGCCATATCCAGCGGTAACCCAAGCAGTGAGGTACAACTGCACTATTGTCGGAGTTCCAATTCTTGAAAGAAATGAAACACCAAAACCACCAGCAATTGGAAATGTCAAATAAGGTATTATTAGAAAACCATAAATAATATCATTTAGGGAAGACCATAAATGGGTATGAAGAAGTGTTTTCTTGAAACTTTTCATATTATTTGAAGATATTTTCATAATGCAATAAGTGCCGAATAAATTAGCAGGAATTGTAATTAAGGATAAAATGTAGCACGTCGTTTTTAGAAAAGCGATACTTTCCAGATACGTAGTTTTTGGGCATTGCATTGTATGACTTTATAAATCCCTCAATTCCTTCGGAAATTATGAGAAGAAAAGCTGGATCAAATCACCTGCCTGACACCTGATTCGAAAAAAAAAAAACCAGGAAAGTGATTAATATATTTAAAAATCTCAAAAAAAAAACAGAATTTTAAACACTTGGTACAAATTCGGAATTTATAAAGAAAAATTAGACAAGGAGAAGGGATGAAAGTTTCCAGAATATTTGTATTATACTGAATTGACATGAATGATTATGAAAAACATCAATCTCTGAAAATATTAGCAAAAATGAAAATTTTCAGTTTCTTTTTATATATCGTTGTAATATTCTTTTTAGTCGTATTGAAACGAATCATAGCCAATTTTTCTGAGCAGCTGAACGCGCGGGTCGTGGTTTTGGCAGGGCTGATGGTATATGTAAAACAAGTGTGGACCTGCATAATATGTTAATATCTCATAGTTGAATGATTAATTAAATTGTAGAAAACGTACTATTGAAAATGTATAAGTATCTGAGACGATTTCTGAAATTGCCGGATGATTAATGATTTAAAAAAATAATTGAGTCAAATTATTCTATCATGTTCTTTTTGTCAATTCATTGTCGAAATGATTGAGGCTTTATTGCAAAATTTGAAACTTGTCGACGCATCATCGATGCGCTGCTCTTCCGAAACTAACAGAGTGTGATATTTGCATTGACGTTGGAATATTTGACAAAAGATAACCCTGTTATACAAATAGAAGTTAAATTTTAATAAATTTGTTCAAAAAAAGTTATTGAACTTATTATAGCAAATTGTTTTGTTTTTAATACCTAATAATGAATAATCGTTTAAAGAATTCTCCTTTTTTTTACAAATTTACTCCATTACTATAATTTTTGTTGTTTGTTCGTTTTTTTGCTGCAGTTTTATTGAAATCTCCCTGCAATGTCAATTTTTTCACTTTTTTGGCTGGGAGTTTATAAAATGTTTGAAAAACTTTGCATTACTATAAAAATAGTGTATAATTGAAACACTTGAAAATGTTTGTTATCCAATTATGGACAAATTTGATTAAGTTAATCGAGTTTGCTTGAAATCCAATTAACGCAATTCGTTTTTATAAATTGAACATTTTTGTTAATTTTAAAATAATTTTTAATTGGAAATGTTTGTTTCAATAAGTTTCTTAAAGTAAATGTAATTTGTTTCGTTTTATTGATTTTTGATATATTTCGCAATCTCAACTTTCACTTTCCATCTCTTTTTCTCAGAATTTCCTCTGAACTTCTAGAATGCGCACTTCATTGCGTATACATTTGATACTCAGGCTAGCATTGTACGGCCGTAAAAACCAGAATGTCGTTCCGACCGCTACGCGGGGGACGCGCGTGCGTGCAACGTTTTTCTTAGTCATTTACATGTTCATTTTTTAGGCCGCAAGGTGGTCTCTCCTCAGTCTCTCAAGATTTTCCCCTTGGGGGAATAGCGCATCGAACATTTTCTCCACTTCAAATACTATTCTATAGCATACATCGCAATGTGTTTTTGTGAATTCTTCGACGAATCATCAACTCATTAAGCTTTTGCAGGGTTCCCGCTGGACCGACGAACCAACTTACTTGGAAGTATCCCCACAAGACATGGATAAATACTTCGATGTTGTTCAAAGTCAAATGGTGTTTGTACCAACACCTGACATTCGAAGGAATCGCAGCAGAGATGAACAAATGTAATTTAAACGATAACTATTAATTAATTTTTGGTATGAAAATCAATTCCAGAACCTATAATTAATCATTTTTATTAATAAAGTTCAACTCTTTTTTTCAGCTTCGCAAAATTTACCCAACTTCCAATTGAAGTTGCGGTGAAGATTGTGTCATATTTGGATGTAAAGACTCGGTAAAACTTGCGGTAAATTGACAGAAAAAAAAACCAAATTGGTTTCAGTCGCAGTTTGAAGAGATCGTCAAGACAGATGTACGATTTAGAAGCAAAGTCACCGTTTCTGGTCGAGTTCATGAAATATGAGGAGCGGCGACCATCTGATCTACGAGAAGTATTTTTATTAATTCGTAAATGTATACAAAAGTGTCGCAGGACTATCCATATTTCCTAAAAACGATATCTTTGTCCATTAACATTTGTGGGGACATGGTGGCCGTGGATATAACAAAAACACCGGATTATTTGACGCTCTCGATTCGCTATGATTTCGGTTTAGAACACTTTGAATCAACATCAGAAGAACCATTTGAAGCATATGCAAAGCGCATTTGCAACAAAATTCTTAAGCGATGCCATCATGACATCAGTTACTTGGCCATTTTGGTCGATTCGGTTCGTCAACCTTCAATTTTTTGTAAGATTTTGCGCATTTTCAGTCAACTACTGTTGCACAGACGCTCGAATGGGGACGTCTGACAAACTGCCGTCAATTGCATATCAACTCGAAAACCATAGATGATCTCCACTACTATATGAATAAAGCCAAGGCTGAGAATTATTTGTTATCAATGACTGCCGACGAGATAACTGAGGAGCAGCGTGATGTCCTAGCAAAAATTACTTATGTACGAGCGTAAAAATCTAGAGATATTTACAAACATGTGAGCTTCAGAATCGAAGTTTGCCGTTGCTCATTTTCCGTGTGAAGATGATGCCACCAAACTCGCTCACCACGTATAACTCTGGAAAAATGATGTTTGTCGCTCAGAACTTCACCATTAAAGATATCAAAACAATGTTGCGGGTATGTTCAGTATTAATTTTTCAACAATTTCAAACAATATTTTTAGAAGGCGCATAACGGAACGCTGCCCCCGAAAATGGCAAAGATCGAGATCTTCCAAAAATTCGAGGCTGATACCAAAGTCGATTTTTATGATGAAGTTAAGGCCGGAATTTTGAATGTTCTCCAGAAGCAGGGTATTCCAAGGAGGCCATACTTGTGAGAATGTTGCAAAGGATAAATCAAATCATAAAGGCACGTTTTTTGAAGGGTCGCCAGATATGAAGTGTTCAGTGATAATCGAAAGCTTCTGGGATATTTCGAGATGGAGATGATCGACGTTCACTACTTTTTCGCTTATGAAACGATTTGAATTATAATTGAATCAATACAAATTCCATGATATAATTTGCCATTTACTAAAGCCTAACATTTGTGTTACTTTCATTTACCCTACCATGCAGCTGTATCTTGCCTTCTCCATTGTGTTTCACTTCTTCTATTCTAGTTATTCCGTTCAACTAATCTCGGTATATGGTGGTTGTTTGATTATTTGGTGTGTTGGACTAACATAGTTTGGAAACGCCCGGTTCTTTTCTTTTCCGGATGTAGAAATGTACTGTAACGTCCATTTGGGATAAAATAAATAAATCTCAACGTCAAAATCTGAAAAACTATATTTTTTTTTAGATAAGACATTTAATATATTTTTAAAAAACAAAAGTGTTATAGAAACAATTATCATATGGTTGTTTATTTTCTAAAACTGTCATATATATAATGATTTTTCTTCAAAGATAGTTAGCATTGTGGAAGTAAGAAACATTCAAATAAAAACGTTTCAATTTTCGGATAAAAATGTTAACAAATGTTGCATACATTTTTAAGAAGCAGGAAATTCTTCACTATTTACACATAAACAATTATTTATTTCCTTTGCTGTTGTTTTTGTTTTTCTCATTTTTTTAAAACCAAAGTTTGATGCGCAGGCATTCTCGAATAACCAGTCAAACGTTTTATGTTCGTGAACCGGAACGCCGTTCGACCGCGACGCACATATCTCGCGCAGCGTGTGCGTCACTCATGACAGTTTTTTTTACATTTTCAAAACTTTCGACAAATTTCCTTGGAATTTTGAGGCTTTTTTTTTGATAGAGAAAATTTGAATTTATTTTTTATATATTAAAAATAAATTTCCAAGACATTTATGCCGTTTTTACGCAAAAATAATGAATAACCATTTTTTAATAATTGAATTCTTCATAAAATGACAGCATCAAGAAGTTTCCTATCAAAATGGACGAATTCTACAACGTCCTCACAAATAATGTAAACCTTCGGACCTATAAAAGACCGCTCGTCATTGATGAAGAAGAATATAGGTAATTTGTATTTCGTTATTATTATTTGTTCTCTTTAATTATTCAAAACCATTACTCTGACCCACTGATAAATTGATGCCCTGAGTTATGGGGCAATTATTCATAAAAAATGGGCATTTTATTTTCAGTTTTCCAAAATTTTGTGCTCTTCCACAAGAATGCCGTTTGAGAATTGTCGAATTATGCGATTTGAAGACACGGTAACGATAACCTTAAATAACGAAAAAAAAATTGGAAATTTCAGGTTGGCTTTACGAAGAGCTACAAGAGCTTTGAAGGACCTTGAAGAAAAAGCTCCGTACATCATTCAGCTTTTCAAGTTTGACGAGCGAATTCCGCCGCTATACATTTGCAATCATGATGATTATTCAAGAAGGATCTTCATCAGAGTTGGAATGTGTGAAGGCTTATTGGAAATCAATATTCACAAAGAATATTCCGGAACTAGAGTGGCTCAAAAGCTCAATAATGAGCCATTTCTCGAGGAGTTCATCACACAGGATGACTACGGAGTGTTGGGTGCGCGCATTTTTCATTATTTTTTGAGACGCGCCCACAATCACATCAACAATCTTGTACTAGGAATAGAGATTGTAGGTTTTCATTTCAAGTTATGAGTTTTAAGAGCTTTTTTACAGGAGAACAGCATGTTTTCGCTCCTTAATCTTGAAAGTGTCATTTGCAATCGTGTGCACGTTGCGTCGGACAGACTGTTTACCATGCACATCAATCTGAAAAGATTTAAGGCAAAAGTATACAGCCTTGAATATTCAAAAGATTGTATTAAAGCGGAGGAGCTTGAGCAATACGTGAAGGTGACAAAGGTTCTAGCGATTAAAATTAAAAACGTGGTTATCTTGCTATCTGTATTTCAGTATTACAAACCTGTGAAGATTATTACGACGACTTGTTGTATACCGGGAGTTTTTCTTACTTCTTTGGACGTGAGGCACCAAATTTACTTTGTCGATCATGTTTCGTCGTATCATATCAACAAGTTGAAAGGAGTATATTGAATTATTGACTAGCCAAATTTTACAGCATTCAATTTTTCAGAAAATTGAGGAAACAAAAGCGGAGAAAGTGAAGCGCGTGGAAATCTATCCAAAGTATGAGTGGCCATTCACCAAGTATCAACCGCGCCGTGCTTCCTACGTAATAAGTTACACCGAAGAAAGTGAGGAACCACCAACGTAAGTTTTTTAAATTTCGTTTAACTGAAATTTTTCTATATTCATTGGAGTGAAAAACTTGAACATTTTAGGCGTCTTGTATCATACAACAGTTGGGAAGCTGATGGAGTCGAGATCGGAACAATGAAAGTAATCCTTAAAAACGACAAAAATTGCTACTTGTATGAAGCTACCAATTGGTAGAATAACTTCAACGCGTATATCATAATTTCTCATAATATTGGACATTGGGTTTTCTCAGCTAACTCTTCAATTAATATCTTGCCTTTATCGCAATTCCTTTAATTCAATATCGGTGATTTTCTATGATTATCTAAAATTCATTGCGGTGATAATTATTTTGCTCGGAAGCTTATTGGCCTAATAAATTATTTTTCTGGGATTTTTTTTTTGTATTATTGAGGAACTACTTTTCGATTTTAACTTTGATAAACGGAAATGCGCAGTAGGCGATCAAGCAGTTCACAATTATCAGGGTATGCATGAATAAGAATATCTGGGAAAATAACATTTGTATTGTGATTGCTAACTTTTGAGTTTTTTAATAAGTGCAAATCGCTGAGATCAGTGCACTTTACCCCTCATTGAATACATATCATGTTGTCGGTTCTCGTCAGATTTTGAGCTAAATAAGTGCATTGTTCTCTAAGCCCTCTTTCACAGAATTTTCATGTTTGTTATTCAAGGCTTCTATTTGACTCTCGCCGTCTGTGTCTCAGGCGACAGATTTAAGGCATGTATCAAAGTTCCGGGATTCGAACATACCTCGTCGCTATGAAACACAATAGTAATAATGTAATCATTATAATGAGCAGTGTATCTACCCGGGACAGGATTTCCCGGGATCCCGGGAATTTCGTTTCCCGGGTTTATCCGGGAAATCCCGGGACTCCAATCCCGGGTCCCGTCCCGGTTTCGTCCCGCAACTACCCGGGATCCCGGGATGAGCGGGTCCCGGGAAAAAGTCTGCAAACACCGCGCGCGCAAACGCACACTTTTCGAATATTGCGTATTCTCGTTTTTTTTTTAATGAATTTTCTTATTTTAAAAAGATTCCAATGCTTAGAAAATGGAATAGGAAGTCCATATTTGGAATTTTTAAAATTTCGCAGAAAAATGAGCACAATTGCAATGTGCAAATAACGATTTTTCCAAAAACGCCATTTTTTTTCTAAGCATTGGAATCTTTTTAAAATAAGAAAATTCATTAAAAAACGACAATACGCAATATTCGAAGAGTGTGCGTTTGCGCGCGCGGTGTTTGCAGACTTTTTCTCGGGATTGTCCCTTGTTTCCCGGGAAATTAAGTTTCAATGAGTCCCGGGAATTTCCCGGGAACCCGGCCATTCCCGGGAAACTTCGTCCCGGCTAGACACACTGATAATGAGTATTGGCTGGATGCTAGAGATAGAAGATCTCTTCATTTTAACTTTTCATATTAAACTCTCATGTAAAATTTTATTTGTTAGAGAGCAGATATAACACGCTATTGATTTTCCTGCCCTACTTATTAACTGCATTTCATATTCAGCCAGACATGTTATACCTAGCAAGCGAATGATAAAAGCTAGCGTTGTGCTGCCGACGAAGACGTCACGTTTTTGCGCTCTCCAGATCAATTCTATTTTCTTCTCACTTGCATTACTCGCAATGAAACTTCTCATTGATATATTCAAACATTAAACTTGAGTTAAATATAAATAATTGAACAAACAAATTGAGTTCTCCACATAACTATATACCCACCCCAATTTTGTCAAATAACTCGAAAACGCGAATAGCTCCAGAAGTGGTTTCAATTAGAAATATATGGCATTTATTATTAGTTTCATGTTACATTCACAAAATTCAACAAAAAATAATATTTAAAAAATTTCGTAATTTTCACGAAAAAGTGGAAACAAATTTTCCACAAAACTATATACCCACTCCATTTTTTGACATTTTTTTTCGTATATTTTCGTATTTTTAATTTTTTTGCAATTTTACAGTTCTATAAGACATTCGTCATGAAAAGCCGCTCGCCGACTTTGAAAAAGGTGAAATTGAAGCAAAGCTGGCTCAAGTTCTTTCTTATCGACAGATTGGGAATAAACTGGGAAGCACTCATAATGTTATTAGCCCATACGCTAAGAATCCAGCCGCTTATGGAAAAAAAAACGTCGACAGGTCGTCCTTCACTGTTTTCGAACCGTGATAAGCCCAAATTTTTGCGGAGAGCGTCAAAATCATCCATGTCGTGCTCAACGATTCGAAGGAAATTCAATCTCACGGTGTCAAATCAAACCGTCCGGCGTGTTTTATTGAAGAGCAACTTCATCAAGTCGAATATTTGAAGTGACACGACTCAATGAAGGTCCAGTTAATTATTAAAAGTTAATTTTCTTTCAAATTCTAACTCTCGATGCTTTTTTTCTGAGTTATTTATCAAGTGGGTATATAGCTTTGTAGAAAACATTTTTCCACTTTTTCGTGAAAATGACATAATTTTTTAAATTGTTATCTTTTGTTGAATTTTGTGAATGTAACATAAAACTAATAATAAACGCGCATATTTTTCTAATTGAAACCATTTCTGGAGCTATTCGCGTTTTCGAGTTATTTGACAAAATTGGGGTGGGTATATAGTTATCTGGAGCACTGTAGAATTAGAAAATATTTCAGAAATTTAGCAGTGCACTGCGACAATGCCAAATATGCAAGTACACCAGTAAGACATTAAATTTGCAATACAATTTCCAATAAACTGTTTCAGAGGTTTTAAAAAATTCACCAATTTGCCGACGAATGTAATTGGACAAGTAATGCAAATATGCGATCTCGAGACAAGGCAAATTAATTGAAAAATTACCAGCTTCAGAAAAGTTTACTTTAGAGTCAAATTAAGTCAATGTTCGAAGGGTTTAAACGCTATGAGTAGATTCGTACCGTTCAACATTTCGTGCTTGATTTACCGAGAATACGACATGCCTGGAAGATCAGATATGGTTTTTTAAAATCCTCAAATTAAAAAAAATTAAATTTTTTACTTTGCAGAATTTTATCAGTTTCGTGATACGTGGCAATGGAGACTCCACAGAAATTATGTTATCCCCATTGGAAAATGGAGATTGTGAAATTCGTCGTTTCACTTGTCGAGATGACATTGTCGATTTGATAGCCAGTAATATTGATTATAAGAAAGAAGGAGGCCGCCTGTTGCGGCAATTCTTGGAAATGTGCAATTACAATATTGCAGATTTGTTCCTGTTGTTGGACATCGTAAATTCTATATTTAGTTACAGATAAAAAAAATATCTTTAAGCAGCAAGACTACATTAGTTCCATTCCTTTTGAGAGACTTGGCAAGCTGAGATTTTTTTCGATATCGGCTTTTCCGATGGAACAGGTATCCGCTTACGTGAAAAGAATTGACTCGGTGGATATTTCAATCACATTGCATTGCTCAGAGCTCAATGAAGTAGTTGTTGATGAACTTAATTCTCTCACTGCGGTATGAAAAAAAAATAAATGAAGGTTGTTAAAAAATTTAACAACAATTTTTAGAATCGGAATAAGGTCCAATTTATTATTCACGCCCATTCAGCGAATGAAAACGTGATTCAGTACATAAACGCACAGAAGATCCACATAATAGCAGAATTCACTGCTGAGGGTCTCAATCGAATTATGAAAGTACAATAAAAAACAAGAGTTCTTATTAAAGGCAAAAAATTTAGAAATGGAAGAATGGCGTGTATCCAAAAAATTGGAAACGCTTAAAATTCTACAAGAACACGCGTTTGACAGCAATGCTATTCGGGAAGGCGTCGAAGCGGATGTTCTTCTTTCTCCAAACTCAACGTATGAATTTTTATTATAACGATTTCAAACATTAACAATTTTGCAGTCACTCGCTTCTTCGATTCGATATAAGGAGAAATGAGCATTCCCGCCCAAATTCGTTCCTTGAGATCAAAAATAGCGAACCTCAAGCTGTGGGTGATGCGTTCCGCGACTTTAAGTATTGCTTCGGAATGACATTTGGACTGTACAATCTCGAATTGAATCGTTAGATGTTTCAATATTAACATTTGTTTTTTTCACATTTCTTGTGACTAAAAAGTCTCAATTGATTTATATCATCTTTCTACATCTATACTTTCTTTATCTCTGAACCCTGTCTATTTCTTTTTTCTATTTATTATTTATGTTCATGTGATCGTAATGATTTATGGTTATGTTTATTTTACAGAATCTTATATTTTATTTGAATAAATATCTACTCCATGACTTTGGGATTGTTTATTTTCCTGTTAAGTCCCGTTCACCATCTAATACCTGCGCGGGTCCCGATTATATTTAAAAAGAAAGCAAATTATCTTTGTTGAATTTTAAACATATCTGGGCTAAATTAAAAGAATACATTCATATAAAACTAATAAGAAATAAAATTTAAGGACGCAATAATTTATTTCCAAATCCCTTCTTTAAATCGTTAATAATGTGCTTATTCCGACCGATTACCGATGAAAAAAATTTTCGATTATGTACTAAGCCGCCTTCAGCTAAAAAATGTTCTAGAAACCGGTTCGAAAGTCTTTATGTGTACTAATATGTTTTTGCGCAATACTATTATTATTAGTATTATTAATACAATACGTTCGTTGAAAACCAGTAGAGATAATTAATCCCGTAATGCTCGAAAATATTGCGCAGTTCGGACCACAATAAACATGAACCAGCTGTGAATGAAAAACGTGCAAGCGTACACCAAAGAACCGCACGCTCCGGTCGCGATGATTACTGTAACATTGGTGATTCACTCAAAGTTTAAACAAAAAATGTTGAAGCTATTATGTACCGGTTTGAGGTGTTGTGTTGAGAACGTCAGCAAAATATTGGACTTTATCCGCTAAAAGAATTTCGATTTGTTCGGCCGCGTAGGAACTCGGGTCGATTACAGCGGATAGGTAGAAAACGGAAAGTAGAAGGCAAAATGAGACAGTTAGAATCTGCAAGCTTTCACAAAATATCAGTTTTCTTCAAAAATTCTAAATCTTACACTTAAAACTGTGAATGGTTGGAGAAAAGCTGCGTGATGTCTCGTAATCCCATAAAAAAGGCTTATTACCGCAATGGAATCGCTTACGAGAAATAATAGTTGCCAATTCCATTCCACCTGTATAATTTTTTTTATTGTTTACCCGAATTTAACCAACTTCTTCAGATTTCACAGCTCGAATGCACAGATTTGAAATGATGATGCATGTGTAAACGATTGCTACTATATATGCTCCTTTCTGAAATGGGAACATTGGCAAAATCAAAATTAAAAAGCTAATTTCCCTCTTTTAAGGCCATAATATATATTTCTTGTTCAATAACATAGATTCAAAAGGACACCGCTTTAATCAAGAGAAAAAAGCAGTTTTCCTTGCCGAGATCCGTCCCAACGTTTTGTATGTAATTATCCAATGATAATTACGTTGTTTCAAGATCAATACATATTATCCCGTTAATCCCGTATATTGAACAGGTTTGTTTTTTTTGTCACCATTTCTCCAGTGAAATTTGATCATGTTTAGCAGGCAAAACAAAAACTGATAATGCAGTTTTATTATTTTACTGATAATAATTTATACTTGCTGACGACACATGACTTGATTATGAACGTTTTTTTCTCTTAATACCCGAAATGGCATGACTAGATAATCATTGAAAATTCGGGCCAAGAAATCAACCGGTTACAGATTACGACGTTTCGTTGTGATAAACAAACAAATAATTCAATGAGCAGCACGTATTAAAATGATTGGTCCATGATTGTATTTCGTACAGTTTGACAGGCAACATTTGATAACACCCGACCTAGGGAAACTATGGAAGAAGTATTTGCAAATGCAATCGTTCTTTGTTAAGGATCATTGTTCGAACTTTAAGAAAAAGATAATGTGTATCAATGCGAACTCAATCGGATTATTCATGCACATAGAAGCGAGACTGTTCGTCTTAAAAGGCTGACGCCAGTACGTCTTATTTATGTCGTGAATAATATGATATGGGCGAAAAAAAATTTCGCATAAATAAAAAATTAATAATAATACTTATTTACAATATAAATAGTTTATGTAGAAAATAAAAATATGTAATAATTATAATACTTGTTATTTTTTCGAAGTTATCTCAGAATAAAGTTATTAAAAGATGCTTAAATATATGCAAAAAAAATATAACGAGTGGATGTAATTTTCGCTTTCATAATCAACGACTCGAATTTGTGTGGTATAGTTAGAAAAATTTTTATTTTAGCAAAAAAAGATTAGTTAAATTTTCTGTGGGGTGACGTAAAAGATAAAAAGAAACAATTAAGTTAATAAAAATGATTTAAGATAAAGCAAAAATAAAAACTATTTTGTTATGTACAATATGGCTGAAATCGAAGATAGTTATAATGATATTAGGAACCTGTTTACTTCTTTCAATAGAGCTGTCAAGTTGATTTGTAATGAGATTGTCCGTTAAATGTCAATCTTCAACTCAAAAAAGGAACCCGATAGCGTACCTTAATCTCAACGCTTCTACAGCAGCACTTATACTTCGTCGTCAATTCTTCGGCATCTCGAATTCTTGTCTGATTATTCTCTTCAACATCTTCTGAATTATTACTCATAGTATAGTGACGAAATGAGAAATTTCGCCGTGGTGAGTTTTACGCGCAAACAGACGCAAATGCGGCTTGCGGAGTCTTCCGTTTCTTAAATCGCGCGCTGTGTCGCTGTGCAATTGTTTTTCCGCATTTCCGCGTATTGACATTGTCGCGATGCGAGCTGATCAGATTAATGTTCTAGCTCAATGTTTCTCCTCAAAAATGATTTTTCTTTCATCATTGCTCTACTAAAAGATTTGTGCAATTCGTGCACACTGTCCGATTTCATCGTTAACAAATGTATTGATTCAGGCACATGTCTCCCTTTGTGGTGTCCCCTCGATGATAAATCATTTTAATGAATTCTCAAGTTTTTAGGAACGAGGTTCGACAAGATAAAGCGATGAAGTCGACGATGATGAGTCGAACCATCACGAAAGAGGTGAAAGTACAATTGCAACATGACGTAAATATGCATGTGATTAGTGGAAAGTTAAGTAACGATCAACACAAACTATTAAAGGCAAAGTTCAAACATTATTGAGGAAAACTTTGAATTGTTCCCAAATCACCTTTATTATATACGACTAAAACTGGAAAAAGGGCATTGTGACCTGAAGCGTATCGATCGAATGACCAATATAGGGATTATCTTTCCACAATGGTTTACTTTTCAAGAGTAGCGAATAACGTGAAAAGCGAAAGTTTCATTTGAAGAAAATCGTACATATTTAATGACGTTCTCAACCCGCTGTCCAAAATCTCAAGTACGCATAAATCGATTTTCAATCCAATTCGACTCGATTCCTATACCTACGCATGCTTATATTTAAATACAATTCACATTTTTTTTAATCAATTTTTTTATTAGCAAAATTGGCAATAAGTTGAATCATTAAGACTTCTTTTTTCACATTTGCTTCTGGTTGTTGCCGTCCATTTCTTCTACGCCCGCCGCGCGGCGTGCTTAATTTATTTGGTTGTCGGCCATCACTGTAATGACGAATGGGATGAAATCAGATGAAGAAAAAAAAAAGAAGAGGAGAAGCGATTGCGTGAAGCATGCATCTGACGCAATGCCCAGCTTCTCCAAAGTTAGCTGCCTATATCATAAAACAGGGTTTTTTCCCTAGCATACATTGATAGAGATATTTTGCCGACCGATCGACAATCTTCACTTCGCATTATCATACCCGGTCCTACTCAGCTTCATTTTCATATCGCCATGTTTTTTGTCCAATCCGTCCAATTTCACTTTGTCCAAAATGCGGAATTGAGATGGAAGGATTTCAGAACAAGGTTCCCGACAAGCTTACGTCTACCAGCTTCCAATTTTATATTTTTGTAGCTTAAAAATTAAATAACGAAAACTTTTTTTTACAAATTCTTAAGTTAATCGCATTCACATTTCTTAATACCATTTAGTTGTACGACATTTATAAGATATTATTTCAGGAATGTGGCCGATATTTTTCCTTGCCTTCCCGTTACTTATCCAGGCGCAGAATGGCGAGGAAGCGGTTGTTGAGAATGCCGAGAACTTCCGCAAATGTGACTAGAAATCATTTTTTTTCTATTTTTAACAACGTCGTTTACAGTATATGGAATTGCAACTCGTATAATGGAACTTAGTGGAAATATAATGGGTGGAGGTGGAAACGGCGGCGGCGGCTATGAAGAAGTTCGGCCGCGATTTCAAGGTATATCACCACTGGTTATCACTCATTTCTTTGTCGTCATCCACACTTTTGTTTTTGATCCGTAGAAAGCGACGCGAAAAAGACCAGTTTCAGTTCGTTTTTTTTTCCATTCGCATGTTTCTCTCCCCTCATGGCGTCGCGTCTTTCCAACCGATCGGCAATAGATATGTGTGATAAGATAAATCGATGAAGGGCATGTGAATTTCAAAAAATTCAATTCATTTTTTCAAGGAGTGCGATCGTTCAGTGAGGATAATAGCATTCTCAGCGGGGGTTCCTCGTCGAGCGGGATCAATAACATGGCGAAGATGCTGAAGGGTTATGAAGGTTACGCGGTCGAGACGCGATTTTCCTGAAAAAAAACGAGGTTTTCAGGTCTGTTCGCCAATGCCAACTTCATTCAGCAGACAACAACAACAACCACCGAACGTCCAACTGGATTCAAAGCTATTATCGACAGCTTCCTTGGTACGAAAATCCCCAATTAATGTTTAATTCTGATCGATCGCCGCGTTATCATAGTCGGTGATTAAAATGTCCGAAAAAAATCATTGTTCGACGTGCAATCAACAAAATTTGACAGCACGGACATACTGATATGACTTGGCCCAACCAACGCCTGTATTAAATTATAGCATGATGAAATTAAGCGATTGACATGTTGACAACGTTTCCCAAAAATAAGAAATGCATTTTTTAAGGATCTGGATCTGGAGGAGGAGTGGGTGACGATTCGGAAAATTTGCCACCACCACCAACCCCACGACCGAGACCTCGTCAGAATTTGTTCAGCCTTCTTGGAGGAGCACCAGCTTCAGAATCGGCCTCAAAACCACAAGCTTCAAATATTTTTGGGAACCTTTTTGGAGGTTGATTCACAGAATCAAAAAAATGGAATTATTTTTTTGTTTAGGAATGTTGCCACAAACCACAACAACAACCACAGAGGCAACTCCAGTTCAGAAAATAATGAATATTTTCGGTTTGTTGTTTGTTGCTTTAATATTTTGGAGAGATTTTCAGTTCCACAACCTGAGCGCCGTGAGTCCGAACAATCTAGCAGAGGAAAAATCAATATTCTTGAGCTTTTTGGTGTGAATTAAGATGCAATTTACGCATTTCATCATGAAAAAATGTTTCTTTAAGGAATGGCTCCTCGAACCACAACAACAACTACTCAAGCTCCCTTGCAAGCTTTGTTCAACCCTTCTAAGCCATATAGCGGTGGGCCAGAGGATCTTGATGGTATGATGGATATTCCAGATTAGTGAACATCATGTTAATTTTTTTGCAGGAATCATGAACGCGTTGATGCGAAGCAATGCACGACCAGCGCGCCAGGAACCTGCGTCACTCCTCTCGCAATTCTTCGGTGGAAGAAAGTGAATTGATTCAGAGTAATTTATTAATGTAACTATGCATGCTGCCCAACCTGGCCACTACTTCTTCAGCCTTAATAGATCTCAGTGCTATTAAATAATTAACGTTTATTTATTGATTTATTTGTTTACAATAAAATATATGTGTACAGAAAATATGCGAAGTTATGCCTTTAGCAGCCAAAGTCGATTATAACATAGTCATTTTGGTTTCTTATTACACGAGGTGGAAGCTGAAAAAGTCTCAATGTTACATTTTCACTAAGTTGCTTAGCATACGGAGAAGCTCGAGAAATATGTACAACAGATTTTTTCTTGTGTAATTGAGAATATAGAAATTTCATTATCTCCTGTTTTAATAGCTCCGCGCTTAGAGGAGGAGAAGGAGGACTTACAAGAACACGAGGATCGATTGGGGGAAGACCAAGCAACTCTTTCGTGGTTTTCACATCCTCCCTAAAAAAAGAAAAATTTTTATAGTTTTCAATGTGGATGATCTTACCGATGCCTCTCAACAAAGAAGAGGTAGAGCGCAAGGATACCGTTGGTAGAAATTACGAAATAAAAGTACATAAAGTGTGTAAGAGTTTCAGCTCCTATAATAGAAAATCATTATTGTTTTATATATTATATTTACTGAGATGTGATATAGTTCCATCTTCTCGCAGCATTATTATGGTTGTCTGGCCAATTATTGTGGTGATGAAGCTCACGCAGCAAATGCTCAAGTAGATTAGAAGGCGAGTGAGTGGAGAGTATTTGAGCTTAATATATTGAATGTCTTATTATTAAATGTCTTAATTATGTTTGCAAACCTACCAAAATCGTGATGAGACTCATGATGTTCGCCTCCTATCAGAGGAACTGCTGCAATAATATCACAATATGTCATTATCAGAAAAATATGGACTAAAGTGGGCGGGACTATGGTCGCCGTCATTGGCGGCTCATCCCGTTTCAACGAAACTTCGTGAATTGAATCGTTTAAAGAGTGGCCAGATGGGAGCTAATAATTTTGATTTGATACCGCTGATAGACAAAAACACTCGGGAGAGACATTTAATACTTTCACATAACGGAATCTATAGACAGCGAGAATGATTGAGGCTGATAGTAGAAGACACTCAAACATTTATGGAAGTCATAAATTATTTGGAATTTGTATGGAAGATGGTGATTCCTAATCGGCAAACGACTAAGAAGACCAATTATTGATTTGAACTTGTTGCCTGCCTACCCGATCATTGCCAATTGTCCAGAGCGACAGTATCCCGAATTATGTTAGAGAAATTAGAGTCCATTGATTTTAGTCGTTGTTCGCTTCCTGTTCAGGTGTTTCGAACCGAAAAGAAGACGCTGTTTGCGCGCAAGATTGACGATAATCCAAAGTGAATGGATTTGTGTGATGTTCAGCAAACGAGAGTTCAGTCGTTTTTTTAGCTGCGACCCCCCCCGAACCGATCACATCGAATTACTGCCTTTGTTCCAGTTTCTAGAAGGGTTTCTCAACGTGCGATTACAACAATTTATTTTCGAAACAACAGGGAAAAAATTTCGGAACTACATTTCGGAAGAGAATGAATTAGAGGAAGAGGCGAAAATTGTCGAATTCGGTCCGGTTTTAGTTTGCCATCCTCTGAAAAAATGATCGTTACGCACAATAGCCCTCGAACTTTGATGGTTCTTATCAAACATTGTTCAACATTTTCGTAGATAACTTGCAAATTTGCGTATTCGCTTATTTCCTATAACAATGAACCATTCAAAAAAAGGATTTATGCATCACCTGGTGTATGGCAGACTCTCTTCGAATGGATTCGAAAGGATAAAAGTATGAATACAACCAAAACCAATCAATGTCTCTGGAAAACAACATGTCAACTGCGAATTTAATTTTTGAATTACGAGAGTTCGATATCTCGAAATGCGATTGATAATGCTTGGAACATGGTGAAACAGTACATAACCACAATTGCCAAGTAGCAGTAATAGCGATAATCTAAAACTAGGCATCTCCCTTGTCTAGAGCATCACGGATTACGGTAATTATTTGCCAATGGATTAGTAAAGAGGTGAACGGAGACAAAATCGAGGCTCATGTAGAGCACGAAACTCCACACAGAAAAGAAGAAGATCATGAAAAACACAATTTTGATCTTTCCAATCTAAAAATCAATCCTTTTTTGTTGAAAATCAACTCTTATCACTCACTAGAGTAATCGCCATGTTTCGTTGAGAAGTGACTGAGTAAGGTTGTCGATAGAGAGGAAAACGCCCAATTAGTTTAAATTGCGGCGTTCTTTTAAAGGATTCGCTCGGAAGGCTGATAATTATTTAAAAGCTCTGGAGAAGGCGGGGCGATGAAAAAAACTCATTTTGCAATAGTTTTTCGATAATAAACAGTCTTTGAGCAAAGAAAATGGTAGGCCATATAATAAGTGTATTATTTAATTGCTGTTGACAGATATTCCTCACGAATAAATAAAAACGTGAAAAAAATCAAGAGTTATGTGTGGAATAATTTTCAGCAAAAATATGTTGCGGGATTTTGAAATATTTCGATTATTCAGGGAGTCTTTAACAAACTTCCGAAATCTGATAAACATGATTGTTTTAAAAAGTAGAGTCAGTCTCTCCTCTCTTGTCAAAAAATTAAACTCTATTGAATTTTCAAATTGGTTGCCGTTCTTTATCGCTATCAATGTCTTGTCAATTAGTGACAACGAAATCGAAATTTACAAGAAGATTCTCCGCTTTTTCAATTAATGTTGTATAAAAATTACAATTCAATTTTATTTCGAAAAAAACATTCATAGAAAATAATATCTCGTTTAAAAAGGTATGTCGTTAAGTGAGTCCGACGTTCTCTCCTCTAACTTTCCGACTGTTAATATCAGCAAATCGAACTCTGGGAGGATTACGGTTGCTGGTGTTTGCGACCTGCGCTGTCTCATTATGATGGTTGTTGACATTTTCGTCTGGTTGGGGTACACGTTCAGGATGTACTTGATGTGGTACATTGCGCGGTGGCCAGATCAATTCAATAATACTGAAGAAATTGAAGCGTGATATTCATTGAATGCATCACTTACTCATCAATTGTGTAATTGACTGGTATCGCAACTAATAACATATTCGCTATCATTACTGAGCACAGGAACACCAATGCAAGATTTTCTGAAATTATATATCTGACCTTGAAAGTTTGTAAAAACTCACCGGGAAACGTTTTCGGTTGAATATTGTAGAGATAGATAATTCTCACTAGCATTATCTTCAGAATTGATGTTTGGAAGTAAACTAAGAAGGACAATTTCAATGCGAGTTTGGTGAATTTCCAGCTAAACCGTAAAACGTCGTCCATGCTGCGAGATCTTCTGATGCCAATTTTTAATCAACCCATCTTTTATGCTCATATTGGAGGCGTGGCGAGATTACGTGGTGCCATTTTTTATAATTTTACGGCCTATTCAGGAGCTGATAAATGTTTGTGGAAGCAACTACGATTTATGGCGAAATAACAGCAAAATTTGAGAGAGAAAATAGCGTTCGAGAAATTGTCTCTTTGTTCCCACTGTTGGAGCCAACGCGAAATTTGATCATGTGATAAGTGATGATATTAATTGGATACGGTATGAGGTGATTTTGATATCGTTTCAAAGAGAATCGTACAGCCGAAGTGTATTAAATTCTTTGAGATTAAAACTTCGACCGAGAGAAAGAGATATTGAGACAACAAGAAAAACATTATTTTGACAGGTGGTTACGGTAGCAAAAATTTGTCTATTGCTCTATCAACACCATTTTACATCACCCAATTCTTTAATTTTTGTACTTTGAGATTGATGATTTGGTCTTTATTATTCGTGACATTTCACAAATTATTCCGTAGTTTCCAAAATTTTGAACTTTGTCTTTTTCCACTTTTATGGTCATGGCAAACATCGTTTCTTTTATTTTTGATCTTCAGTCGAATCTAGCGTGATTTTCGCAATTTTGCTTGTCTACGATATATGAAAATTTATTGCATAAAAAATCAGAAAAGAATAACGACAATTAGAAATGTACACCGCGGCAATAGAAGTCGCCGGAATCGCGCTGAACCTTGAGAGCAACATTCTCGATGTGTTCGCATTTTTGACATTCTTTCGGAATGTCGATTACGTGCTCAGCACGTTTGAGATTTGTTTTCATGAACGGCGAATACAGAATTTCCTGGTTACGCGTTTTGGATTCTTTGTGCTCAGTAATAATTGGCTCCTTGTCATCTAGGAAATTAGGCATGTCAATTGCCACACATTGCCTAGAACATGGAAGGCAGTTTTTTTCGATGTCTCTTACAATATTCGTGCGAGCTACAAAAATTACAATTCATCGATTCCGGAGCTGGATAATGCATCTTTATGTTTACCGCAGTTTTGTGAAACATCGGTAGAAGTTTTATTCCAATTCGAAAGTATTAGGATCCTTCGACCGACAAGACAGCTTTGGCTTCTGAAACAAAATTTCACCCCCTCACATCGCCGTGCTTGAAACCCACTCTTCAGGATAATAATTCAAGAAGTAGCGTGTGATGTAGCAACTTGGTACAGACAGGATGAATGCCATGATCAAGAAGATGCAACTTGGTAAAGGACCATCTTTAATATTATGTTTGTGGTAGTTTTGCGAGTCTTACATATTTAAGGCATGAGATGAGTGACATTGAACGCGCTGATTATTAACGTTATGTATGAAAGCGCTGTAACGAAACAAACAAAGTATAGTAACAGGGACCGAAAACCAGATTCATTCTAAATATTCTCAAATTTATTCTCTTTCGGATAATTGGAAAGCGCTCACCATTTGTCTCATATTTGTTGGCAGCAATGTTTGAAAATAAGCGTATTATCAGTTTTCGTCTCAAAGTTGACAGGAGCGGAAGGCGGGGTGTTCAACTGTGCCATTTCGTTGAAATACAAAGATAACCTACAGCGTGCCATGTTTTTCCGTCTCGCAAGTTGATAACTTTAAATAATGAAATGTCAACGTGTCGACGTACTCTTAAAAAGGAAGGACACATGAGACACTAATGGAATATCCTTTTGCACTCATTGCGCACATTTCAATGCAGGAAATTAGCAAGCAGAATAATGGGTGTGTTTGTGCATCTTTTCAACACAACGCTAAGAATAATGCACCTGGACAATGACCTTATATTGAAGTGATCAAAAAATTGTTTAAGGCATGAATGCCTCATTATTTATTACCTTCCAAAATGATAGAATGAAAAAAGTCTAAACAAAAATTTCAGTTTTTGTTTATCATTCTTTGAGAAACTTTGATCCAATAGAGAGACATTGGCAAGCACATGAATTCGCGTAGACATTGGCGAGCACATGAATTTGTAGTGCTCTGTTACGTAGCCTTTTTCCATCATTGTTTTTAAATAAAAAGCTTTTACTTCTTTTCCTCCATTCCTATCATTTAATATGATATAATTGTTTTTTGGGGCAAATCTGTTCATTTAATATCGCCTTGAACATTTTTCATTTTCCCCCGTTCAATTATTTCTTCCCATAAATCTTTTCTCAGGACGCCGAAGAATGGAATTTCGCGCCATTCGTCAATTTTGATGACAGTAACCAGTCGGCATTTGACGCTAAATATTGAATGAATGCTCGTATTTTCTTTTCATATATCGAGTAGAAAAGACATTGGCATACGGTAGCCGGCTCACAACAATGAAAAACCCATTTCTTAAGGTCTCGTTGGATAAGGATTAAATCACAAAAGTAGATAAAATGAAGAGCATTACATTGACACAGACTACTAATGACAATATGAACTGTGCGAAATCGAACGACATGCCACTGGGACAATATACGCATATCGATTTTGACACCTTGTTTTCTTGCGGCACCGCGCAAACACCATTTTTCCCGAACGTGGGCAAAGCCATTTGTAATACTTGGTCCTTAAATCAGTGTGTAATTCATTCTGCGCATGGTTGAAATTATTTAATTCAAGCGTATATCAACGCGTTGTTTTAGAAAACGCTGAACTTGCTTCAATTTCAAATTTTTAAACCAACGTGTACTTTTTGCACATAAATGTGAAATTAAAATAAATTTTTAACTCATATTTAAATTATATTGAAACTTAATTTCGAGCTGAATGCAATCTTTCAAAGTTTTTTTTTTAAATTTGCCCTTCACGGTTTCAGAATTATGTGCACTTTGAAGCATTATCTTTAATCCAAATTTGTTGCCATGACTTCAAGGAAGTTGACTTTTAAATGTACTTTTTTTAAATTTTGCACCTTAAGCAAACATTTTCATTATCTAGCTCCTTCTCCTGGTAGTAAAATCAACAAAAAAACAAACGCCCTTAAAAAAAGGCCGAAAATTACACCTGTTTTTTGCTTCGTCTTCGTTCATTTTATTGCCTGTTTCCCCTTTTTGAATCGATTTTTGTGCGACACACAACAAATTCCTGAATAAATTTTCATCGAATTGACGATTTGTTGCCGCGTGCATAATCGATAATATTTTCATTTGGTTTTTTATTAACAGATTTTGCGATCATTTTACCAATTATGGAGGAAAAAGAGGATAATAGCCGCGCTGGATGCACTATGGTCACTGCTTCTATCATCGTTATTTTGTTCGTTGGAACAATTGTTGTGATTCGAGTTCTTCTGGATAGTGAAGATGAGAACAACCTTCCACTTGTTCAAGGTAAATCTCAATCGTACAGATTTGAAACGACTTATTTTATTTTTTAGGCCAAACGCGGGAAGTTCTGACTGTAATATTGTATTTTATGATAACCTGTGCACTCCTTATATGCTGCGTTGGATCATTTTGCGTCAGACTCATTAGGTAATTTTATTTCATATATTTAATGATTACATATAAATTTCAGCCTACTATTCCAATCAATCTCCCCCAACTTCAAGCAGACTTTTAGAAAATTTTGCAATTTTAACATGAAAAAGAACATTGACTATTATAGGAACAAGATGAAATTGGAGGGTAATTATCATTCACTATATTTAATTAATTAAAAATAGTTATTTAAAGATCCAACATTTCGTGACGTGGTTGCTGAAGCTCGTGGAGTTCAATCCGCAAAATTTGAGAACCATCCTCAAGACAATTATCCGTATGAATATGCGACAAGAGGATTTGAGGTGAATTTTTAATTATATGTCTCGTTAAATGTAATTCACGCCAAGCCTGATCGTGTAGGCAATTGCAATGGTTTCGAAAATTGCATTCATTTGAAAACGTGTTAATGACGAAAAACTTAATTGTTCTCTCAAAAATTATTTTAATTTAATGGAATTAAAATTACTAATTTGTAGATCCTATATTCCATAACTTTCAGGACTTCGATGACGTTCGTCGCATCCTTCCACAACCCCCAGCCGGCCGTGGACGCTCAATGAGTATTGATGTTTCTATTATATAAATTGTGCCATTGATTGTGATCATAAACAGCTCATTTCGTATAAAGTTTTCATTAAAACCTATTTATTACTAGAAATCGATGGGGGTTTCATAATTTATGACATGTCGGCATTTATAATTAAAGACAGAATTATAGATGGGGATTACAATTATTGATTGAGACGCCATGCTAATATCCTGGTGCGGTTCTTGGTGGTGGGCAGTGTTCGCATCCTCCACTTGGCCCTCTTGCTCCGTCAGGCCCGACAGGTCCCGGGCCTCCCGGCTGTCCTGGAGCTCCTGGGGCTCCATTGTCTCCGGCATCTCCTGGAGATCCATCTTTTCCTGGCTCTCCTGGAGCTCCTGGACTTCCTCGGGGACCTGGAGGTCCTGGTGGCCCAGCAGGTCCAGGTGGTCCTGCTGGCACAGGAACCTCTTTAACAACTCCTGGAGGACCCGGTGGTCCAGCTTTTCCAGGGTTTCCTGGAGTTCCCGGGGCCCCTGGTGGCCCTGGTGGTCCTGCTGGACCTCGGGTTCCACCATCAGCATCACGTCCTGGAGATCCTGGATTTCCAGATGGTCCCTTTGGCCCGGCTGGTCCCGGGGGCCCTGGTTCTCCCGGTGGGCAATCGAAGCACCTCAAAAAATTGGGTAATCGTCAGAAATGCTGGTAATGATACCATTCAAAGTTTGGAGCTGGAGTAGGTGGTGGTCCATCTGGCCCATCCTTACCAGGAGTACCTGGTTCACCGTCAGCACCATCATCTCCATCTCTTCCAGGAACTCCTGGTGGCCCCTGAGGGGAGACACCACATCCACAGCATCCTCCAACACTTTGCGGAGCGGCTTCCACAGCACCTATTTATCAAATAATAAATGTTAAAAAATGTTTGAGCAATTCGCACTTTCTAAAGGACTGTTATAGCCGGTATTGTATCCAGCCTGACGGCGAGAACGTGCCAAAGCACTACCAGACACCTGCGTCAGGACCTGTGCTATGCGATTGATAAAAAATCAAACAATGCTAGAAATCCACCTGCGTTTTCGTAAGCTCTCTCCAAATGTTGCCAGATCGAAGCTTGCAAAAATCTACCTACATTGAGAAATTTTTACTTTTTAATAATAAATCCTGAAACCAACTTCAGCTTGCATGGAAGACTGCATTTGCTGCATAAAATTATATAATAAAGGAACCGAAACAACCGAGATCAAAGTGGCTACGGTGGAAACAGCGACACCAAAAAAAGCAAGCCTGGAATTAGATGCGATAGTAAAAAGGCTGGAAAACGGTTAGTTGGGTCTCACTTCCTTAAAGCCTTTGCATTTTCTTGCAAAGCCTTCGGATCATCCGTACTGGAATTCATAGTAGATCAATTCGCAGTGGCTTGCGAATCTGACGGAGTGCGAATAATTAGAGAACTGCAAAAGTTGACGTAACTTTTATACAAGCGTTCGGCTAGATTGCTAGCGCTCCACCCTCTCTTGCGCACAATATAGATGAGTGAAGTAAAGGAGGATGAGAATCGTTGCAGACACGAATTGACAGTCGCAGACGCGCGCGCGCGCTGTTTTTTCCCACTGCTTCAAGATGGTTGAGGGGGAAAGAGACTTATGTACTGCCCAGTTATACTAATTACTGAAAAACACACAGTGTGATCTAATCGGAAGCCGTTTTTTGCGTAATTCGTGATGTTATCGGGACTTTGGAAACAATCAAATACAATCGAAAAGAAAAACCAATAAAGGGATTTGTAACTCATTATTCAGCATTAGCGATATTTGTATTCCAGCACAGTGAGAAAATTCAAGTTACCACCACTGAATTGTTTTAGAAGCGAAATTTTCCATCAGAGCTTCAAGACAATAAACTTTGTTTACATTTCCTTCCATTTTAATTATATCCATATGTTTTAGCTATAAAAGTTTATTTTAGCTAGTAGCAATCTCACGCATGCACAGAGCGCAATTCGTTTTCAACATTCTTGTAGTATAGTACATAATTTATTGGCAGCCAACCAATTTTTCATTTCTTTCTTTATTGCTAACTATCATTAGCTAATAAGAAGGCATTGTTCACTTTTTTCGCCGATTCTCCGACAATTACGCTTGTCCCTAAGTATCATTACAGCCCATTGAGTCATCGGAAAAACAAAACGAAGAAGCAACAAAATAGTCGAAGCCGCGGCGGCGATAGTCATCGTACCAGTAATTTGACGTCCGCGCGGCGCTCGTCCACTCAAAGAGGAAAAAAAACGAAAGGAGAAGAAGTCATCATCGAAACATGAGAAAAATTGATGTATCTTGCTGCCAAATCTTTTGTAAGCGCTGTCGTTATGAAGTACTTGTTGTAGAACCGGGCCAGAAAATGAATGGGAGAATCGTCGGACGTATTTAATTGCGACTGTGAAAATTTCCCTCCCTTTTCCCCCCAACGCGCACACACAAATCTGGAAGACAACAATGACTGTCGCGATGATGATGATGATGATGATGATGATGATGATGATGATGATGGGGATGATCGGTCTCATTAGACGTGTGAACAAGTGCGAATATTATGTATTATGTGTGTATCCAATGAGAACCACTGAAAGCTCCCCCGTTAGTATTTCCCATTGAGACTCATTCAGCCTTAAAAGGAAGGGAAATCAGGAAGGTAAAAATAACATACACACGCACAAAGCTCTTTTCAGAGCAAACTCCTACATGTCTGAAGAAACATACATGAATGTTGCTTTTACCTGAAAATATGCGTAAATCTGCTACTCTTAATGCATTATTAAAAATGTGCTTAAAATTTGTTGAACACTTGTGAAAAAGCCTTATTGATTTATGTTTGAACACCAAAATTCTATGAAGAGGCAAAAAACCATGTTTATTCAATATTTACTCTTGAAAAGAGTTCGAAGTCTAATTCCAGATGTTTTCTCGCTGCTACTTTATTTTGACTTCAAGCCTTTTCCGTTTTTCGCTTTTTTAAAATTAGAAATTCCGAAATTAGAAATGAATATATTATAAGACAAACGAGTTATTTATTAATTAAAAAAATGAACTACAGTGTAATTTTTGATCTACTATTTTGCTGTTCTTAGATAGCCAAACAAAATATGAAGAATACGACATTGATATGCCATGCGAAATAACTTTATTCCTTTTTTCCAAGTTGTTCCATCATTTCTTGGAATTCAATCGTTCCGGGACCAACTTAATTATGCCACATGCATGTTTTGTTTTTTTTTTTGGGAATCCTGAACAAAAATTCCCATTGTGTCTTGAATGAGATGAAGCAGAACATGAAGGAATTTCACGCATCGATCCACGCAATAAAAATATTTTTTACGCGACTTAATGAATCGACACAATTTCTTTTCCCAGAGTTTCAGAACACTTCAAAAATCTTCGTGGTTATTTTTTTTTTCAAGAAAAATTACTTTAATGTACTTCCTATGCCCAAATTCATTCCTTCTTTTTTTGTTGGTTCTACACTAATTAGAAGCTGGATTCGTTTTTTTCTGTTATGCTTCTTGTGATGCTCCCTGTTTTTATTGTTTTTTTGAGTTTGTTTTTGGCGACGAGTTGGATGGGATTAAAATTTCGAGGATTCACTCGTCAAAATTAGATTGTTCGACGAATATGACCTTCAGAAATGTTACATTTAACGAAAAAATGTTGTTTGAAAATTTCCTCTTTTCTAATTCTTATAACCACTTTTTTTTGGAAACAGACCACCATACTATGCCTTAAAAAATCTCTAGACATTTACCTTTCAACTTTGAATCAAATCTTATACTTCGGTTTGATTATAAATTATCAACTTAGTACTGCTAGCAAATAAAGGCAATTCAAATCTCAAAATCCGGAAAGGCATTCTTAAAAATAGCTAGAAATTTCAGTCAAAAAAAAGTTGAAACTTTCTATTGTCTTCTCAAACAAAAGTTGAACATCTAATTTTGCTCATTGACTAATGAAAAATGAACTAATGAAATTTATGGAGTTGTACTAAAACGCATCTGCATTCATTTCAATTAAATGCGACCTCTTGACTTTTTTCTCACATTTCCTCTTGCAAAAAATTTCAATTCGGCTTCAATTCCGAACTTTTTCTAATCAACTTTGGTAGCCACGCAAACTATAAAAAATGGTCGCGTTGTATCTGTGCCTTCAAACTTAGAGATGGGTGCATAATAGATTAATTTTTGAGTTACGCAATGTGTAATTGCGAGTTTTATGACTTCGAAATTTCGACTTCTAACACTGGATGGAGCACTTTAGAACTCTTTCGCTTTTCTCCTTATTAGGAATGTTTATTCCTTCTTTTTCATTACTAGGCAAAACAAAGTACATTCTTTCGATTATTGGTTTCGCTATTTTCACACATTTAATTTTGACATTTTTTTGCCTAATTAATCGGGATTTTCAAAACCAGATCATGTTTGCGGCGGGACCCTAAAGTCTGCATTTCCATTTTGCTTTAAATTTAAACACACTACAACACTTCATTACTCACGTTTTTTTGGTTGGAAAGTGTTTTTTTTTCTTATTTTTGTGGTGGCTTTCCTCAAAAACAAATTCATGGGAAAAACTGCATATTTAAATTTTGTTGGCTTTTTTATTTGGTCCATTCTCATACTTGCGGGATTTATTAATGATGAAAGAACAAGATAACAATGAATGAAACAATGCGCAAAGGTGGCTCGCGATTTTTTTTATGACTACTGTAATAAATAATGCCAATGAGCTAAAATGAAGTTAATGTAAAGAATTTTTGATGAACTGGCTTTGTTTTAGATCCGACGAATTTCGGAAACGGAAAAAATTGTTTCATCAGACATTGAGCTAAATCTTAAGTATATTGTAAATCTGGTATTTTATGAGGTACGGTCTTTACATTTCCAAAGATTCCCAGACGTCATATAACTTTATGGGAAAATGTTTTAAAGATTTTTGCTTTTTTAACATTTTCAACATTTCTTTTAAATTACCCTCAATTATTATGATTGTGCAATGTTTCAATATAACTATAACATTAATAGAAATATTCGTATTGTCCCACTAATATCACCTGGCAATTAGTATTCTTATCTCAAAAAAATGACGCGTTGTGTTTCGCTTTTCGTTGTGGTTACCTAAAAATCACCACCCGTTTGCCTAATGGCTTCAATTAGTGCATCGATTCCGCGGCCAAGCGCTCGTTGTTATATGCACTCCATCGGAGGCCGATTTTGGGTCCGCCAAATTTTCGTCGAAGAAAAGAGCAGGCGACTGACTCAAATTTGAAAATCTCATTAGGTGTTCTTATCTGATTTTTTAACCTCATTCAAAATTTCCAAGCTTACGCTTCAAGATAATTTTTCTCACTAGGCGCCATTTTTTTTGCGATTTGGAAAAAATTAGACTAATTTTTTTTAGCATTCTTTATGTACATTTTTGTATTTTTTTTATTATCGTATATTATCGTAAATATAATAATTAAAACCGGTATTTTTTTTTAAGTTTACTTATCACCCTACTTCAAAAACAATTTTGATGAGAATTTCCAAAAATATCTAATATTTACTTCCTCAGGAAATTTTAACGTCCCATTATCATCAATTCCTATGAAAATAAAAATGGAAAATCGAATTATCCGGATGATCAAAAGCTTCACGCAAGCCTCCCAGAAAAATAACCAAATAACTTTTTCCCAAATTTTGTATTTGCTCTGTTAAAGTGCGCTTTTCTTTCTACTTTACAGACGCAAGTAATTTCAGCTGTGACTGACGTAGAAGAAGTGTAATACTAGAATTTCCATTATTTTCTGTTCATGATTCTTTTCTTATTTTAAAACAGAGTTCGAAAAAAGAATAATATTTAAGATAAATTGAAAACGAACATTTATTGATCCAGATGTTTGTAATTTTACATATTACCCGCATCAATCAAATTCTTGTGTAGCACTCTCATGTCAATATAATTCAAGTGTATTTTAAAAAGTCTTTATTTTCAAATTGTATTGCATTAAAAGCATACAATCAGAAATTGGTCCCGATTCCTATAAGTTTTATTGCTAATAAATGCGCATAGTAATTCACATCCTTTTTTTGGGCATAAATATCATTTGCTTTCATTCGTTTTCTTGGCGTCACACTTGTTCGGACAAAAGTATTTAAATAGATCATTAGTAGAAAATGTTTCTCATCGCGAAGATTGTCAGAGGTCGACGTTTGCTTCATGAGCTGGAGAAACAGGAGAAGGATGAGCAACATCTCGCAGCGTCTACTGATGCCATGCAAGCCGCTCAACAAGTTTCACAACTTTCCAATCAATTCTTTATGAAACTATTTTATAGACGCAATCTGCTCGTGAGCCCTCGGGACAAGAAAATAATCCCAGGAATTCTTGCCAATACCGGAATAAAAGGAGGTAAGTCATATACCATATTTGGGTTCAAAGTCCGCCCATATTTTGCACATTAAAAATCTCATTTTAAAATATATCTAGGGATTTAATGGAAATGCATTTCATAATTCATTTCTTTCGAAAACAGTATTTCCATTTCATAGCTTTATTTCTATTTATTTTTCTCATAAATTTTCTCCAAGAAAACGACATGGATTTTCTAGAATCTAAGCTTCTTCTTCCTTATATCATTTTTTTCAAAAGATTCAGGCTCTCAATTTTTCGATATCTGAAGAGGAGAGCTCCACCGATTAAGAAATTAAGAACGTCATTTTAGTATAAAAAGCAATTAAATAACCACTGTCTTTTAACCAAATTCGTGAAATGCGAGAAATGGACACGCGAAGTAGTGTACTTTGAAATAGAACCCATTTTACTTCCATTCTTATCATTTTCTAGCAGAACTGTTCGCAAGAAAACGGCGACAACAAGTTCAGTGGATTCAACAAATTTCACCGAAGAAGGAAAACCTGCGAGAAAGTCTAGCAGCATGCCTAGCATTTATGACGCTCAACAAGGTTATCGTTGATTGAATCTATTAGGTAACAATAGAACATTTTTAGCAGCCACCAGCACCTCTCAACTGAAGCATTATTCATACGATACAAAATTAAACAAACTACAAAAGCGTGCGATTCGCTTTACTTGGCACCGTCTTCAGACTCGAAATAGTGGTAAACGTGTGGAAAATGTTTTTGAAGAGGTTGGTTAGCCCCCAAAAAAAATTTGAAAAAATAATTTTTCAGTAACATTTTCCATGATATCATTTTCTTAAAGAAATGCGTAGTACTACTTTTTCAAATTTGATTTACGTAATGCCCTTTAAATCCTTATGAAATTTAGGCATAACAATTCTCTATATTTACGGCATTCTTTTCCATTCCTAGAATTTCCCGAGAAAATCCTGGTCAGTTCTAAATCTGGATTAACGTATTAACCTGTCTTTAGTTTGGACGTTAGCATTATCGACGTCAGCGTTCGTATTAGAAAACCACATTATAAAAAATACCAACCTAACGTAACTGTTTCAGGTTTATGAGAAGCTTATTAAAAGCCTTCCTAACATTCGTGACATGTTTTCAACACGAATGTTCCTTTGTGCCATGTCGAAAGGCAACACATCTTCGCAGCGAGACCACTCAAAAAGTACAGTACGCATGATTGATGCAATTGTCAAGAATCTTGATGTCGATAAAAGCAAAAGAACTGACACAGGCTCCGAGAACGATCCGGTCGTTATTGGTAATATTTCACGCTTAATGCACTACACTGTTCTATAATTAATTCCTTCAGGACGTGCGCACATCGGACTTAAGCCATATGGCCTAACCGGTAATTACTGGGAGAAGTTTGGCGAGGTCATGATTGATGTGGTGCTCGCTCAGGAAGCAGTTCGCGATCTTCCTGGAGCTGGACAAGCTTGGGTGATTTTCACAGCATGCTTGGTGGATCAGGTTGGTTCCGTTTCATTCCTTCCCTCATAACAAAAAAAAGTGAAAACCCAATATTATGGCAGCTTTTAATGTGATATGATATGTGCGTATGTGCATGATTAATAGCTCAATAACAATATTTTTGGTACTTTTATGGTTATTGGTTTTTGTTGCAGCTTCGAGCAGGATTCGAGGAAGTACGAAGGATTGAGAATGACAACATTATGAGAAGAAATACGGTACTTCACTATGCTACCCAACAACTGCTAAACGATGTATGGATTTCGGAGGTTCTTTTTGCAAAGAACATTTATGTTTTAGGTCCCGTCTACTTCAGAAGCGTCTGCCCCACCAGAGCCTTCATCGTCATCCAATGGACAAATGGTTTCTTCCAAATGTTCAATTAAAACATTACAATGAACTTTTGCAGCCTTCAACATCTCGCCGTACCGCCGACGTCGATGCCGACGGCGAATCATTCGAGACCGTTTATCTCTAATCTTATCTCCGATAATTGGGTTACCATGTCGATATTCACTGACCTATTTTTTTGTGTGTGTATGCGTTCTTACATTGCCTCCTCCCCTCCCATTCATCGGCCCCACATTTCTCGCATTTGCGCGCATCCATTTGTGTTGATTAACGTTTTTGCTTTTCTTTTTTCTGGTGTCTGCTATTTGTATAAATTTATTTTTGGATACATAATAAAATTTGGTTTAAAATTATAGGATGGAGAAGCCACCGACGAGTGGCCATGTGTCTTCCGCAACGCTGTTCATTAGCGTTTTCTGCATGCTCGCTGTTGCTATTGTGATCTCAGTTTTGAACATGCAGTTGAACGAAGCTCAAGAGCGATTGGAGAGCCGAATGGGCGCATTTAAAGTAATTAGACTGATTTTTTTGCTATCTAGTTAATATGAATATTCCATTCAGTATGCTGCACGCAATATTTGGCAAGACATAATGATTGTAAAGAGTAATGGAAGAATTAAACGTCAGTACGGTGGATATGGGGACTCTCAGGCGGATAGCCAGCAATGCACATCATGTGTGCAATTAAGATGCCCTCCAGGACCACCGGGACCACCAGGTGTTGCAGGAGAGCCAGGAATTGATGGAGCTCCAGGAAGAACCGGTAACAATACCAACTGAAAATTAAGTGAAAAAATTACTTATAGGAAAACCTGGATTGGATGGCCTTGATGTTCCTCTTGATCCAGAACCAGCATTCCCATGTGTTATTTGTCCGGCTGGACCGCCAGGAACTAGAGGACCGCAGGGTGAAGTCGGACGGCCAGGAACTCCCGGAGAGCCTGGACATCCGGGACTCCCAGGAAGACCAGGAAAGCCAGGACGTGTTGGAGATGCTGGACCACAGGGACCACCAGGAGAGCCAGGAGAGCCGGGAATCAAGGGACCACCAGGAGATGATTCTATTGGAGGAACTGGAATTAAGGGACCGCCTGGACCACCAGGACCTCGTGGACCAAAAGGACCACCAGGAGCGAACGGTCTTCCATCGCAGAACAGTGGACCACCAGGACCTATTGGAGAAATGGGACCACCAGGTCCTCCAGGACCACGTGGAGAGCCAGGACCTCCAGGACCATTTGGGCCCCCAGGAGATTCCGGTGAACCAGGAGGTCATTGCCCATCATCGTGCGGAGTTCAAGAAATCGTTGCCCCATCCGTCACTGAGCTTGATACGAGTGACGATCAGGAGAGACCTGCACCAAGAGGAGGATATGGTGGAGGCGGATACGGCAAAAAATAAATGTTGTTGCAGAAATTTTTTAATAAAAGTTTTTAATAAAAATGTTAATAACGTTCAAGACAATGGCTAAATTGAATTGTAGAAAGTTTGTGCAAAGGAATTAACAATTGGATATCATTACGTTGCTACATATATTAGAGATTTGGTTTGAGATTATTTGGATTGAAGCTGCGACAGTACACGTTGAGATACGTCTCGGAATAATCCACCAACATCGTTTTTAAACGATAATTCTATTCCAAGATTTTTTCATTAAAACATTCGACGTAAATCATTTCGCCCCAAATTTAATCATGCGCGACATACGAAAAACAATAAATTTTGTTTCATTCTCCCCACCCTTCAGCTGCAGAGCCGCGTTTACGAGCATTAATCAACTGATACTATTTTCGGAGAAAAGAATAGCCAAAGGTATTTGTCGATGCCTTTCCGCGAGTTTAACGGCCCTCGAGCCATGCGCACCGCGGTCGTAAAAGGCACGACCCCTCAACGAACATAAAATGAGAAGGCAGCTGGCTTCTGCTCCTGACGGCCTTGTTTCCCTCATTCCGCGACTACTGTAATGACCTAATACAATACAACAGAAAATGAGGAAAAACAAAAACATTGAAGTTCGGGGAAGTGTGTAATGATTCCAGGAAAACTGAAAATATCAAACTGTATAAAATACTTTGAATCCCTTCCTGACATTCTTCCTTTTTTGCCTTCCTAATAAACCTAACTGGTGCTTTGTTATTCAACACACGCCAACGACAATGCACGCCCCGTCTCTTTTCGCGCATTTAATTTTGCTCGAGAAGTCATACTTTGTTAATATTTTATGACTGTTCATAGATATATCATGCAATGTCAAAACGTGGCTATTATTCGCGTCAAAATTCCCCCCCCCTTTCAGTGTTTTTCGCATCTTGCATCTTGTTTACCCAGAATAAATAAAGTCGTTCAAATTTTACAGTAACCAAAATGCATGTATGATTTTTTTCTGAACAAATTGGTGAAAGAGTGAAGCTATAATTAGCTTTTTTTAAGAATTCCAAAAATCAGCTATTAACGTAAACTTATATTAAAAAAACAATTAGGAACAATTCAGTCATTTTCATAGAACTTTTTCCAAAAAAGTTATAAAGCACGTTGATTTTCTGATGAGACTTCAAACAATAATCTTTTAACAATGGTATAATCAAAGATTTAAGATTTTCTCAGGATGTCTATGAAACCAAGAAATTCTAGTTTATCTGCTCGTTGACGTGTTGTTTTTTGGTTCATGCAAACTTTAATTAAAACCAAAAGCATGTTGGTATTTCATCCCGTATTTAATGCGTGCACCCAGAAGACGAAATGGTCCCAATTAAACGCGACAATTATCCAATAACGTCTCAACGACAGCCATAACCTAATTGATACGTGTTTTAACGTGCATTTTATGAACACACTCCCGAATTGTTGCCAACATGCTGTCAGCTGCCCCCAGTGCTATTACGATCGTTTCGCGCACACCATATTGGCAAAATTGATGGTGGTGCCTTCTAAAACAAGCCATTATCCCGACTGCAGGCAGCTCTTCCACGCTGCCTATTACCTAATTTTAGAGAGGCAGGCTGTCCATCAAAAAGTGTGAGCATGGGCAGAGCCCAGATTGAAATTCAACGCGGTAACAATAAAAACATTGAGACCACCCCCTGTTGGCTCTCGATGTGCTTATCAAACCATTGTTTCATTCTCGTCAAATTTCATCCACACGTTTGCACCTTTTTTTAATTTCCGGTTTCAATGAGCCATTTCATTTCGAAGAATATCTCAAAACGAAATTTATAGGTTCTTATTCCTCTTCACTTTCTTTTTCTCATTGTCCATCTTAAAGTATCGTAGTCGCAATAAGGAGTGTTCCGCTATTGGTAGGAGAACAAAAAGTGGGCGGGGCAAAGTGAAGCAGGCTCTCGCGCGAGCCACAAGCTTAAATGAGGAATCAGCTGACGAGATCGCCTCTAAACACCTTTTTCTGGTATTTTCGAGTAAGCGGATTGTTTGACGTGGCTCTAGAGAAAACAAGGTTATGTTTTCTTTTTTATATCTTTTCAATATCTCCTGCCGCACAATTTTTCTCACGATGGGAGTATATTGGCAAGCGTACATAAATATAATCCATGAGAAATCTATTACTAATCAGTACGTCGTTTGTTCAGACACCGTGTGATTTTATCGGTTCGTGAACTTCCTGTTTGTAGTCGAACTGATAGTTTCAATTTTGAAGCTTTTCCCATTCTGAGAATTTATTTTTAGAAACCGCTTGAGCGTGAGCTTTGCATGTCTCGATCTCAAAATAAAACGAAGAGATTTATTTAAATAAAATTGCTGAATTTTTATATCATTATAGTCTTCGTTTTTTGTAGCAATTTGTAATTACTGTGTAAGCTTTGGAAAAAAATTTATAGATTTCTTTGGATCCTTTTATCTAAAGTTGTATTCTACTAAACTTTACGATTTTTCCGGCTCATCTTTTATTTTACTATTTTACTATATATATTTTTTCATTATTCTTTCATGTTCCTTTTTTTCATAATAATTTGTGATTCACATTGAATTTCTTTGCAGCGTGTTATTAACCCAAAAATCACAATGAATCATGGTATAGTATCCCTAACCAGTTGTGACACATCCGACAGTCAGATTGTGCTCTGTCGTTCTACAATGATATCTCCACCAGCGGATTTCGAGAATGGTAAGTTCCATGCATAATGCGCTAAATCCAAAAGCCCATCATTAACGCGCGCATATGAGCGAAATTCGATATTTTAATGGCAACCTTTCTCTCCTGTTACTCATCACAAACGTGTAAAAAGTATCCGAACACCTGCATTGTTTATTTATGCAGCGCTTATTGAGTTACATTGTCAAAAATTTTCAAAAAATTATTAAGCAAGTTCGCGGTATATTATACTTGAAAGAACGAAAAAAATGCTAATATTTATAACTTTTTGAAATATAAAATTTCACATAGATTTTTGAATATTTTGCTAATAATTTCCCATGTGCACCGTAAGCTGCCAATTTTTTCTTCCGACCTCCGAAGAAAGATCAAAAGATGAGTCCATAGTATTTCAACGACTTGAATCAATCTTTGAGAAGTATTATCCGCATTTTCATCCAATACCAACAGATCACGAACATTCAATTATCGCGTTAAGGTTAAGCCAAAGCGTCTGACGCAGATAGGGTGCATTTGTATTACAGCATCGAAATAATCGTTTTCGATGTTTGCTCAATTATTTTAAATCACCACAGACTTTGAAAATCGATTAACTGATAAGTGAAAATGGGCTATGCTGTAATATGGAAAAGTTAAAATTATTAAAAAAAAATTTAAATTATTATTTGGGGAATGAGTGATCTTATAGTTGATCCGAGTTTATTACTTTCAGATACTTTAAGATTTTTTTATAGGAATTGCACATAACATTGCTACTTTTTGGAGGTTGACGTATGATATTCTAACTATTCTAATTTGTTCTGACACTGGATCTCTGAGCTTTGAGCCATTAAAGAATTTAATTTACAGTATACCAAATTTACGCGTTTCATAAAACTTTCTTATCCCAAATTTCATAGATAATATATTTAGGACATCCCATTATCGAAGGAGCGGTGTGTTGCGCTTGCAAAAAAGAAATTCGAGATCGATATGTGTCAAAGGTTATTGATAGGTAAATAAATCAATGTTAAAGAACTGTGAGTATCGAATTATTGTTGCAGGACGTATCACGCCAGCTGTATACGATGCGCAATTTGTAACTGCGAAATGGTTGCCTCATGTTATGTTCGAGATGAAATGCTCTTTTGTCGACTTCATTTTTTCAAGTCTGCCGTCTCAACAAAAATTTATTTTAAGTTTTATTACAACTGTATATTCCAGAAAATTTGGTGCCAAATGCGCTAACTGCAATGAAGGAATTGAGCCAGCTCATATTGTACGTAAAGCTGCAGGTATAATGACGTCAATTCAAAATGAAAGTTTCCAAATTAACCGTAATTATTTTGCAGGTCACGTTTATCACGTCGAGTGTTTTCAATGTTTCATTTGCAAGAGGTGAAAATTTAATGGGATTTCGTGTCCGGTGAACTTGAGTAATTAGTTTTAGATTGATGGAAACCGGCGAAGAATTTTATCTACTGGCTGAAGATGGTCGACTGGTGTGCAAAGCTGATTACGAAATGGCCAAGGAGAAACGTAAAAATTATATGAACGTAACTACGAGTCATTCAAAATTGTTCTAGAAGCAGATTCGGATGGAAACAACAAGCGCCCACGCACAACCATATCCGCGAAAAGCCTTGAGACATTGAAGCAGGTTGGTACTAGCTAGGTTTAATAGTGCACATCCCATTCTCATGGCTTTCCCACCTGCCACGTGCTTCAGATTACCATTGCATTAACTTGTATATAACAGTTGCAATCCAAAGGCGTATAATATGAGATGACGAAAAACGGGAGGGGTATAAAAATGCATGATATAAACAACTTTGAAAATATTTTTAGAATTGTTAATATACATAGTTATCCAATATTCGGGGTAATGAAAGGATTGTTAAATGCTGTCTGATTTTAAGCAGAAATCGTATTAGGAAACTTATTTTTCGAAAAATTGAGAGGGTTTTAAAGATCAAAAATCTAGTTTCTAAAAATTACGCTATTTACATTTTTTATTTTCAAGTTATTACGAAAGCTTGAGAAATTTGCAATGAAAAATTAACTGCCATTTTTTAAATTAAAAAAAAACTTTGAAATATTCAAGATCGAAAACTTTCATAAAACATTATGCAATCAGACAAAGACGTTGTACTTCTATTTTTTTTTCTCGACGAGTTTTGAAACATGAATATGTCCATCGGAAAAAAATGAAGACCCCCCTCGTAATTTTCATGATTTATTGAAATCGTACACCGTGTGCGTCCACTAAAAATCGGCGAGATCTGATTTATTTAAAAAAAATTTCGGCGAGCTGATAGATGAATTATCACCGACCATTGTCACGGCTCGACTATAAACATGAGAGTGTAATGCGAAAAATGTCAATGTGCTCACATTCACTCTCTCTCTCACATCTCGCATCAAGGAAGACAAACGGGTTGGCTAGTGATGTTGGTTGCAAGAAGAATGACGACGGAAAAACCGCAACAGTATTATTACATCAATTCCAATCAAATTTTTGCAGGCATACCAGGCAAGCAGCAAACCGGCGCGTCATATACGTGAACAGTTGGCCGCCGAAACGGGATTAGATATGAGAGTAGTGCAGGTATGAGCAGGACATGAAGAGTGGCTTAGTTTGTGAAAGTGCAACTATTGCAGGTCTGGTTCCAGAATCGACGTGCTAAGGAGAAGCGCCTGAAAAAGGATGCCGGACGGCGTTGGAAATGCGCCACCAGGACAGATAGTGACAGCAATTCTCCTAGCGAAAGCATCAACGAGCGAAGTCCGAATTACGGTAGTAAATGTATATTTTGATAATTGAACTACCGTTGCAGTTTACCTTGATCACAACATGGACGACATTTCAGTGGTAGAGCCAAATTACATGTACACTTCTAGGGAAGGATCGCCAGACAAATGTATTATTGAGAATTCCTCAAATCCTCCTCGTCAAACATAACAATATATGTAATTATAGTTACAGATTATATCTCAGAGTCCTCATCAACTGATTCATCTCAACAGCACTTGTCAATTAGCACAGATGTATGTGACATAAAGGACCAATAAATATTTTGAACCTTAATTTGCAGCCAACAACTTCGCTATCGTTTGATGTTCATTCACAAATCGATCCGATTCTCATCGGACATTTAAGCACTAGGTACTTATAAGTATTCGAAAGTTTCATCTATTTATTATCCATCGCTTCGCTTCTTTATTATCTATCTGCCAATGATATTTGCAACACACAGCTGACGCGCTGTCATAAATAAAAGTGTTTTGTGACACTTATTGCAAATGTCCACCATATTTCTCAAGGATTAAATCGCCAAAACCCCACTCTCATACGCCTCAAAAATTCAATTTCCTTATATAATGTGATTAAAAGAAAAGCCACATAAAATTTATACATGCCATTGCCTACATATTTTCCATATAGTCTAGACGCATTCCACCCCCCCCGGCCCCTCCTTCAATGCTCCGGTGAATTCAAACTGAAATTGCATGTGGTGTATTGTTTGATTTAATTATTTCGTTTCCCCCAAGTTTTATGTATGTTATTCGCCTTAATCAAATATTAATTGCCCTGTTCTTTTTCAAATTCTGCGTCAACGATTTCGCTTTATTGGTCCTACATCTTTATAGAATTATAGTAATATTTATCAACGTTTCAAAACGAGTAAATTCATTAATATTTTGTATGGAATACAAAAATCGACACTGCATTGGGAGTTCAACTGACGTTTTCAAAGGAATTTCATCGAAAACTTGAAAAAAATAAGAATGTACAATATATAAATGAGCAAAGAAATTGTTATGCCGTATCGACATAAGGAAGATCACCAACAACTAGTTTGACAGGATCTAGTGATCTCTGGAAAATCTCTAATTAGCATTCTAAAATATCAAATAAACGGGTAGAAGCACACACAAAAAATTGATGAAATGAGGTCAGGCAAAATAAAGAAAAAAAAACAAGCAAAGATGTGAAACAAAAAAGAAACAGAAGCCGTCCGGTTTAAAAATAGTTCTCCGAATCAATGATTACCTTGGGCACACTAGATGTCGTGCGATGCGACATATCACCGCTAAGTGATGTCTTTTTTTCGATTTCCGGTGTGATTTCCGATGAGTCATTTGAGTACGGCTAGAATTTCATCAGTTTAAAATATTAGTAATGTCACGGTGATACCTTGTAATTCATTCCGCCATTGGATTTTCCGTAATCCGGGCTTCCTCGACAGTCTCCAGCTTTCTTTTCGTCAAGAGAAGGACTAAAAAGTCTACAATTTAGGGTGAACCAAAATCAAATGTTGAGGTGTTACCGTATAAAAAATGAAAAGGAAACTTATAAGAATTTGAAAAACATTGATATATTTGTTATAAGTTAATAAGGTTGGTACACATTAACTTAACCTTATGAATATTGCTCAAACATTGCCCAGATCTTTTCAATTTGTCGCTTTTCATAATTTTTTGACCATCACAATTATTAAACAAACCCATTCCCTTCTCATGACATTCTTTTGTTTATTTGAGAAAGGAGGTTATAAAGTTATGACTCAAGATAGCTGTAAACAATTCAAAGCGCCTACTACAAAAATGTATTTTAAACAGAGTTTTTTTGAGCTGTTAGATAGTTAGTATGTTAACATGATACCTCTAACGTTCACACGTTTTAAATTTATTCACCTCCTGAATTAAGATTTTGGAAAGGAATTATGAAAAACCATACCTATAGTTATGTTTTGGGCGATCCCATGGTTCCGGAGCGTACTGTGATGGATAATAATATCTAGGAGCTGCTGGGGGGTAACCTTCTTCCATCTGACCCATCGAAAAAAAACGCAATAACAATTATGACAATCCACTACCCACCTGTCGTTGGAACGAGTGTCTCTTTCTTCTGGAGCTCTTGCCATGGACAATTTTTAAAATAAGGAATCCGAGGATTCCGACGGCCGAAATCGCAACCACGGCGATTGTCAAATTCCTCATATCCATTATGTAGTCAGTCATTCGGTGCATGTCATCGGCGACCTGAAACATTAAACATGTCAAAAAGAACCAGAAATAATTGGATTACCTGTATCATCTTTGGTATACCTTTAAACACCATATTCATGTCAGGATATTGGTGATGATCCATTAGATCACCAGGGCTGTGATTCATGCTTGGGCCACTTCCCATCTGAATAGTTTAAAAAATGAAATATCGAATTCATAAAAATGTATGTTTATATAAAAAAAAGAAAGCGGAAAACCCAAAATGCGCAAACGTGTCATTCCCAAAGATGTCTTAACTCTTCAATTAGTGACATGTGCGGAACGCAGAGCACATTCGCCAACTGTTAGACTAATAATTGGAGGCGGTGCCAGTGCAAAAAAGGAATGAAAAAGAGAAAAAAGTTGAGAGTAATGTGCAACCAAAAAAAACAAATCTGAACTGAAGTGTTCTTCATTTTATATTGACCTCTTGGGACGGAGCCCAATTCTACGGCTTATGACCATTTCTTTTTACGTTTCGACACATTTCACACATGGCTGGTACAAAATGTGAAGCAAGAAATTATGTATGTCGGCTCAACACGTATGCGAGAAGAGCAATGCAAAAAACAGCGAATTGGCAAATGAAATGGGTGTAAAACGCGAAATGGGGTTGAATAGGGATTAGAGATAATGACAATGGTAAGAATTGAAGCGGGCGGGAGGTCTGGTCGGACTCGAAACAGCTGACCACGATCGTCGAAGGACCTCGTCGGTATCTCGATGATAATAAAGAAGCGAAACGCGAGTGACTGGTGGGAGCCCGAGCCGGGAACGATGGATGGATGGAGCGAAAAGGGAGCAAAAGATGAATTGGATATGTTTATAGTTGCCGAAAAAATAACACGGCGAGACGACGCATCTGTGTGATCCTCCAGCTCCTCATCATGATCGACAAGTTGGCCAGCTCGGGCACTCTATGTTTTTTGTGCGTTGCGAGTTTGAGAGGAAGAAGATGGAGAACAGAACTCAAGATGTTAAGAACAGCAGTTGCAGAGGTGTCCGATATGGTGGAACACGGCAGGATTAGCGCTCAGTGACGAAGGACAAGTTCCTTAAGATATACATAAATGTCCATATTTGGGAGCAATACGCTAACTACAACATGAAACAAGTATTTATTGTTTCATGACATTGGTGACTGTTTTCTTATGCAATATTCAAAACGTCCAACAAAAACACTTTGGCTTCTTTTTCGACCTCCCGAAAAAAAGAGCATATTGCGATATTGCAATAAATTTTAATGTCAAAAATTCACATTCTGAGTGCGAAGGTCCCGCAAAAACCAGATTTTAAACAAGAAAATCAACGATTCATATAATTTTAAAAAATTTTCTAACAAATAGAAAAGTATTTGCCAAAGCGAACCAGCAGGTAAATAATTATGCTTATTCGACGATATAAATAAATAAACACGTCTAGAAGATTCTTACTATTCTTATAAACAAAAAATATATGATTTAATGATTGAAACGAATTTGATCTTAGTAAACTCTTTAAATTGAAAAAAATTGAGCAATGATAAGAGGAACAATGAAAACAATACAGACAATATGATTAATAGGGGGGGTCGAATGAGAAAAAAAAAAAATTAAAATTGTGTGTCTGCATTGGAATGAAAACCTGTCCACTTGATTAGAACCACATATTGCTCTCGATCAAGGTAGAAGCTATAAAAACAAATGTCGTTGCTGTAAAATAGAGAGAAAAAGCCATCAATTTGCGAACGACGAAACACGCACAAAAATGTTTGTGGCGACACGAGCACATGTTGAAGGTGCAATGCCGTTTTACCGCATCGCAAAAGAAAAAATGTGTGTTGTGGACCACCCAAGGTCGTCTCGTATGCTCTCGACTAATCATTAGTGGCGTTTTTTCCTGGACTATTGGTTGATGATGACGAAACGGGGTTATGCAAACATCCAACATGGGCACACCTTATTGCGTGTTATCAAGTTATGCCAGGTGCTCACAGATGTTCGCATAAACAAAAGCAATAAAATAACTTGAGACTCACCATGACTCCTTTTTTGGAATGATTGATGCGCATGAGATATAAATAATAGATTAAATTCTAAAATCAATAAAAAAAACAATAAATATAGCTAATAACATATTTGCCAAGAAAACCCGATTCCGATGGATTAGAAAAAAATAATCGAAAATCCGAATCTAAAATGAAAATAATTTTTTTTTGCTTCTGAATATTTTTGTGTTCTTCATATGAACATCAACAGTAATATTTGTCTGAAAAATTTCCCGACTATTAAAATTGTTTCCTGTGCTCCGTCCATTTTTTTGTATTGTGACCGTAATTTTGCCATAAAGCGTGCTCACAAATCCTTTGTACGACAACTGCGTCGGTATTTCATTATGTGCCGATGATGTCGGCCCCTTTATGTGGATCGTAAACAGAGACACACGCTGTGTTAACGTGATACCTTCATAATTGTTTGACATTGGATTGAAGGCGGCACCTGTGATCTTTGAGGAAAAATATGAACAGCAGACGGATTCCAAAATAATTATCTGATTTACTGTGTATGGAAGAGTAAAAAATGTTGGATTAATCAGGCAAACTTGAAAGTAGAAATTTTACACACTCTATAATTAAAAAAAAACTCATAATTTAAATTGGATGCATTATTAAAATTTTCTTTCAGAATCTGTCTGTTTCAATTTTTATTTTGCTTTAAACTTACTCATCCGCACATAATGCCTGTCTGCAAATGCTTTTGTCAATTTTTATACATAATGTTTCTAAAAATAGAATCTGGTATTGGCGCGCTAAATATGGAAATGTTTCAATCTCGAGTTCCCTCAATGGTCATCAGCGATCCATCGGACTGCTCTTCGTGTTATTTCAGGTGATCAAACAAAAGCGCCTCCTCTACTGGTTGGTTCTATTGAGACGATACCAAATGGAGAGCATTAGAGACAGCGCTGAGCAAATCTGTTGATCGTGTATTCCGATGCAGAGACACCAGCCGACGGTCACTATTAACAACTATTCGGCTAGAGACAAAATGAAAAATTATTTGTTACTATTATATTTAGTATTAGGTATGTTTTCAATTTTTGTAGAACTGTTAAATATTACATTATTACGTAATTGCATAATTACTTTGATTGCGTTTCTTAAATGTTGAATATCATAATATTTATTAATATAGGCCTAGGTTACCAGTTTTGTCTTGTTTTTGAAGTATTTCTTTATTTATTTTAAATATTTTAAGTTCCAATTGAAATATAAGATTGAAATAATTGAACTTTGCAGTTCGGTTTGTTCAAAAAATAGCAAAGCATTCAATTTTTACTTTATTTTTTCATAGAACTTTGTAGAAAGTCAATGTACCGATTATTTAATAATTTAATGATTATCACAATAATATCGAAAGTTTACGCCCTACCATATTACAAAAGCGATAAATTAATTTTAATTAAACTGTTTGAATCTCGTAACAAATTGCACAATAACCTACAGATCAAAATCATTCCAATTTACACGAGGGATCTTTTTTTGCGATGAAAATGTTCACGAAAATTTAGCTCATATTAAATCTTTAATTTTCTTTTGTTTCAGGTTAACATAATTTCGAATCAAATTGAAAAAAATACGCTAAAAGTTCTTTTTAGTTTTTCTCAAAAAATTAAACAAATTCTAGTTTTTAAAAGCTTTATTTCATTTTTTCGATATAATCTTTTTTTCAGCTTTTTTTATACCCAGCTCTTTATGCTCCAAAAATGGGTATATTGGCCATCCCTGTTCGACATCAGAAAAAAATGAATGCCTTCTCGAAAACTCCCAATGTATTGAAGGAATCTGCATGTGCTCTAGTTTTTACAAATACGTCAATGGTTCATGCATAACTGACAAAAGTAATATTTCAATTATTCCTCCAGTGTTCATTTCTTGTTTTTTTTTCAGGCAAAAGTCTCGGAAAACACTGCCGAAGTGGTGGAGATTGTCGCGGACAAGGCGAATTCTGCTCATCATTTTCGATTTGTATGTGCTTGAGCACTCACGTTGACGTCGGCAGCCAATGCAAACCAGGCAAGTGGAACCCGTCGGCGCTCCTTATAATGATCCTCTTTAATGGATGAGTAGCACGGAAAGAGGTTAACCAAACACTGCTCAAAAGTTTTTGTGCGGTAATACGTTTGCTTACTACCGGAGGTTTAATAATCCCGTAAGAGAATAATAATAAGTACTGTATGCAAACTTATTATAAATGAACTATTTCAAAGAAAAGAAAGTATTGTGAAATCAACTAAGGAAAATATGGATAGTTTAAATTATTGTTTTAGTAATCTACCCTGGTCAATTTGGTTGTGAAGATTCCTTGCAATGTAGCAAAGGCTTTCCTGGAGCCGAATGCGACGTTTCTAGAACATGCGTCTGCCCTCATGGAATGTTCGTCAGCCAGCAAACATGCGTGACAAGTGATATTCACACGGCTCAATCTTCTTTAATCAACGGTACGAGTTCAAATTTTTCAAGCAACACCTGTTGGCTGACTCATATTTTCCACTTCGTGACAATCTGTCATAATCTTTTTGAAGTGTCAGATGATTTTAAAACTTATATTTTTCGTCTCGCCACTTTTCATCGTCTCGGTTTTCGCTAATTTTTAAAACAATATTTCATAGAAAATCAAAACAAAAAAAAATGCGTTTATTATTTACAATAATATTAGGTGAGTAAAAGCATACCATACATAATAATTAAATAGTGAATAAAATATTAACATTCAGACATGATGTTGCACAATGTGCTCATGGCAGATCATAGAATGATTAATAAATCAGACTTCAAAGGTAATTTCTACCGTAGGAAAGGATATGATACGTCAAGAACTTATTTAATCGAGCCAGGTTGGATCTCATTAAGATTTTATTTGAAAATTTTTGCCAATTTAGATGGAATTTGTTCGTATGATAACCAATGTGCTGGCTATCCTCTGTCCATCTGTGACGGCGTTTGCAAATGTGTCCAAGGGTCACTGAACACGGGAACGACTTGTATTTCATCATCAACAGGTTTGGTCATATTATTTTTAGTTCAATTTACATTTTATTTTTGTTCAGCTCTCCAGTCTTCTATTTCGTGTCCGGCTGGACAAACATATATTCGCGAAGCAGGAGTATGCATGACAGGTACAAAAAATTGAAATTTTTTTAAATCTTATATATTTTAGCACAACATCCCGGAGAACCTTGTCAATATTCTCAGCAATGCTCAGCCTTAGAACCCGGAGCATATTGCTTGAAAATGAGGTAAGCTTAATTCAATAAAATGAATCTCATTAAGGGATCGAAACTCATTTAGCAGAATGTAATTATTTGTTTGTCTCTATACTTCAAATTATAACATATTTTATCATTTAGAACAATTTGTAAATCAAATTATTTATATATTTTACTAGATGCGAATGCGTGTATGGAATGAAAAAAAGCAGCAATGGTTGTACGTTTGTCAACAATGATTGCAAGGAACGAGGCCATATATTCATTAGTGAAACTGGGGAATGCAAAAAAGGTGCATAATCCTCATGCTGATTTCTTTCATTTTACTCGTTTCAGTAATTCCTCCCGGTGGCAAAGGATGCTCTCACAATCTCCAATGTTCTGGTGCTTACCCGGATGCAACATGTTTCATGCAGACTTGCACTTGCCCTCCAAACCTGCCGGTTGCAGTGGACGGAACATGTGGAAGATCGTGTCCAGAAGGAAAAGTTTACTCCGGCGTTACTGGCGAATGCCTCCCTGAAGTCCAACCTGGAGATGTTTGCTTGTATTCATCGCAGTGCCAATCAGTATTTGGCGGTATGGTGTGCGATAAGAATATTTGTCGATGCCCAAATGGATTGATGTTCGATGGATCCAAGTGTTCACAAACCTGCCCACCACATAGAAGATTGATTCAAAAAGATATCTGTGTAGATGCTTGTTCGGGAGATACAATTGAGGCAAATGGAAGATGTCTCAGTATGGTTGAAATTGGACAACCTTGCACTACTAGCTCACAATGCAGACATGGAAGCTTCTGCCAGAATGGAGCATGCCTCTGTCCACCAGGATTTTTTGTCGTAGACAATCAATGTCAAGCAGGTGATTATTAAGCTATTATTCACAAACCAATTAAAAAAAATTTTAGTGGAGAGCGATCCAAACGGATCATGTGCTAACAATGAAAAATGTACAAAGGGATCGGTTTGTTATAATGGAAGATGTACCTGCCCAAGAAATCAAGAATTAGTTGGAGGAAGATGCCAGCCAACCAGAGCAGGTAGACTAGAATATCTAACCGCAATGAGCATGTTTTTATTAACAATTCAGCTGTTCGTGCTTATAACAACGCACTAACTAACATTAAACGAATACGTCTCAAGTTTGCAAGCCAACCAAGATTAAACGAAACAGATAGAACTAATAATGGTATGTTTTACTCACTTCGATTAACCTTGACAATAAACTTTTATAATATTTTCCTTCTGATATCTAAAAGAACAATGTTAAAATAATTATGAGATTTATTGTAGAAAATATTTTTTTAATGAAACATTTGAAACTGGAATGATTCCTAATTGCATCTAATCAACTAATAAATGAACGATTTATTTTAATAAATAAAATGAATTTTTGAATTTCAGTTCCAATTGGTAGTGCGTGCGTTCGTGTTGGGGTTAATTGCGATGGAGGATCCGTATGTGTTGCTGGATTCTGTGTTTGCCCACTTGGAAAAACTCCAAGAAATGGAATCTGCGTGAAACACGTTATTGGTATGATAAGCATTGTTAGTAATATAAAAATTGGCTCTTTCCAGCTTTACCCGGGGCTAGCTGCGAACAAGGAGAAGAATGCAGTGAAAATAGTTATTGCAATGAACAAACTTCGATATGTGAATGTGCAAGCTCATCTCAAATGGTAATAAAAAATGTTTTTAAAACGAGAACACAAATAAATTCAGGTTGTGGGAAATCGGTGTGTAGAACGTCTCAGATCTCACCCAGGATATGGATGCAGCATGGGAGAAATGTGTGTTGGAAATTCAATTTGTATCAATGAAAAATGTCAATGTCCACAAGGAAAAGTTGAAGTAAACAAAATTTGTGTGGATTTGCTTAAAGGTAGGCTTCAAATTTAATAACGCAACTCATTAATTGTTTAAGTGAACGTGGGAGATAACTGCGGAAAAGGAATGGCTTGCGGAGGAGGAAGTTACTGTAATCAGGAAACATCAACGTGTACTTGCCCTAAAGGACAAAAAGAAATTAAAGGAGTACGCTTGAGTATTACGTAAATTACAAAAATTGAGTTTTGTTTTAGGAATGCAAGCAGGTTCAATTAGTTTACCCCGGAGAAAGATGTCACGAAGTCACCAATCGGTGTGCTGGAGGGTCTTATTGTGTGAGAGGGCGTTGCGAATGTCCATACAATATGCATATAGTGGATAGAAAATGCGCTCTACAACCGCAAGGTTTGAAAAATAGTTAATATCATACAATAATTATCATTATTTTTAGCTGCACCTGGAGAGCCATGCAACGAGAATATTGTTTGCACAGGATCCTCAGTATGCAGAAACGGTGTATGTTCCTGCCTGAACGATATGGTCATAAAGGAAAAAATTTGCGTTCAACGTCGAAAAGTCAGCGTTGGAAGCACTTGTGACAAATACGATATCTGCACTGGAAATTCCAAGTGCCAGGATAGTCGCTGCCAGTGCCCAGTTGGACATGTGGTTAGCAATGATGTCTGCGTCCAAAGAAAAACAGGTTAAAAAAATCAATAAAACCATTTTATATCATCATAAATAATTTAGTTACCCCTGGTTACCTCTGTAATCCAGAAGATATCTGCATCGGGCAGTCAGTTTGCATTCGAGGAGTGTGTCAATGTAAACCAGATTACAAACAAATGCATAACATTTGTGTGAAAGCCAATCAAGGCAATTTTGTGATGATGATCTTAATAACTATTTTTGAAAACGTTTAGGACATGAAGGAAGTACCTGTTCAATTAGGGAAGACTGTTCGGATAATTTGGCATGTGTCGAAGGAAAATGCTCTTGCCCTGATGGACAATTTTCAGTTGGAGGAAGATGTCGCAGCTATAGTAACCTATAAATCACTCAGCCACATAAAACTTTTATCATTTAGTTGCTCTTGGAAATACATGTGGGACTGAAGACCGCTGTGCCGGAGATAATGTTTATTGCTTCGATGATCGCTGCACGTGCAAGCATGGATATGCGATTTCCAACAACGAATGCATCAAGTCCATTGTAGTACCAAATGAGCCCGAAACTCCTTCACAAGTGAGATGTAAGTTAATAGACCTTAGTTATTTGTCATTATAAGTTCCTTATTATATAGCTGGTCTAATTGGTCATTTCTGTTCAACTGACGATGAGTGTAAAGTTGCCCATTCCGCATGCCTTCGTTCTGTGTGTATGTGTAAAATGGGTTATCGCATCTTTGGTTCAACTCAATGCATACCAAGACTCAAGAAAGAAGAATTGAAGAGTATTGAAATCAAGAGACCAACAATGGTTAATATTGGCGACAAATGTGATCAAACATCCATTTGCCAAAAAGGCGCAATTTGTGCTAAAGGAATATGTGAATGTCCTGAGGGATTTGCTGAAGCTAACGGAGCATGCACAGCAATTAATCCAAAAATTCGAGGTATTTTTGAACGCTCTTTTGTTATTTTATGTTTTTTTTCTGTAATAGTAATTGTACCACCTCTTTCGTCATGTGCTCGTGGTGAAATATGTTCCGGCAACAGTGAATGTGTTCATGGTATGTGCTTCTGCCAAGAGGAATTCACATTGTACCATGGGAAGTGTCAACCCTTGAAAAAAGGTTAACATTTTTTGGTTTTTCTTTTTTAATATGTATTGTGTTTAGTTGAAAAAATGAGAATCATTGAGTCCAAGGGTCGAGTGAGTCAGACGACTACATCTGCCCCTATAACCACTGCTACCACGACGCCTACAACGTCTACCACCACTACAACGACTACTACAACAACTACCGAGGCGCTTGTTCAGAAGTTTATTGAAACCACTTCGACGCCTTCTATCACTCCAATAAAGATTTTAATGAAATTAACAACGCCACCAACGAGTACGACTACCCCAGTAACTCCATTTTGGTTCAAAAGTGTGGCATTTTTGAAAAAAAAGTGTTTTTATTTGTTGTTTCAGTTGTCAAACCTGGGCACCCTTGTGATTCCTCGTCATATTGCACAAATTGTTCTGTTTGTATTAGTGGTTTTTGTGTTTGTCCTGAAGGCTTGGAGATTCATGGTGAAAGATGTGTCAGTCATATTGACGGTAGAATTTAGTATATGTCAATTATTGTAATAATCATGGTTTCAGCGCAAAAGTGCGTCGCATCTAATCAATGCCCTTCTGGTGCAAATTGTGTTCGTGGTGAATGCCTATGCAAACCAGGATTGGGACTTTCCAGACTCGGCTTCTGCATTCCAATTAATTATGGTGAGCTGCTTTATATTTGCACATGCTTTGTTCTGAGCCTAGCCGGCACTGATGAAATCAAAAATGAAATCGTCCCCTCGTAGTCTTCTCGCCTCTTCTTCTAACGAGTGGAAATATATGTATTATTTTTTTTGGTTTTGTGTGCCTGCTTTTCATGTAATATACGTCCAATAATGTGCCTATTGGCGCCCGCGTGGCCTAATGGAAAAGGCATCGGACTCCGAAACCGGGAATGCGGGTTCGAGTCCCGCCGTGGGTTATATATTTTACCACATTTTTTAAAACATAATAATACATGGATATATTACAGCGGATCCCGGAACTTCTTGTTCACATGGAGAAAAATGTCGAGGAGATTCACATTGCGTTGATGGCTTCTGCGTATGCCAAGATCCATTGATTCTAAGGGAAAATAGATGCGTTCCAACATCTCGAGGTGAATGATTGTTTAATTAAAACATATCTAATGTGATATGCCTTGCAAACTAACAGCATGCCTAACTATGCTAACCTTTAAGAAAAACGTTACATTAGTGACACATTTCACAAAATGGTGAAATTCACACCAAGAAAAAAGGCGAAGCTTGGGGAATTTTGCTCGAAAAATGAGCAGTGTGCAAAGCAGACGATATGCGACAATGGTCTTTGCACATGCTCCAAAAACTTACTTCAATCTGGGTTTGAATGCGTTCCAAAGTTATCAGGTATTTTTGAGTTTCATCACATAATAATGGAAATTATATTATGTTTAGTTATAACTGTCATTGTGGGTCCAGGAGATTCATGCCGTGGAGCATTTTGCACAGGAGGATCAGTTTGTACAAATCTCATATGTAGATGTCCTGATGGTTATTACAAGTTGAATGAGAAATGCGCGAAGAAAGAAGGTTTAACCTAAAAGTATTTATGTCTAAACAAATTTTTTAGCGAGAATTGGGGCCCCTTGCAGTTTAACAACGCGCTGCTCCGGAGGATCAGAATGCGTTTCTTCTTATTGCCAATGCCCAGATAAATATAACGCAGATTTGGACGAATGCTATCCAAACGATCAACCGAAAAAATCTGTTAAAAGTTTCCCTACCAAAAAAAGTCAAAGTGGGCAAGTTATTAGTGGTAAGATAATAGAACGAAACGATCAATATATTTTAGTTATAACAATATGTTTTAGCTTCTGCCGTCAACTGCCCAATTGGTTATGAATTGGTGAATGGGATGTGTGTTAATAATGAAAACTTGTCAATTATTCAATTAGGTAACTTACAATCATAATTAAAAAACTGTTAAAAGTTATCGATTTTAGCGGAACCCGGTGATTCTTGCGAAGACGGTAGAATATTGTGCACTGGTAACTCTGTGTGTGCAAATAATATTTGCATATGCCCCGGAGGCGAAGTTATACGGTTGGAATATTCAAAGAAATGGTTAAATTTATTTTTATCATTGCAGAAATAATACGTGTATAACTGTCAACTCATACTCTGCTCCTGGCGAAGTTTGTGACGTGGAAGATACTATTTGTACAGGAAACTCTATCTGCCTTGATGGAATCTGCAAGTGTCCTAGCAATCAGGTATAAATAAATTACCAATTCTTAAAAGTTTTGACATTTACAATTTAGGGTGCTTTAAATGGAAAATGCACAAACATGGGAGTAATGATTTGTATTCCCAGTCAGTGCGGGGTCAATCAGATATGCATCAACAATCAATGTAATTGCAAAGAGGGATTTTATTCCCCAAATGGCGATTGCCCTGGCTCAAATTGCAATTGTGTGGCAAGGATTTCAACGAATCCCACATGTATTGGCAACGGATGCAAATTATCTGCAATTCCCTCACCATGTCAGCAATAATTCCTTAATTAGCGCAAGCATTTTGTTAGTTACAGTTTTTGGAATGCCTGGTCAGATGTGTGACATGAGACCTGGCGCAATTCCATGCCGAAATCAAGCTGTTTGCGTCAACAATTTCTGCGCGTGCCCTTCAAATCGCGTGATCAGTGGAAACAATTGCGTTCAGTATATGGGAGACGCGCTACCGGGTCAATCATGTAGTGCCGAAGGAATTATATGCCGAGGTACTTATTTTCACAAATAATTGTGAAAAATGTATAATCGTCCGTTGCAGGAGGTTCAACGTGCTATCAAAATATTTGCCAGTGTGATCCTGGGCTGATTCCGATACAAGAGAAATGCACAATTCAAATTCGCATTACTATAAATCCTCGATTTTTTGTTACAACTCAACCAAGTATTTTTGATTGTAAGTTGTTATGGATCAGTTCAGCATTCACAATTTGTCAAGTTTGAGTCTAAGAATGACTATTTTGACAATTTTTCCTGACACTGAATTGAACCATTATTTATATAGCTAACTTTTAATTGCTAAATTTCAGTATTACCTGGTCAACCATGCGATCCGAGCTGCTCGTTTCAGCCTTGTCTGCAAAGATGTAGCGGTGGGTCATCTTGTATCGCTTCTATTTGCACTTGTCCAACTGGAAGCTATGTTTTCAACAATTTGTGTACTCCAGTGGTAGATAATGTAAAAATTTAAAACTTAATTTACGATATTCACATTTATTTTTCAGAATAACTATACTAGAACGGCAAGACCGGGAGACTTCTGCGACAATCAAATAGTTTGTATTGGGGGTTCATCATGCATAATTGGAACATGCGCTTGTGATTCCGGTTACACTCCGAGGTACTCATTCTTAGGACTCCATTACCTAATAATTTATGATGTAGTGCCGATCGGACTTCGTGCGTTCTCATTGATCGTTATGGTGTTCGCTCAAGAAGCTATCCAACTTCATATTGCACTTTTGATACGGATTGTAGTAACGGCAGCATATGTGTTGACAAACGATGCACATGTCGGGTTGGAGATGAAATGGTTAATGGGAAATGTCAAACAGCGGTAGACATTGATGCGATTAAATTCAAAGTGTCGTTTATTTTCAGAATCAACCGGGCTCCCGCTGTCATACAAGCTATTGTAGTAACGAGGCAGAATGTTACAATGGTTATTGTGTGTGTGCAAAAACTCATTTCTCCAATGCGACTCTGCACTGCGTTCCAAACCACGAAACAATGAATAAGCTTATATACCCTGGATCGAAGTGCGACAAATCTCAGATATGTCTGAACAATTCAAAATGCCTCTTAGGATTCTGTGTTTTTCCATCTGACACAAGCGATCAAAGTCTTGGGTTGCTTGATCCGAGTTCAAGAAGTAAAAAATGAATTATTATTTAATAGCTAAAGATATTCAAATTCAGGCAAATGCACAAGTTATAGAGACTGCAAATCGCCTCAAATATGTTCCAAAGATGGATTTTGTGAATGCCCATTTAGCACTAATCTTATTAACGGCGAATGTGTAACACGTTAACATGTTTTGAAATGTTTTCTAATATTTGTATATTTTTGCATGGAATTTAAAATAAACACATTTTTTAACCTTTCAAACCGTTTAGATGCTCATAATCAAAAGTCGACAGTCCCGGTTTCTCCAGGATTTTTGAAAAAATGTCCAACTGATGGATCTTGCCGACTTCCAAACTGTTATTGCACACCGTAATATTAATTTTGCAAATTTCAATGTATTGTAATATGTTCAGGCCGGATAATTCGACACCCCAAAATATTCCGGTTAAGCAGATTCCTCAAATGGTTATGCTCACTTTTGATGACCCGATAACGGATAGAATTATAAACACATTGAAATCTATATTTAATGGAAAAGTAGAATATTAGTAGCACTATATAAAATGAAATTTTTCCCTTTTTCAGATCCGAAATCCTAATGGATGTGCAATCAAAGGAACGTTCTTCATATCTCATCAATGGAATAACTATGACCAATGCCAATGGCTTTATAGTAAAGGAAATGAGCTAGCAGTGAACTCCATAACGTATGAAACAGAACATTTCTTCAATCTAATGACTAAACTTAGGAGAGAGGATTTGTCAAATAGAACAAAGGAGCGTTGGATGAGGGAGCAGAAGGGGATGCGAGATACATTGACTGAATTTAGTTATGCTGAAAAGTCACATATTATTGGAGCTCGAGCACCCAACTTCAAGATTGGGGGAGACATACAGATGAGCATGCTCTCAGAGAATGGATTTGCATATGATAACTCAATGATAGTTAATGGGCAGTATTGGCCGCAAACGTTGGATTATAAACCATCTTGGGAATGCGAACCGCCACAAAAGTGTCCGCAAAAGATTCATAGAGGCATTTGGCAAATCCCAATTCAAACCGTCCAAGGCAATGATGGATACTGGTATAGCACCATGGATAGAGCAATAAAGGTATGTTTCTTAAATACAATGATTATCATGTTAAAAAAATTGCATTTCAGCCAAGCGACTCCCGCCTTTCGGTGAAGCAAATGTTAATGAGAAACTTTCTCACCAATTACAAATCGAACCGCGCCCCATTTGTGCTTACTTTAAGCACTGATTTCTTAACTTATCTTCCGGATAATGGCGCGATTTACGCTCTACAAGACTTCCTCTCTGAGGTTTATCATTGAAAAAAATTTGATATATAGATGTTTTGTAGATTGTTCAACGTCAAGATGTTTATGTGGTCACGGGATCTCAGATCATTGACTGGATGCAAAAGCCAACAGAGATTGCTAACCTTCGAAACATTAAATCGTGGCAATGTAGTTTCTTTATGAACGACCATATACAGCCATGCGAGGTAAAATATATATATTAGTTATATTATATAATTTTTCATTCAGAGCCCATCTGTTTGCTCGTACAGTGGACGTTCCGGAAACCATGTTGCTCACAGTTTCAGAATTTGCGGCAGCTGTCCAAAAAAATACCCATGGATTTAATATTAGACAACTTCTAAGCTAGACTACTTAATTTTGTTGATCTCTACTGTAAAATGTCTCCTATTTTCTTATAAATATACACTGGTTGTTTGTGCAAACGATTGCAATTCGGTCTGAAGTAATGCGAAGTGGCAAAAAACAGTTGAAGCGCAGCACTTATAAGATACTATTGAATCAGGTTGAGTAGTGAAGAGCTGTCGCTACGGCCGCCGCAAAAAGATATAGCGACAGAGAAAAAAACGATGAAAATCTAAGGTCAATATTCCCACAGTCAAATACTTCATTCAATACAAATAAATCGGCGTGTTCAACAAGAAGATTCTTATCTGCTGCGATATTCCATTGTGCCATTATACCGCCAGAAGGCTTTGTCCGCATTGAAAATACCGAAACGTTGAAGAAGTTTCGGTTAGCCGCACGAGAGCCGTGCACCTCTCTGATATGATCAACTGCACAAATTCGTTCTTAATTATTCCATTACTCTTATTATTATTTCTTTTATTACATGTGGATGGTAAATCTGGTAAGTCATTTTCCATTGCGAGCTCGAGTCCGAAATTTTGCGCGTCTTGCAGATTTGAGATTTATTACATTATTCTCCAACAGTCGTTTCAATTTAATCGTAGCATGCATTTTTATGACATTTGATAACTGAATCAATTCAAACTATACCATTTTTTATTATAATAAGTTTTAAATTAATACTTCAAAAATGCTGCAAATGTTCTATTGTACCGATCGAGTCAGACGTTTCCAAAATTCCAAAATTTCGAAATCTTTCTATTCATACTCATCTTTTAAATTAAATAAACTCCCACTCTCAGTCTACTGGAGACGCACGAGAAAAATGCAACGGTGTCTTGTTACTACTTGCAACTTTTTAAAGGCTTGGTATAGATAAACTGTATCTTTGCCTAATGCACCGTGTTGTTTGCATTGCAATCGAAGCAGAAATATTTTTTACGTTACAGAGGAGATATCTATACGATTCGCAGATGGGAATTCAACGAAAAGTGAGAGAGATCTCGCGAAATTCCTACTCGCTGATTATTACCAATACACGAGGCCCGTCAAAAATTATTCGAGTGTTTTGAATGTGACCGTACAGCCGCAGATTTATAATCTTGTTGAAGTGGTGAGTGAAATAAATGAATGATGTCATGGATTCCAAGTGGAATTTCATATTCAAAATACCACGTAAAATGTTTAAGTAATACTATTTTACGGAAAAAAATCAGAACAAATATTTTCAGAATGAGCAAAATGAGCAAATCAAGATTTTGCTCTGGTTCCCTCAGGTATACATGCCTTTTTTTCTTAAACAATATAGTATTTTATATTCAGAGCTGGCAAGACGATTATTTGAGATGGAACCCAAAAGAATGGAGTGGTATTGAAAAGATTATAATTCCGAAGTCGCAAATTTGGATTCCGGATGGGTATATATTCAACACGTATGTTATATTACAATTTTTATCAATATCAAAATGAACAGATATTAGAGAAAATTATATAAACGTGATTTGTCAAGAACAAATAATTTTTCAGGTTGTTTATTGTCTCATAAAATTTCGTCCTCTTTCTTTCCATAAAAATTTGGAAATTGTCTTTAATGTAGTATCTTGGAACGAAAATACAAATATGTATTTTTTTAATCATTCCAAAAACATTATACAGTGTTAAAACATTCTTGTGGCAAATCTATTTTCACTATAAAATTTTTCATAACAATTTTCTAAAATTGCAAATTTTAGAGTTGAAGAACAAGAGCCTCTAGAAAATCACAACGCACGAGTACGATTTGATGGAAGAGTAGAAGTAGATTTCAATAAAGTAATGTTGAATCGCCTTCAACTTCAATTTTGCATTACTTTGCCATTTCCAGCTAGTGGACTTAACGTGTCCAATGTCAGTTCTTTCATTCCCATTCGACGTTCAATTATGCGCCCTGCAATTTGGTTCCTGGTCATATCAGGCTCACGCGATTAGCTTTAACGTGCTCGACACTTTTGTTCCAAAGAATAGTGTAAGCTTGAATGTATTCATCTCGTGTTATCTTGTATGCTTTTAGAAGAACTCAGAATGGGATATTGTGTCGTTTAACGCGACAAAAATTGTTACGAAATATGAGGACACGCTAGGCGGTTATAATGTTTACGAGGAAATTTTCTATTACTTGGTAGAATGCCTTGTTTTCACTTAATTTATTTTAACGTTCAGGAACTTCGAAGGAAGCCATTGTACTATATTGTTGTTATTTTGTTACCTTCATTTTTAATCGTGACAATCTCAAATATCGGATTATTCACGCCTCACGGGGTTCATGGAGATCGAGAAGAACATGTGAGTTTCACGTTGTCTCTTTGATTTCATTAATATATGTCTCAAGTTTTATTATGAAATAATTTTTTTTACATTTTTCACATTTCATAGGATCACTTTATTTTCTTTCAAAATAAATAAGATGAAAAATTGAATATAAAGAATAGAAAAGAATGAAAAGGTGGGTTGGTAAAACTTGATTTCAATGCTTATAAATGAAAATTGAATAATGCCATTTACACACAGATCATCAGCGGGTTAAGCGAAAATGTCGTAAAAATTTTGCTCGTGCCAAAAAAAAACAGTTGAAAATATAGAATTGATTTTACTTTTCAATTTGATCCACTTTGAGGTATCATTGGGTCTTACAACAATGCTCACCATGGCAGTCATTTTGGATATGGTTACAGGCCAAATGCCTCGGAGTAGCGAAGGAATTCCTCTGCTTGGTTTGTAGAAGTTCTAATATTTTAAATACCCTCATTTCCTTGTAGGAATGTACGTTTTAATCGAATTTGTGATATCGGTTATTGCGGTGCTAGTGTCCGTTGTAATCATATTTGCTCATGAAAGAATGCTCTACCTTGAAGCCACGCCACCTTATTGGGTTCAAAGGCTCTTCTCTAACGATAAAATCTGTGTAGAAGAAATTGAAGAGGATTTCTGCTCAAAGCCATCTGACATGATCCAAGAGCTGAGGTTCTGCATGGATGAGATCAGAAAGTATATCGATGATCAAGAGTCTTCCGAAAGAGTGCGAATCATCTGGCAAAGATTTTTCTCATGGGCAGACATATTGTTCAGCATATTTTTCTTTGTTGTTAATTGTTTGGTGACCTTTTACATGTTCATGGAATTTATGTTCTAATTTGCTTATTTGGATATTTTGAAAATGAAACTTGTTTATTTATTTACTTTGTTACACGATGAAGATTTATGATATAATACTCTGCCTTATTGTTGTCCAGGTTTTTGATCATAACCGCCAACAAATCGTCACTGATGTCATCGTGAACTGTAAAAACACAATAAAAACTGAAAATTTTCTAGAAATATTACTGTAATAGTTAAATGATGCCTCATTATTTACCACTTTTCTATTGTTCTGATTTTCCTTGGGGTCTGTCGATGTAATAGATTTCATGAAAACTCTTAAAAATTTACATAATTTCAAGAAAAGACAAAACATTTGGATACTCCATTTTTGCGTTTCCACCAACTTTGAACACAATATACCCTTCTTGACCAGCTTTCACGTCAATATTGAATTTTTGATCTATAATGATGATGAGTTGGAGCAATTTCGTTATGTTGCTTCTTACTCTGTGGAACCTTATATGTTTTTGTGGCATTGGCATAGTTAGTGCTGTTAATTAAAACGTGTTGAAAGTCAATGCCAGCTTAAAAATATATTATATATTAATTTTTCTTGAGAGAACATACTATTTTTCCGAGAAACTCTGAGAATATCATTTTCAGTTGTCAAGTAATTGAAATAAACGTTTGGTGGGATATCGCTAATCTTGATATTCTCATTTGTCGTGTATTCCTTCGGATCACAAGTCATCTTAGTCATCTTTCTCTTGATTTCTAAATATTTTCATTCAAATTGCTTGTTAAATATAGAACGTCATCCCACTTGTTACTATGAGAACGTAGCGAATTGTGTTCTCTTCACCGGCTACTGTAACTTCCAGTTCGTGTTTTGTGATTTTCTTATTTTCTGTTGTTCACCGATAATTATTCTCATTTAAAAAATTTCATACTTGTAATGGTTCTCGTGATGACAGTTCCCCGGTCAACTTCGTATTTTCCATTGAAAACGCTATCTGTCTCGGTAATTGAGCGGAAGGTGACACTAAAGAATGTAGATGTCGCAAATTGTATTTGGATTTCGGAAGATTTACGTGGAATTCCTTGAGAAGAAAAAGTGCAGTTTTCCATTTTCGGTAAAATGGATCTTATCTAAAAGAAAGGACAGTCATAAATTAATCTAATATCTATTGGAACTCACCGGTTGGCTTGTAGATATCTGGCGGGCAGTTGTCATTAATCACAGCTATCAGTTTTTGGGCGGAAATTGATGAGACAAAAATGCCCAGCAATAAAAATCCATTCATCATAGGTGTGAAACTATTGACAGGAATTTCTTTATGCTTATATACATTTATTTATTGTACCGATGATGCTAATCGAATTAATTAAATTATAAGAAAAAATTGTTTTTTTTATTAATTCGGAACATCGATTGCAATTAAAAATATAAAAAAAATACGGCAACAATTTCTGAAAAATTGAGGGTGATATGATTTTATTTTTAAATTATGATGAAGTAATTTTCCATCATTATTAGGACATCTAGTAGTTTTTATTCAAAGAGGATCCACTAAAAATTATTTTTTATTAGAACTGCTCAAAATTCGTTATTTGAATACCGAAGTAACAATTTTTCATATACGTTGGCTTGAGTTTTATTTCTAAAACAGGATTTCTTGTTTCAATTAAGAATTGGCTAGCCATAATACTACAAATTATTTCTACATTTTCGACTTTTTTAAAAAATTATGACGTTGCTAATTGAATTAATTGTTATCGTTGAAAAAACTCCAATTAAAATAACGGAAAGACCTATATTAAAGCAATATTTTTTCAAAGCCCTGCCTGATTCCACAATGAAAATTGTGTTATTAATTTCTCTGATTGGCGTTGTAATCGGTAAATTGCACTACATTCAAGTTGCTAATTGTCCATCATCATTTTATGAAGCCGATAGTAAGTGTAAGATTTTCAGATTTGGAGTAACCAAAACTTTCCAGAGCCAATTGTGTTGCATCCTTCCAAAGAAAATTTACTCAATTTCTTCATAACATACAATGATTGTGGAAAGTAGGAAAACCACAATTTCAAATAATTTCTAACGTTTTGAATATCAGGATTGATATCGGTGGTTCAAACAACGTAATTATGGTAAAGGATTCGTTAAAATATCACGTGAAAGAAAATGGAGGCTTGATACTCAGCGCAAAGTTTAAAGGTGCATTAATCTCATATAACTAGAAACTCGAACTATATCAGTTAAAAATCACATGCACGACGGAAATATTGCTCTGAATCTTGAAGACTGTAATACGCGCACTTCATCTAGTAATGTCAGTTTTGTCGTTAAACGAGTTCCAGGTATACATTAGTGCAATATTGTTAACATTAATTTTTTTTAGAAAATCGAACAACCTTTTTAAAACCTTCACACTCCATTAAAACTGTAAAGAAAGGAAGCCTTGTTGATATGACATGTCCAACTAGACATCGAAAGGCAACGTGCTTTAATGGGGGTCAAATTGTAATGCTCATGTTTGAAATATTTTTAATATTATTATGATATCACTACGTTTAGGTGAGCAATTCTAAAGCGTACCAATGGTATACTCACATATATCCAGTTGAAAGCGGTGTGTTTCCACTTTTGAAAAACACCAAGTATACCCTTAAGATGGACAGTGTTTACGAAAAAATCTCGTAATATCATATGCCGTTTGATATTATGAATAAGATTTCATTTAGCATCGTTGCGACGCCTGAGTCAAGAACGTTGATCGAAGACTTCCCAACAAGCACATTCACAGACTCTCTGACTTTCGAAACGGCTGGATTTCAACACGGCAAGCTTCGAGTTTTGCAAATTAGAGACGACGTTGCCAACAAAATAGTAAAAGAAATCAAAGTCAAATATTAAATTAAATTAATAAACAATCCATAACCAAACTTAAAACAATGTTCGATTATCGCAGAAATTAAGCTTTTATTTTTCTAACCAACGATAACATCTTTCTCTGGTCGTTTAATTATCGATTCTGTTTTAATGTAGAAACAGAGAAAATTTCACACTTGGTGGCGACATCTGTCGGAAACAAAGTAGTAATGAAATATATTAAAATCGCCCCTCATCTGAAATGCGATTATTAATAATTTGTGTTTTCCTTTTGTTTTCGTTATTGTGAACTAAGTTCAACATTTGTTTAAAGCGAATGTTCCGATAGAATGATTGCGGCGGGTATTGCCCAGTTATCCGCCTGCACATTGCGACTCGACGGTCTACGTTCATCTTTCAATCGAATACAGCTTTTTTTTATCCGTCACTGACGCATTTTTCTGCTCTCCTGCCCTCTAGCATTCACAAAATATTTGACCCGCTTCTCTTGACGGCTGTTGTATGATGGGCATATCGGAAACGGACGAGATTTCAAGAAAAAATAATCTTGCTAATTGATTTACATCACTTTGGCTTCAAATTCTTTTCTCTTTTGATATTTTGCTATTATTTACAAAAATGCGTCTAACCACTTAAAAAAAGAAATACATTTCTTTTTCGGATTTCAGTTCTGTGCTGTACATGTTTCCCATTATGAGTTATTAGTGCCAAAACATTTCAATACGAGCGAAAAGCTCACGTATGAAACATTTTCAAAACACTTTTTTGTCTAATTTCAGTTAATTTTTCCGCGGACATCCTTATTTTCAATTTGTTCGTTTAATAGAAATGCCGATGAAATATCACTTTTCATTAGTTTCTGACGAAAATGCGGCAATTTTATCGCTGTTGCACAAAACTATCTAGTTTAGATCTAAGAAATTTATTGATTTCTTTTGACGAATTTTGGCAAAAAGACGGCAGGACTTTTATGAAATTGATTAACGAAGTATATTTTTTATATAAATAAATTTCATTAAATCTTTTTATATGTAAAAATATCTTTTATTTGAGTGAGACACTTAAAATTCAAATTATTCGTTGTGCCTCGATTTTTTTTATTTGAACATATTAAACGGAGTTCCTAAATTTTTTTTGGATTGTACTAAAACTTGATTGCCCAACGAGTACGACACTCCAATCATACATTTCCCGAAATTTAGCGTGTCGAGCGTGCGTAGCATTTGTATCGACTAATTGATTTTCTCCTCGCTTGTCGCAAATTTGCCCGCTATTTTTCCAAAACCAATGCTGTCCCCTCATCGTTCCGGTTAAATCGCTGAGTTCAATTTGGTTTAAACATGGAGGTTCCACGGCAGTCCCCCGAAACATTTTGTGGATTGTAACAAAACATGTTTACCCTGTTAGTACGACACTCCATTTCCACGTCGCCCCTTGACTTAGCGTGTCGGGCGTGTGCGACATTTGCATCAACTAATTGATTTTTTCCTTGTTTGTCGCAAACATTTCCGTCATTTTTCAAAACCAATGCTTTCCCCTGATTGTTCCGATCGAATTGCTGAGTTCGTTTAGGTTTACAATGCAAGTTTCAACAATTATTCCAATATTCAAATACTCAGCGAATCGAAAAGGGTCGGTTTTGGTTTAAACATTTTAGTTCCATGGCTGTTCCCAAAAACTTTTGTGGATTGTACCAAAATTTGTTTTCCCTACCAGTACAACACTCAATTCATACATCGCCCTCAATTCCATAGAATCACTGGGTAGTTTTTTCTTTGAAATCTTGTGCCTTTTGGCAAAGGAATTTGATTCAACTAAAATTTTGAAATATTAAAAAAAAAAAGTTATTTCGATTAAAATATAATTCAAAGTCATGAGCCAGTCATTTCAACGTTTTCAATGTCTTTTATAAATTACAATATGAAAACACGTTGTTTACAATTTGTCAATTTCATCTTATTTTTGCATAAAGCAAATATTTTCATTTGAGATTGGAAAATTGGCACTCGCTCAGCATTGATGCATAAAGATTCCAATTAGCTTTTTCAACAGAATAATTCCACTCTTGTTTTTTAATTTAAAAAAAAATGTTTTCATCATTTTTCAATAGTGAGGATAAACCCCCCTCCCCCAGGGATGCCTTCAGCCTACACGGAATTCTTCTCGCGACCGAATAATTGAAAAATAATCGATTTTTCTATAATTTGGCAACGTCTACTAGTGCGGTGACGCAATACGTTCAACTAACGATGTGTGGAAAATTATTTATTATTTGTTTTTATTCTTTATTTTAGGGCTCTTTTATATTTTTACTCAAACAATACTTTTTTGGTTTATCCGGCAACATTTCGTATTATAGTTTATCAATTTTTTTTCCATAAAGTAGTTAAAACAATTTGAGTATTTTTTCCATATAGTAGTTAAAACAATTTAAGTATTCACATTTGCCTATTGTGCAGACATGTGTTTGAATGTAGTAATGACACCACTCGCGCACTGTAGCTCAATTTAAATGTTTTCATGAAAGCGTCCATAAAATTTAATTTTCAGATATCTGTTAGATTGTCATCAAAGATCGACGAATCTCAAAAACTTGGTTGAAGTGTGACTAAGGAAGGTGAATTTCCTACTTTTAGTGCTACGACTTGATTTGGAGATAAAATCTAGGCTTAGAATATGAAGGTTAGTTTTTTTTTTATTTATACTTTATGAGATGTAATTCATTTTCTAGTCTTTCTAATTTTGCAAGTCAAGATTTCAGTACTTTCTAATTTAATTTCACTCGTTCTCTTAAAAATATCAAAAAATCAATTCATTTTCGGACATTCTTCTTGTTGCTACATAAATTTTCTGTTTATGTTCTCTTTTGGTGAAATAAAATTTACCAAATGAGATAATTATCACAAGAAGAAATTTATCAGTGAGCCATTTGTATTGATAATGTATTGCCGAATGCTTTTCACGTTTTTTGTACAGCACTTTTTTTGGAGTGAACCTTGCCCTCATCATGTTCTGTAAGATAATGTGACAGAGAGAAAAAGAATTAGCTAAATTGATTGACGATGTATTGGTTTAACAAGACCCATTCATCACTGTACTAGCCAAGGAGAAATTCTAGTGAGACAGACAGAATCCTGGTCCCTTGCCGCTTTTAAAGGTTGAAAAATATTGGATAGAAACATTATTTTGCTAAGCGTATACATATGCACAATGTCGTACAATAAAAAAATTGTTCCTTAAATAATCGACGTACTTGATGTATTGCCATATTTTTACATTTATAACCCCATATTTTCTAGTTGTTTCATCATGATGTTCAGCTCAACCTAACTGGCTGAGTGCGCTAATTTCTGTGACCGGGCAACTTTCTCCGCTTGCCATTTTTTTTTTCTGCGGCGATGATATCTGTTTCTCTTCGCACAGCTTTGGTTATTTCACTTTTTTTAAAGCAAACTCGTTTCTTATCACTGTCAGTTGATACATGTAGGAACAGTTCTTCAGCAATAAACATGTCGCACAAAAGTTTATGCCAATATTATATTGTTATTATTATATTCTTACCAGAATTGTACCAATGATTAATCCAATTAATTACGATGACTTGAAATCGGGTTCTTGAAAAATATCCGCGATTATTCTTCGACGTGCCCTCGCCATTTTTTCCAATTAATAGAAAACAAATCCGTCAAATGATGGCATATTTTTGCGGACATTAATTGAAAATAAAATAATCCCTCATAACCTTTGTCTTTTTTCCAATTCTGTAGATCTACACTGATTTTGTGAAATTGGATTTCCCGCCACTTATTAGTGGTTTGACCCTGATATTATATATATCGTTGACACTTCATTTACATATATGTAGTATGTACGTCGGAGTGCGTTCTGTGTGACGCAGATTTTAACAAAAAATAAGACCTAATTCTCTGTTCATTCTTGACAATCCCTGTTTATCAAACGAGCTACAATGATAAGATCAACGATATCATCAGTACTGAGCTCATATCCATAAGTTTCAATTACAAATCAGCCCCACTCGGTTAATCTCTTCACTTCCATTGGATAATCTATATACGGCAATATGTGAATAGAGCCGACAACTTTTCCTGCGTATCATATAATATCTACAAACTTGCATTGGATTTAATCTCGTGTTAGAGGATGATATCTCGTCCTTTTTGAGTAGGTGGAATCATCATCTAGATGAGAGCAGAGAAACCTTATGTTTATATTTTTTCAGTTAATTGTGCATTCGCTAACATTTAGTTTAATTTTTTTTAAGAAAATTAAATTGTCTTAAATTATTTGGAAAATATGCTTGAGACATTTTCTAATTATTTCAATTAAACATTTATCTTCCAGCTTTCGTCATTCATTCTACACGCCGACATAGCTAGGAATACTTTGAAAAGGACGCCACTCCGCTATACTCGTCAAAAACTCTTCAAGCTTGTATCGGAAATGACAAAAGAAGAAAGAATGAAATTTGAAATAACGAAAGCCATTCAAGGATACGCAAAAATTTATGTATGCGTACGATCGCCGGAAGAACTCCAAAAACCAGGAGAGGCCCTGTATTATAAAATGGTGGATATTGTGGAAGCCTATAAGCCCGGATACCGCGTCACAATGGAAATTGTATACAAGTATGTACTTCGCAGCTTCATTATGCTCGAGAAAAAGTTGTGTAATGTGCGATCCGTCACTGTAAAGAAGGTGCGTCGCATGAAGATGTTAATGAAGGTTATGCGAACGCTCAAGGGCAAACGATACGGACTTTACCGCAAAGTGTCGGTTCGTCAGAAGAGGAAACTTATGAGACTCGTACGTTTTTTTTTCCAATTATTAAACTATTATTTTTAAGAATTTATTGAATGATTCGGATTCGGATGAATCGAACGATGACACTTCTTCTGATAGTTCGTTTGAAGGCGCCCCGGATGAAGAATTAGAAAGATCAAGTTCCTCCGATAGCTCCTCAGAAAGCTCGGATAGTTCAGACGAAGACTCATCTGACGAAGAAGAATTAAGGAATGAAAATAACGCGGACAACGCAAATGAACCTGCAGATCAGGATTCAGATGACAACGAAGGAGAAGAACCGATGGAGTTAGACGATGGGAGACCATCATCGTCACTGAGTGCTGAATCTGAAGTAAGTGTGGGATTGGCAAATGATCGGAATATGGCGGACTATTTAGTGCCAAATGTCAACGGGAATTATAACGTGGGCAATGATCATATAGATAAATGCGTATTTCAAGACATTTCAGGCTATCATGGAATTTCAACGTCTATCACCAGATCGACCGGATTCTCCGAATTCACCGGAATCAATGGACGACGAGGTTTGCGAAAACAGTCTTCATTGTATTAAATTTCTCACTTGTAGCCAGACCGCGAAGTGGCCATCAATGTACCAGAGATACAGGATGATGAAGTAGAAGCCCAACCAACATTCGACGTTGTAGATCAATTGGCTCATCCGGAACAGAGTGTAGAGCAAAGATATGCCATTATTGAAAACTATGATGTGAGATAAGTGTCACAACTCCTATAATTTTGTGCAAATTACAGACTGGATCGCAGAATAATTTGCAGTTATCGTGGGAACAATTTAAACATAATTTGCATAACCATGGAAGATTAAACACACCGCTACAATCACCCCATCGACTTCCGTTTTACATAAGAAACATTGAACATCGTCGTGGTCCAAGAACTCCTCAGGGATCTCCACCATACTCTCCGAACATGAATAGCCAAATGAGATCACCAACTATCCAAGAATCACCGAGACACTATTGCTATTCGCAATATTCTTCGAACTACATAGCAAACGTGAACACGTCAACTAATCGTAACTATATATCTCCTTCAATAATCGTTTTGGAGTCACCGGAGTCTTTGGAGCCATTCTCACCAGAATCACCACAACCGATTCCTGACTCGCCAGATTCTCGACCACATTCAAGACAAAATGAAGAAGAACATAATCAAAACGGACAGTCTAGCTCATCTACTTCATATTCACCAGAATCCCCTGATCCAAATGAATGGTGGAATATTCAAAAATACCCACGAAATTATGCGAGTAGGACATCTGTTCCAGATTCATTGGCCCAGGAATCGTATTCTCCGGAATCACCCGACCCCCCAGCCTCTCCAGCTTGTCAAAAATATTCAATTGCCCCGGAGCAGTCCTCATCGTCGCAATCGCCGGAATCCGCAGAGCATTTGGATTCTCCGGAGTCTCCTGATCCCGAAGTCAATCGAGAAAACGAAGTATCTGCTAGAGTTTACCAGCAGAGTTCATACGAGCCATATCAGTTACGGCCTGATTCACGAGAAATCGAAGAAGCGAATGTAGCTGGTCGATCAAATTTATTTCAAGTGGTCGGATCATCAGAACCACAAAATGAGATGCAGGAATATTGTGTATTCAGACCAGGTGATTATTTTTCTCTTGATAATTAGAAACCTCAATTTTCAGATTCTACAAAATAATTGAGAATGCCAACATGTTGCTTATGGTTTTAGAAGGACCGCAATTCTCAGCTACTTTTTATTTCCTTCTAGAATTGAGAATTATTATTGCCTTATATGATATATTTTATGTAACAACATTGTCCATATTTTTTTCATCCGTGAATTTAGCATTACTGGTTTCTTTAGAATTTTCTGGTCTTTTTTCGCAGGTAAATTGTATAGCTCTAGTTCTTATATAGCGACTAAAAATTAATAGGCAAGGTTCTTACTATTATATTTTAGGAAACGTTTTATTTTTCAAGTTTATTTTTCTAGAAAAAAATTGATTCCTGCTTGTTGCGATGGCAATTGGCAGTTGCGATGATTTGTTTATTGAAACACTCATATGCCAACTTATTATAAGTGTTCATTTACCGGTTTAAATTTTTTTAAACAATTGACCGAATTGCATAAACTGTTTCATGATCATAAAAAACTGTTTGATGTCATTTCTGAAACTATGGGCTGAATGCCAGACAAAAAAAACATATGTATATATATGTGAATTTATTCATCAGTTTAATTTTAACAATTATGCATTTGTCTAATCAAGTTTAACGCAAACGGTTTTGGCATCCGCGTAGAAATGAAGAGAATCGTGGATCCCTTCTCTGCCCTGTCCGGATTGTTTGCAACCACCGAACGGCATATTCAAGTCTCGGACCTACATAATTTTTTAACATTTTAAAATTTGCTGTTATTACCATCCAAGTGTTGCACCAAACAGTTCCCGCTCTTAATGCATGCGCAGTGTTGAGCAAATCGCTGCTATTGGTTGACCAGACAGTCGCTGAAAGACCGTACTCCGTAGCGTTGGCTCTTGTAACCACCTCCTAAAATTATTGTTTTTTTCTTGTGAAAATGTATTAATTTCCACTTCAATGCTTCTGAAAGGTGTCAGACAGATAACAGGACCAAAGATTTCGTCAGTCATGCATTTACTGGAATCGGAAATACCGGTAATAACAGTTGGCGCAATAAAATAGCCCTAAAATTTTCAATAACAATATCATTTTCACAAGTTTCTGTTACATTTTGCAATTTTCCTGGCATTTCGACGACACCTCCACAATGAATTATTCCCCCTTCTTCCTTGGCATATTCAATGTATCGCTTGATTTTCTGGAAATGCTGTTTGGAATTAATGGCACCAATATTCACATTATCTGCAGGATCGCCAACGCTGTACTGCAAATTAAAAAATTAAAAAAAATCATCATTTTTTTTCCAACATTTTTTGCAATTTGAACGAATTTCTTAACGAAATCATCAAATATATCAGCTTGAACGAACAATCGGCTTGTGCAGAGGCAAATTTCGCCTTGATTGAAAAAGCATGATCTGAAAAATGTTTGAATATGAATAGAATACGCTTAGTATATTACTTGACTATTAATGGCAGGTCATTTGAGTTATAGTTAGAAAACACGATCGCTGGATTCTTTCCACCCATTTCAAGGGACACCTTTTTATTTAGTCTTGCTCCCTTTTCTTGAATCATCTTTCCAACCAATGTGCCTTAAATTAAGAATTTATAATTTTTTAAAATTTTTTTATAAACATACTTCCCGTGAAGCTGATCAGAGGAACATCTGGATGATCTACAAGATATTGTCCAGCAGTTGCACCTTCACCCATTACAAGATTAACAACACCTGGTGGGAATCCTAAAAAAAAAACATTTTTTTTTCTTGATGGTTTTAACTTTTGTCATACCAACTTCCTTAATGGCGTGCATGAGTGCCCATGCAGTAACACTCGTCATTTCACTAGGCTTGCAGACGATTGTATTACCAGCGGCCAGAGCTGGAGCAATTTTGAAGGACAGCTGAAAAGTTTTCTGTTATATATGTAGTAACATAATTATTGCACTAAGTAAAGTGGAAGGTTCCACGGACTAATGAGTCCCGCAACACCGATTGGATCATATTTGACATAGCTGACAGCCTTCACTGGCTCTTCCAAAATTGCCGATCTGAAAAAAGAATAATTGTTACACATGTCATTTCGAATTTTCAATAATATTTGGAATGACACGATTTTCAAGGCTACTCAAAAAAATAGCCTTTGCAATGTCAACATTTTAACTTGTGTTTTTGTACATATGGATATTGACAACTTACGGAGCGGTTTGAGTTTGGATGGCTGCTGCAAAAGCTCGAAAATTTTGAATACATCTTGGAATATCCAAAGCTCTAAAATTATGTTACATCCGTTAGAAAGGTGTATTTTAATAACTTTGCGATAGCGACCGGTTTTCCTTGATCTCGGCTCTCAAGAATGGCTAAAGCGACGATATGTTTTTCCAAGAGGTTAGCCAAATCATTCATCAGCTTGGAACGATGAGCAGCTGACGTTAATTTCCATCTGAATTTTCTTAAATCGCAAGAATATGCGGAAAATACGTTACGTTTTAAAAGCCTCCTTAGCCGCAGAGATTGCTGAGCTTACTTCTAGATCAGTGGAATTCGGAATTTTTACCCAAGGCAAACCAGTTGCCGGATTGAACGATTCCATCAATCTCGACGAGGCCACGAACTCATTGTTGATGAAATTGGTGATAGGGGTCAAACATGGCTCCTCGGAAAATGCGGTAAGATATTGAAGAATATTGTCGAATGAATTGGCGTTCATAACGAATTAAAATCGAATCGATAAACTGGCAATATATAGCGAGTACTCTTATCAAAAACGAATCGGCGAGAGAAATGGTGAACGGATGGTTCTTGTAAAACATCAAGGTCAAATATGACATTGCAGTATAGACAACTTTTATTGCAAAAACACGAATTTTGATTGATCGTGGAAAGTGCGTTGAAATTCAGACTCTCTTGAATGTTTGTGGCGCGGATTCACCAAAAATGTAGCATGTACGCTAGAATGTTCAGAATATGAAGAATGAAGTTGATGACAATGACTTACTCCTTTTGACAACACCATTCTACTTGTTGATGGACAGGAGAATGCGCTTACAAACTCTGGCATATTTACAACTATGTTACCTCGAATGTTTGAGGTAGGATGAATGCCATCACCATGACTTGGATACCGATACTAAACACTTTCAAATTATATATGTATCTTATATTAAAATATAAATTCTTTACCGCACAGAATTGATAAGAAATGAGATAGAAGAAAAGCTGCTCAGCAGTCAAATCTAATCCTTCCACTGGCTTCTGATAATTAAGGGAAGTTTAAATCTTTTTTCACGAACTGTACTTTTAAATCATCTCCTAATTTTTTACGCATAACGTCGAATGAAATTCGCTGTCCAATAAAATCTGCAATATTTTCTTCGAAATAGTTGTTTCCTGTGCCACAAGACTACAATTATCAAGGTGAATTTTAGAGATAAATATTGTGTAAGCACTTCTTTGAAAAATGCGCAGGTCCGTGATAATTGCTGCTGAACACATTGCTTTGCGTTAAAAGAGAAATAAACGCCAAGGTCGTTGTCGTATTGTAGCTCTCTCGCCAAACTGTGCCCGATTTCATGTCCGACTATCATGCCAACGGTAGCGCTCTGCAAACGTATTTTAAAATCCTAGTTTTTATTATCGTTTCTCATGTGGTTATATTTTTAAAACTATAATTTGTTCTAATAATAAATTCATACCAGAACGACTTCGTTATCGCTAATGTTGGCAAGAACGTAGAGTGGGTATCCGAATGACAGTGTTGGGTGCGAATTGTGCGCATTGAAATCAGCATTAAGGATGAGTGGAACGTTTGTAACTGCTTGAATCATCGCATCCGTGTGACAATAATAAAAGTCAAACAATGTATTTTCGCTGAAACTTGGTATTGATTGTTTAACTATTGGAATCTTTAACAAAAAAGGAAAAATATTTTGCAATTAGAATGGTTTTTTATAATTTACATCAATTTCTGTGAAACAGCAAACCTTTTATTCTTGCATTTTTCATACAACTTATTGTATAATGCCACGGCTTCTTCAGTGTCTCGAGCAATTTTATCGTAATCCCTTTCAAGATAAACCTGTTGAAGTAATGTTGCAAACCTCTCTTGCAGATCATTGTTTATCAGCCAAGGGGTTGACTAAAAATTGGTCTTGTTTCCATGGAATTAATTATTTCATTTACGGAAAAGTAATCCATAAGCTGAGCCTTGTATTCGTCGACAAATCTATGAATAACATCGGCCCCTTTTTGGTACTTGCTTTGCAATAACTTTGCAATTTTGATCTGGATGTTGTACATTCTGGTACTTGGTAATAAATAATGAGACTGAAATTGAATATATTGAAAATTCAAAACGAACTGTTGTTTCAACCAGCATCGATTCTTTAAATATGTTAGAAATAATAGTTGCTCCCTTATCACATGGTGACTTCTTCAGATTGTTGAAGATATTTGCATACGCTTCAGGAAATTTCACATAATTTATTCTACGAAGAAAATCAAGAACCTCCGCTATATAATCAATTTTGGTTGTCTCATTTAAGCACCTGAATTATAAAAAAGAATATGGTTGTGTATACGCTTTAGATTACATTTTGATATATTTTTCTGACAAATTTTTGACATAATCTACAGGATGATCTCCAGCCAGCTCCACCATTTTTTTATGGTCCTCCTGAAAAAATCGAAATTTGAATTTTCTAATTTTGCTTCAAACCTCCACAGGAGTAAGTGGGATTGAATTTACAAGATTTTTTGACAATTCTGCAAACGTTGGAATAAGCGATGCTCGATCTGTTCCCGATAAAGGACAAACATGACGAAAGAAATTGTCACACCTTTCCGAATTCCAGTCAACAGAGCTCAAATTAGTTATTAAAAATGTTGAAATAAATGCTTAGTTTTTACAAAATTAACATTTTTAGTATCGCATCTGCACTCAATATTGGAGAAACCAGGGAAATAATTAACAAAAGTTGAGAAATCATTAGGGTGAGTTGAAAAAGGTAATCGCACCCGTTTTCTTATATATTCGTTGAACGTATTGAAATGTTTTTTATAATAGGACAACAATGCAAATGGATTTCAATAGGAAAATTTCATTTCAATTTTATTTCATTTTTATAAATACAAAAAAGTTATGTCATCTCCTCTACCGATTTTTTGGACAATGGCAACCGAATATTATTTGGCAATTTCAAATAAGACTTATAAGGGCACTTTTACTTACAATTTAATTTTCAGGACGTCCGTATTTGAAAAAGAATTAATTGATTTCACCAGAAGAAAATTCATATACGTTTTTAGAAACACTGTTTTCTTTTGTAATGTTTAATATATACATAATGTTCATACGTGAATATACACATATATTGCTTTTGTAAAAGTCTTTTTTTAGAAATTAGTTTTCGTTTTATGGAGTGAATCATGGAACAAACAATTGTTTTAATAGATTGGTATAAAAGGTGTCGTTACCGAGAAAAATCATGATTGGTGAAAATGAGGCTACTTATTGTAGTTGCGCTTTTCACTTTATCTTTTCCATCAAGTAATGCCGATAAAATTCTTGACATCATTACTTCGTGAGTTTGAACGGGATGATTTGCATTATTATTAAATTCTCTTGCAGTAGATTTGATTCGAAGGTGAACAGTTGTAATAATTTTGCCGATCGCACCTGCATAAATCGGGGAATGTCCAAAATCACTCTACCACGCGTAGCACACCAAGCGACCCAGGAGGTTATCTATAAGTATAGTTTTCCTCAGTTGTCCCTACTCCAGGCCGAAGTATTAAATGCTTGAGAAACTGAAGAAAATGTATTTTTAGTACGATTATTACATGAGCCGTCCGAAATGGGGGTATTTTGGACAGACCAAGCAAAATCTAGTCAAGTTATGGATAGAAAAGTATTTGTGTTGTTCAGATTAGAAAATAATACTAACGTAATTAGATGTGTGAATGCTTCTTCAAGACCGACTTATACTGATCGATTTGCGGAACTGCTGGAACTTACAATGAATAAAAATAGAATAGAAGACCGCGAAACATTCGAAACACTTTCACTTGAGCAAAGGGTGAATACGCTGAAACTTACTTTGGATAAGGGATCTTGCGAAGAAGGTGGCGAAATTATCGACAAATTACTTATTAAAACACACCTCTATGGATATAATGATGTAAGTTTAAATAAAGCGTATAGTAAACATTCGTCGTATTATATTAATCATTAGTTTGTAATCCCACCGCGAGACGTTGAGAGATGGAATGAGCAACAACTTATTGCGAAGCATATCGAAAAGGAATTTCCAATTGTAACGGAAGTTGTGAAAAACCTGATCAATTTGATTACGTTGAAATTTGCAAATCTGATGCTGGTTAAAAATTGCTGTATTAAAAAAATATAATATCCATTTTTAGGATACACCTTGGGTCCAACATTATAATCAAACTGATATCTATTATGCCATTTCTGAAATAATGGATTCTTACCACGATATCTACAATTATAAGGATATCGAATCTATAACAAATAAAGCTATTAAGGAATTCACAAATTATTACCTTTCATGTATTACGGAAAAGTTGAAAAATATGAAGCTTCGTGGAAAAAAATCTAAATTCAGGGATACATGGAATATCTACGTTTGCTACCACATAGGACTCTTCAAATACTTGCATCCCGTCCCAGTATATTTAGGACTTGCTGATGAAGCCAGAAGTATAAACCATGGTTTGTCGCTTGGTCTCAATTTCTATTGGGTTGCAAATAATACCGAGAGTTGGCCAACCACTGTATGCTTTAAGGTTTAGGATAAATTAAAATTACTTTCAAAAGATTGGATTTGTCGGCTCCATTGTTGGATATCTGCTTGCCCAATCAATTGAAGGAGAATACTCCTACAATTCCAACGGAAAGACACACATTTTTTCCAAAGAAGAAAAAGAATGTGTAATGAATCAACTCACCTCCACGTGCACAACAGTTAATGTAAGCTATTTGCTGCAAGTTTATTCTATTAAGCATTTTTTCAGAAATGTTTGCATAGAGATGTTTTCTTTCATACTGCAATGGTAGATATGCTCGGAGTTCGCCTTGCTTATGAAGTTTTGAAAGACACTGAACCTGATCTCAAGGTGGATAAAATATTTCGTTTGCTTAATTTCAGAAAAGTGATTCAGGCAAAACATAATGGGACCGATCTAACCGTCGAACAAGTGTTTTTCCATGCATATGCTAGTCATTATTGTGAAGTATTTGTGAGAAGAAATGCTGTAATCTAAATTTTTATTGTAGCATTATTCCCACTCGGACGAAAGTGGTATACCAGATTTCTCGGCAACTGTGAATATGCTCATCAACATGCCAGAATTTGCCGAAGCTTTCCAGTGTGAAGAGAATAGCGAATTGATGAAATCAAGAACTGTAACTTAGGTGAAAAAGTCCTTTCATTGTCATAATTTTAGAAACAATGTTACTTAATTGGAAAGGATGCTGCAAAAACTAAATGATCATTTGATGCTAATTCATTTTGTGGATATGCCTAATAAATATCATATTATTTGAATGATAGTTCGGCAAACCATTTGATCAGGATTACTTTTAATAGATCACTTTTTAAAGTTTAATTTGGCACTGTCTATCTCCTCGCTAAATCACGAACACGAACCCGTTGTCGAACATACCCGGCATATATGTATCTATGACGGTCACTTAAAACATTAACGGCAATCACAATTGTCGATTTCGTTTTATGAACAACCTCATTTTTTTTAAATTTTTTGAGACATTTATATATGTATATATATATCTGCTTTATTTAGGTAATTTTCTCGGTTCAATAAATTATTCATCGACATCCAATTTTCGCGCTACGTTGGGGGTATGTAGCTCTGTTTCAATCATTCTGTCCTCATTTTCGTATCCTGTTCACTTCACCATTCCTTTTCCTTCTCTTGACTTATCGAGTTTCTTCGTGGAACATTGTTTCATCCTGTCTATCCGTTTGCCGTGGGATTACAAACAGTTGTTCCCGTTTTTCAAAATCTCTCGATGTGTTTCCTTTTGTTGTTCACTTACTACTTTCTCTCATGCATTTCATATTTTATAGGAATGAAGAAGGACAAGCAAGTTGAAAAGAAAACAGTTAATGTGGAAGAAGTCGAAGTCAAAACAAAAGAGATTGAGCAGGTCAAGACGGAAGAGGTAGCGAAAATCGAAGCTCAACCTAATACTACTGAAAATGTGGAAGATAAGCCAGATGAGCTTGATCCCATTCAAGAACGTCGTCGAAAATTGAAAGAACTTGCCAGAGAAGAAGGAGACAAACATTTAATGGCGTTACAGTTGGAGAAAAACCTATTTAAGCTTGCCGCGGTTGGCGCCAACCCAGCGTTTGACTTCTACCCGGCTTATAACAGCGCTTGGCCTCATATAGCCAAATTCGATCATTATGTTGTGAAATATGGAATTAGAGAGTTTGTGGATCTCAAAGCCATATCAATTGCGCTCACTTCAATGTTGGACATCGAGTTTGAACATCTCGAAGAGTACGATCCAGAAGTGAAGAAGTTGGCGCGGTTAGACTTTTTAGAGTCGTTGAAACGCATTGAGTTGGATGGAGATGGCAGTGGTAACTTGCCAAAAACTCTTCAAAACACAATTCAAGACTGGCGCAAGATTAACGCTAGAGAACTATGGCCGGCGGCGGATATTGTAAGTTTCAATGTTTTGTTTAATTTCAAGCTGTATATTCAGATCCGTCGTCGACTTCTTCCATTGAACTACGATAATCCTCCATTTATCGTGGTTACATCGCGCAGAAAGGCAAGACATCGTTGTATTACTCGAACTCGCGAATACAAAGAGGGAAAAATCGACTTGGTATGAATAGTTAATTGGAATCTGTTCTTCATTAATATAAATATTTACAGTCGCAATATGTGTGCTACGACGGTCCGCGGCGCAACTGCCGCGGTTTCATCTATGGAAAATATCATAGCTAATTTTTCGGATTAATGTTAACTTGCTTCCAATAATTCATAAACCTTTATTTAATCATTAATAAGATCTTCAAACGGTCTTGGTTTATAGCTCTTGATTTCGTGTTGTCGTTTTATTCACCGAGACTTGCAATGACGAAAAAAAATTTTAATTTTTCACCAATCTTTTCCATCTTTAAACCGTTATCGCTGCGCAAAATCTAATCTCCGTAGAAACCCTAACTCTAAGCACACATTATCTCCGAATGACTAATTACCGCCTAAGTAGATTTAGAGTTCAATGTCGAAGTTCATAAATTCTTTATTATTTATAACAGGGGTTTATTGAATAAATGCTTGATGGAATCGATAAGATTTTGTTTTTTTTGTGTTCAATCACGTAACAAGCTGAGACATGACTTAAAAGGTCACCAAATCTCAACCAATGCAAAAATAATTAGAACAAGTTCGTATTCATCGCATTGCACAGCTTTGTTCCACTTGTTTCACGAAATCTTCTCAATTTCTAAAAAAAGTTCCCCCGCAAAGAAACCGCTTGCTTGAGGATGAGCATTCTCGACCTGCGTAGGGCGGTATACCGATTAGCGTTACTGGACCCACATCGGATCGAGTAAGTTGATCTTCTTTGCCACGGAAAGGCTTGCAACTAGAATTAGAGGCTCATCAGCATCAGGCTGAAACCTGGTGTAGATCATTGCCGATCCTACCATGGGTTTAACTTTACGAAACTTGCACATCAAAGTATGAAATATCGATTGAACTTCCATTAAACTTTTTTTGGCGCTAACAAAAATCTCCCAAGATCTCTAGGTGACGGAAACGGTCAAAACATACACCAAATGCAGAACTGGGCACGACGCATCGCATAACCTCGTTCGTCGTGACGTCTCCCCGCCAAAGAACGGCATTGCTGGCTGGTCTTCGCTATTCCGGCTTTCGTCGTTGTCACTTTCCGCAATTACTACATCGGCAACCACATGCTACTCAGATATTCTATCAACATCGCATGTGTCTAAACCACTTACTTTAGATTGAGAGAAGCACTGCCAACCCACTCATGAAATGCTTCCACGCTATCGGGTAGATAACATTCACATCATCCCAACCCCCCTGCAGTCTCGTCAATGCGGCTGAGCTGTCTCATACTATGCTGTTCATCAGAAACGAATGACCGGCTTGTCGATGGCATTCCGACGCGTTTCACTCCTCCCTCCTTTTCTTTTCGTAAATTTTTTTTTCAAAGATATAAAATCAATAGCGTGATTCCCTTAGAATTTACTCGAAATTTCTCTCCATCACATATCAATCTGTGTTTAGCCTTTTCTTCATCTATTTATGATGAGGCGCTCAATTTTGTGATGGCGGTGAAATATCTTGATGTAAAAATTATACACAGAATTGAAATCTGAAATCAGCCTAAATGCTTATATTTCTACTCTTCTTTGAATTAAAAGATTTTCTTTCAATCGAACGCTTCTTCCTCCAGATGGTTTCTTACCCCATAGCTTAACAAAAAAAAAAACATATTTTATGAAAATAAATGATTAATTATTTAATATTTGTTTGTTACCGTATATAATATTTTGCAATTATATGAAATGTGTTTCAAGGAAAAATTAAAAAGAAGGCCAAAATGAAATGTGTTTAACTAAGCAAATGTTGGATAATTAGCGTCAAATATTTCTGCGTTTGTTGTCCATTGTGTCATAAGAAAAATAACCATCAATAGTTTTCACTGTTGTACAAGTGATGGGTTCCGGATTTGATTCCACTGGACTCGTGATGGGTTGTGCAATTTGGTAAGTCACTGGCGGCACAATTGTACTTATTACTGAATCCATATTTCGACGCACGACATCCGTAAAAAACTGCAAAAGGAAATTCTCTCTAATTCGATCAATATTTTTCGGCAGCATCGCCAAATTTGATTATTTTTTCCAGATACGCGTACAGTAATGTGTTCGCACAAAATAAACAAAAATCAGTCAAATTTTTTTGTGAGGAAAAACTGTCAGCATATATTGTAAATCCGAAAAAAATCCGGTCATAAATACCACTGATTTCAACGACTGTGGTTTTTTGAAGGCGCGGATTATATATTCATAAAATCTTCAAAATACTTACTTTTGCATTATACCAATTTATCGCAATTTCGCAGGTTCTGAGTGCTTCATCGGATAGTTCATGGAATGGTTCAATACACGTGCAACAAAGTTTATGAAAATTTTCAAGGAAACCGGGGAGAATATCATCATTATAGAATGACGAATCATTTCTTGAAATAAGCTGAAATTGTATATTAGTATCAATTATTCCAACAATTCGCAACATACTTCCTTCTCATAATCGAGGAAATGCTGAAGCAAAGAAATGATTTCAGAGCAGAGCTCGTTAATCATGTTCAATAGTTGAGTTATTTCATTATGCAATTTCAACACATCAGAATCTTTTTCCTTGATTTTTATAAGTAAACGCATCAAATTCTTTCCATAACAATAATTTTTTTGCATGAGATTGACAATATACCACGCAGAATAAGCATATCTACATCGCGAGGCAGTAAATGAACCGCAATTCTGAACAAAAAAATGCTGAATTGTTCTTAAAGCAACAGTCAACTTACTAGCTTATACGTCATTTTGGCAAGTTCACGAATGTCTTCGGTAATCATCAGGAATTATAGAAATTCTTATGAAAATAGGAAACGGCCGCTTTGCTACAAAACGATCGAAGAAAATGATGCGGCGTTCAATTTTGCGGCTAATTTTTCCAATTGTTAAAAAAGCATGCTGCACAAATGTACACATACGTTCGTTTGCGATCGATCAAATTATTCGGACATTTTTTTTTATGTGATATAAATTACTAGAATTTTAGCCCCATTGTGCTCAATCGATTATGAAGTACGCTTGTATGCACATTTGTGAGAACGGTGAAATCCAAATAGAAACGTCCCGATTGGCCATTTTTTTTACAAATGATTTTCTGTTTTTAGTACTATATATATATATATATGTATATATGTATTCAAATAAGAAACTTTCAAACTGAATTGATTCTTTTGATTATGTTTCTTCTTCATTTGCCGCACTGTGTAAAAATAATAATTCAATAAATTAAATTAATTTATGATTTCAATGTGACAATATTCACAAAGAAACAATTTTTAAAAATTGTAGGTTAATGAATGAAAAAAATTGTGAAACTATAACGAATCGAGCTTTAAGCTTTGATCCGAACTGTGATCGATGAGCGCAACTTCTGCATTACAAAATATAATTCTGTTCACATTTTTTTCAGACCGACTAGTCGAAAATGTCATAAGCAAAAATTAACGGTAATAAAAAATATTCCAAATTTCATTGGGAAATAGATTTCCGAGCTTTCAATTTGCTCCAATAACAAAATGATTTATTTTCGTAAACGATCGTTCGAGCGTTGTGTGCAAGAAGTGTCTAACAAATCAATAATGATTTGAAAAATTGGCGACGATAGATGGTGTGCATGTGTGTGTTAATATGTGTTTCGAACAAGCAAAAAAATCAGAATATTTAGGAGAACATATATAAATAGAGAAATGCCCAGTTTGCTGTGTTATTGTCTTGACATTTTAGGTATTCTTGGAAAAAACAATTTTCAATTTATCATGTTGTGAAAGAGCGAAAGATTTCGATGAAAGTGAGTGTATGTATGTGTGTGTGTGTTTGGATGCTTAAAAATGTTCCAATTAACATAAAAGTATTAAATTTAATTTTATTTGCCAAAAAACAGCATAACTAAATATTTTCAGATTCGAATGTCTTAATTCATATTTTGTGTGCCGCATTGTGGCAGTGCTAAATGAATTTAACCGATCACATTACAAAATAAACATCACGCCGCAAATCACAAATCAATTTAAAAATTTCGTCTGAGGAGCATCTGGTCCAAATATAATGCATTCTTCCTGAAAAATGTTAAATTGCTTCATAATCATAACTGTTAATTTACCGTTTGGGATTTCATCATTCTACTGTTTTCGGGGCAATTAAACGCTTCATTGAATTCAGGCAAATTAACAATAATATTTCCACGAATGTTCAGTGATGGATGAGAGTCATATTTAAAATCATATAGATATGGACCCTGAAAGAATAAATAGGTTCACAATTCTCTTTCCGAAAAATCTTACGTAACAGAATGAGAATGAATATGAGTAAAAATAGAGCTGTTCTGGAGTAAGGTCGATTTCAACCATTTTCTTCTAAAAAATAGTAGTACTTGAGCGAGGCGTGTTTTTATACCTTAAGATTGTCCCCATATTTATTTTTAAGAAAATCGTAAGAAAGCCGAAGGCCAATAAAATCGGCTATATTTTCATTGAAATACCCGTCACCTGTTTTACAGGTCTGAAGAAGATTATCAAAAATTTTGACAGAAACACAAATACTTCTCTAAAAATAACGCAAGAGGCAAACAATTGATTTTGCACGCACTGCTTCACAACGTTTGAGAAAATCGGGTATAATCGAGACCACTGATTTTCATAGGATATTGCGATACCATGCGCCATCTCATGGCCAAGTGTTGCAGCAACAGTGGCACTCTACAATAACTGGCAATACATTAATTAATTATTTTTTTCAATGGAGCCACCAATATTGCATCATTATCCGAACCATTCGCGATCCAAAAATATGTCAATCCTATTGATAATGCAGATTTCTGTAGATAATTATGAGCATTTGAGTCGAATAAAGGAGAAATATCGTTATGTAACATGACTTCTGATCCGGCATAGAGAAAACATAATAGAACAATGTCATCTGTCTCGTTTCTATAATCAGTTTTACACAGAACATAGAATTAAAACAGAAAAGCTCCATAATATTATAAAATACAAACCCTTTGCATTCCTCAAACTTTTCTTCAAAATTTTCCAAAATTTGATTTTTCTCAAGCGCAAATTCAGTATAGTTGGACACTGTATACATTTCTTCAGTAGCCTTTTTGTATTCATCAAGAACGTTGTAGTTTTGAATCCAAGGGGTGTCCTGTAATGACATTTTTGTTTATACAATGTGCAAAATCCATTGTTTACCTTATAGGATTCTTTAAGATACAGTTTGAATTCGTCAATAATTTCGAGAATTACCATTTTTCCATGGTTCAATTCGTTGTCATACTTCGGTGTGAACATTGCAGCCCAATTAAATTCCGTCAATATCTTGTTTATCTTATTCAAAATATACTAAAAAAAATTGTTTAAATTTAATTGATACATAACGCTCACCCAGGAATTATTTATAGTTGTGGTTTCTTCTAACATTTTATTGATTATTTTGGAACTCTCTTCACATGGTAATGATTCTAATCTTATGTGAATATTGGCATATGCCTCCGGATTTGCCAACTCATTTAGATGTCGCACTAGTTCGAGAATGTAAGTTGTGAACGGCCAAGTGTTCTTTTGTTTGCATCTGTAATCAATATGTATTTCCGAGATTAAAGTATTCGAATAAACTTTTCCTCGTATAATTTCACAATTCGTGTTTGTATATCATTCTGAGCCATCCATTCGGGTAAAAGATTATAAACGTCTGGCTAAAATGACCATTCAGCTGCTGCGAAATTTTAAAATTTTGTATACATACATAGTTGCTTTGAAGGAATAAGCTTTGAGGTATTTTAAAATGTTTTATAACTTCATCGTCAATAGCCATAAAACTCGTTTCGTTGGATGTTTTAAATGGGCAAACGTGCCGATAGAAATTGTCGCATCTATCCGAGTACCAATCCACATTTCTTCAAATTAAAAACAAAATAGTTTAAATTCAAAAAACCTTTCACCTTACCTCCTTAAAACCTCTAAAATATTGCCATCTACAGTTGAGAATACCAAAAAGAAAATGGCGAGCATTTTCGTACAATCCTCTCCGTTTCGTGATATATAAACGGTGCCCGAACAATGCGTGGTGATGACAATAAGAAATTTACATTAATCATTCTTTTATATTTTTCAATATTACGTTTTGAAATTACATCGAAAATGCATTAAAAATGTATTCATTTTGGAAATAAATGTAATAATATCTCAATGTGGTCCTAGAAGTAAAAAGCTGGTACAATAGCTGTACTGATATAATAAAACCTATATAACATTGCATTGTAATTTTATTCATTTTAATTTTTTCCGCTTTGATATAACGACGATGATTTCTGGAATAAAGACATATTCTCTATATTCACTATATTTTTATATTTTCGATTTTTTAGCATTTTTTAGCAACATTTTTTAAAATGACGTTGTGTTCTTTTGCCAACGACCCCCGAACTCCGCAATATTTGTCGATTTATTGTTTCTAGCTTTAGGAACGCACCTGCTCAACGCAATAATCAAGCATAATTGCTGTTTTTGTGAAAATTAAAGGAGCCAACAATTACTATTTTGGCGAGGGAGTTAATTTAATATATCATTGTGCCCCTTTTAATCCGATTATATGTCCTTCCGAAACACAACAAATTTGACATTTCTAAGCAAAGGAAAATTTGTCCAGGTGTGAAAGGTAGATGCCTTGTTGCGATTACGTATAATTGCTTTTTTCGCTTCACCAATATGTCTCTAATTATATTGGTTATGACTATTTACTTGCAATGAATAATATTACCACCATTTCCTAGTACACGAGATCGATAATCTGACTTAAAAACTCGGCATCACACCTGTCCGAGATTATTGGTGTTCAGAAACATGACGCTGCATGAAATGGTACACTTGACCTTATTTTTTGAAAATTGTCCGAAATCGGAGAAAAATAAAAAATGTGGGATGAGAAAGTTTGATTTGCAATTTCTTAGGGATGCACCATATTCGAAATTAAACACGCTCATGTATAGAATATTTTCTCTTTCCATACATAATTAAACACGAATTTCTGTCAGCAGGGTAAAAAAAAATATTTTTAAATGGATTAAAACGCGTTTTCTGTTCAAATGTGTTTTTGTTTCAATAAAAAAGCTGTGAAATAATAAAATTTCACAAATCTCTTTTTAAATAATTATAACATTAGCTTTAACCCTAAAGAAAAGGTACAACAAATGTTTCTTCATATAGTTGTACACCTTTCTGTAAGGTGAACGCTGAATGCTATGTAACAATAACGGTATGATAGGAGTACTGACAAATTCTAATTAGTATAGTGATAACGATATACATTGATAAGAAAGCTCATATTTCGTTACGCAACCCTGCCGACGTGATATTTCCTTGAATGGTTAGTTTCGAGCAAATACTTTAGGAATTATGTCACGAAAAATTGAATTATAATGCCGAGAGCTGAATTTACTACATCACCGGCCCAACTTCAGTTTGGTTGTCATGGAAGCCTTATTTTGCTCTTACCGTACTACTATGAAGTTTAAACGATTTCACGATCGAAAATAATACAACCAGCCAACCGTTCTACTTTTCAGAGTTAATGCAAATAACCTATTGCTGTAACTCTGAAGGTACAACGATTGGATTGTTATGATTGTCTTTAGTATTATGCTGATATTCGAAAATAGTAGGTTTATTGCTGCTAAAATTATTGCTCTTCTAAAATGTTTTGGCAACCTCTTCTATTCATCTCTTATGAATATACCATCAGAAAAGTAATGCAATGTCGGCAGACAACACAAAGGTATATTGTTAAGGCATAAATATTTTTTTAAAAATAAAATGCAACGTATTGTTATTCAGGGTATAATTATTTCCCCTGAAATTGAATTTCTCCTCGTATAATGCATCCCCTTACTCTGGTTAAGTTTCTTGCTATAACACGTGCATTTCATAGCGCTGACATAATCTGTGATACGATTAAAAAGTTAGTCATAACTTATGTGATATTAAGATATTTCAAGATTTCGAGATATATCCGGATAAAGATAAAATCTTTAATGACTTTTTCGGCAGTATTTGCATTGAAGGTATTGAACTAACAACCTTCACACATGTTTTTGCTAACACTTCCAGCTCAAATTCAACTTTAGATTCTGTGTTTTTAGTACGTTAAAAGCATTTTTGAACTTTTTGATGTCGGATCAATAGAATGCTGCTCGAAAACTCCTATGAAATAAAAGCGAGATTCATGACAATGAAAAAGATTACATTGAAAAGTTCATACTATCTTCAAAAATAATTAATAATCTTAATTATATGTAAGTGTGAAGGCAATGACAAAATAACAAAATACTGGACAACTATTGAAAATATATGGAATGAACATTTACCCATGGGACCTTTCATATCAAATCTGGCTTTCGATAGGTGATAAAAGCTGTAGCAGACAAGCTAATACATTTGTGAAATTAATATAATTTCCACCACATTTATTCATTTGGTAACCACTTTATTGTCTGAAAATGACAATTTTAAAATGAATATAGCCCTGCTATTAATAGATTGGTTTGCTATTGTGAGCAAAACTTTTGAAAAATGATATCTTTACTCAAATATGGGATAAATGTCGATCGTAATTTTAAACAAATTATTCTATTATATTTTCTTTTTGAGCACTCCGTGGATACTAAATCACGATGCATCAAAGAATATCGCCAAAGTCAGCCACCACCTTTTTTTCAGAATTCTCAATGGGATCCCGAATAATATACACTGACCCATTCAGAAGTCATTTTCTGTCTGAGAAATACTATTGATCAATGGTGGACACTAATACAGAAATTGATTTCAACAGAGTAATAAAAGAAGTTAACATAAGTAAATTTACGAGGATGCGTCTTTCGAAATGGTCTCGCATGGACTAACAGGTTATTTATGGATCGAATCGATAATTTTTAAATCGAACGACGTTAGAAATTCAAAGAAATGTCAAACTCACCAAGAAAAAATTAACCGTTCACGCGAAAAAGCAAAATAAGCTTTTACGCGGCTGCGAGACTTTTTAAAAGCGCATGCGCTTAAATCTACCGCGTACAGCAGTCGCCGGACGCCGACTATATTTCATTATAAAATTCAATCTTTCAGATAGGCACCGTTGGTTTCAAATTGGCAAAAACATTTATAGAAATAGTATTCCGGAATATTGTTTGCACCCTACCAATAAAAACTTGCAAGGAGTTGAAATTATGTCTGCTCGTATTGTTTACGAACTTCTGAAGCAGCATTGTATGTAGTGATGATGTGAAGATAATAATTTTATAGAAATAAAAAATATGCATCTGTCTTCCAGGAAATTGATAAAGAATCGAAGCTCTCCA